TCCAAGACAGAAATGTTTACGGGTTGCACAGAGGCGGATCAAACACATGAATGACAACTGGAAAAACTGAAGTACTTTGAAAAAACAGCCAAAACAACTGCAAACAATTAAATCGATTAATCCCTTCCGGCCTGAATGCACACAGAAGAAGGGGTTGGCCGTGTATTGCAGATTATGACACGGATAAACCAATATCTACAGATCAGCTGTTTTTAACCATTTGTTGGCTGGTCAAATTATTAGTCTCGTCCAGCCTACTGGTTAAAATACCAATACAACAAAAACAAACATGAATTAGTCTGCTGAACAAGATCATTCATGTTTAGTTTTTATTATTTCAAATAAAATATTTAGGAGAGCAATCCACCCCACAGCAGAGTTCTACCCTCCAACTTTGCAGCTGCATCACACCCATTCTATGCAGTAGGAAATATTATTTTGTCTATTTGTTATTTGTTTCTTTGATAAAAATGTGTCTCAGGTATTAATGCAAAGTGTTAGAGATTGTATTGTTACACATCTTAATGTCTTTTTTTGCCTCTACTTTAAAAGACTGCAAAAATGAAAGATATCTGGCGACCCCTACACAGAAGTATGCATTTTGGCTGTACAAGGACTACTTCAAAGAGTGGAGGCTGGTATGTCATATTCTGTATTGGTAATGAGACAACTTAGAAATAGCTGTTTTGTCACATCATGTTGACAATAAGATGCAAAATTGTACATTTCTTTGTATGGTACCTCAATTAAGGCATTTTGTTTAATATTTCTAAAGGAATCCATCCAACTCTACAGAAGCACCACGTGTACCCCACTGATTTTTTTACCGTGCTGCCTCACATAAAGTGGCACAATAATCGCTGTGTGCCAATTATCCTGTTTCCGTAATTGCTGAAATTTCTTATTATGATTAAAATTAGTGAAATTGCCTGTGGTTAATAATGAAAAATACAGCGGCATGGTCTGCTGTAACACGTCTTCTATTCGCTTTATACTAATGGTTTTCGGAGGTGCATTAGAAAGGCAGCCTGTGTGGCTCGTTTAGCTGCGTATTGTCATCAGCTAAAAATACATACATCTTGGTATACCTGCCGAATGAACTGCATTGATCGAGAGCTAATTTGTTTTTTACTGTTATAGCAGCTATAAACATGTAATTGTGTAACATTAAATGGCCCATCATGCATTTCATTGAGCCTGAGTCAAATGAAGCAGCATTTGTTAACAACATTCATAGATGACTCCATGTCTCATGAAGTTCCACTGTTAGTGAGTATGTTTACAAAGCAGCTTTATATTCCTAGTTCAATTAAAGTTGGAAAAGACCCAGGTAAATCCTGTTTGGCGCAACGGGATCCAACCATTTCTACTCCATTAACACTGCATGTATCCAGGAGAGGCCAGCAGATGCATTTAAGAGCACAGGGAAAAGGCATGTTTATAGACTATGGCTGGAACTAATGATATTTTCCTAAAAAGAAGGGTTCTCGCCAGGATTTTTGAGCAGGCGATTTGCAGTCGCTCACGCACACTGATGACTTTCCCCCCTCAGGTGCGCAGTGTTGCGGCTTTCGGTCAAAATACGGTAAAAATGTGAGCGGCACAGATGGAGCCTTGATATTGCCATTTCGACATAGTTGATTGTTGATTATTACAAAAGGGCCACATTGTTCAACTAGAACTACAACAAATCTTGTGATAACCAGCATCAAAGACAAAATCGCAGGAAAGGATGCAGCATAGAACTAGAAAATCAGAAAGCAGCTAAAACTCTCACCAGGAAATAAAGCGATTATTCCTTAGATGAATTGATTAGGAGTTTGACGCATATGAAGCTGAAGTGAAGCCCCCCGGAGGACCTTTCCTGAACAAACTGTTATACTCTATCAGGTATTTACAGAATTTCAGATTATTTTTCATGGTAAAGCCCAAAACTTGCATCTCTCAGCACATTCATGTTTTGCAGTCTGTTTATAAAGAAGTTGATGATTATTCTGTTACTACTCTTACAATTCATGTAAAAACTTGATTATTTGCGATTGATCAATTCACTGTTACAGCTCTATATCACTAATTTATGTATTTGAATGCATTCAGGCAACTCAGTCGTTTGGTAAAGTCCATCTGCACGAGTTGAGTGTGAGGCAAAACCAGGAAAGGAATGGTGTGTTTGATTGCGAAGTTAAAATGAAAGGACAATGTGTTGTTTACTTCCGTTTGCCAATAGTGTGGTAATACAGTATGCACAATAACAATTTTATTTACAATCACTGTTTCCAAAGTTTGAGTGCTGGGGCAAAAATACGAGGTACCTTTGAAAGCATCACAAGGCTCCATCATCTCAGCGGGGCACATGCAGACAGGACCTTAGAGTGGTCAGACCGGTTAGAAGCCACAAGGAATATCCTCCTCTGTATTCTTATGCTTTGTAAACATACTCTATGTTTAGTGTTGCCATTTTGAGACCATAATGATACTAACATATATTGGACAATGAAATATAACTTGTTATCCTGATGTCATACAAGCTTGAATATGGATGAAGGATGATGCTTTCCAAAACCTACAACTTTATCTTAATACACAGGCGGAAAAAGAACAAGCAGGTCAAAAAGTTGAGAAATTGAAAAAGTTTTCCCCAATTTTGAGGACAGGATGAGTTCTGTCAGGCTAATGGAATCAGGAGTCAGCAGACGGCCCCCGCACCTCCATCGTGCCTTGTCCACCTTCCCTCACGCTCCACTCACACATGCAGTATAACAAATGCTGGTGGTGTGCTCTGAAACCATGTCACCAATGCACATATTCATCTAACAACTTCAAAAGCACCCAGTGATATCATGGTACAATATCAAATTAAAGTTGTCAAAGTATAAAACTGTTGAAACCACAATCCACTGGATATAAGATTATGATAATAATATGATGATTATTATAAGATAGAATCTTTTAAAACACAAGTGCAATGATGTATTATGGCCACAGGCTTGTCAAGGCTATATTAATAGTCATCATAACAAATCAACACTGCAAGGCAATATTATGAATAATTCTGTGTCCTGTAGGGCTTAAGTAAGTAATGTATGTGTAGATGTATTTGTTTCTTCAAAGCTGGAGTACCAAACTTGTTTTTGTTTCATAAATACATGTTGTTGGTCCCAACAGAGATGTTTAGTAACATTTTATGACAAGTCAGAACACAGGATGCAGAAAGAAAAACTTGCATTCTGAGAGCCAATAGCTAAGTGAGGGTTGGTCCTCTCTTTTACACTGAAAAACCTCATCTGGATGTGACAGGGACCAAAAATACATGCATGTGAAAACGAGTCAAAGAACCAGTTTTGAGGGTGATGAACAAGCGACATAGACTTTATGACATGGTTAGTGTTTGTGAATTAAAGTGATGTACTCCAACTTTGATGATAGTGATGATCACCAAATGAACTCATCATGTGGGATCTAACAATACCCATTTACCCATGTATCATGATACAATATTAGTGATAATAAATGCAATATTATTTTCTTTTGAAAAGCCCTATCATCACCCACAATAAAGGCAATTAAGATGTAGATGTATTTCTTTTGGATCAAGTGAAACTGTAGCCTACCAAGCTGAATAAAATAGCAAATTCATGCAGAAAACGAATTATTTTAACAGATAACAGATCATTAAATGACTCAAAAGTAATAAAAATTGCTAGATTATTCAATATTTCAAATAAAGGATATCTGTTATCTCACTAAATTTAAAAAGTGATTACAATTGTATTTTTTAACTCGAAATTATAATGGTAATAACTTTAATGGGGCCATAGGGTTTTATGAAAATTTGTCCGATGTCTTTTGATATGTAATTTAGTAATCTAGTTTTTATCATAGCTTTCGATACTTTTGACATCCCTAATAGCTGCAGTCCTAAGTGTAACCTAATTTTATTCAAAATAGAGCAACAGATCATGGTATATGTCAGTCCCGCTTCTACTGCAACAAAACATACAGTATGATTTTAAAGAAAAGAAACTTGAGATTGCAACCTATGATATTACTTTGAGACTTTTGACAAAAACAGCATTTAGTTTGACCATTTTCAGAGGATTTCACTCAAGCTAAGTAAGGCTGAGTTTACACGGAGACAATGTGGCAGTAAAACGGTATAGTTGGATGTCGGTTCCTACCAACCGTTCATACGAAGACAGTGTTCCAGGGGGGTGAAAACGTAAGTGTTCAGATCCAGCCTGCAGAGTGGGACAACTCAGATACGCTGCACAGCAGGGAGCTTTTTCACACCCGCGAGAGGGAGAAAGGTGTGAAATCCCCCTCTGCTCTGACCCCCACCTCCGCGCTGCTCCCCGCACGTAAATTTGGACATGCGCAGTAGCGGAGAACAATCATCAACAATAATGGCGCCGCCCACACAAACTAGCTACGTGGACTTCCAGCGCGGGACAGAGGATAACTCTACTCCTTCGTTCGTCCAAACGAGACCACGCGAAGCTCTAGGTTCAGTTCCCATTTTCACAGCTGCTGTTAAAATGCAGAATGATGTTGGTACTCTCTGAGGGTCTGGCACAGGAAGTGAGTACACTGCCGAGGGGGGGGGCTGGGCACGGGGCTGGGGGTCGTGTGAGTGTTGTAAAGTTTCTCTGCCCACTACTGGCCGGGCGCTAGAACTACATCGTTTTTCAACCTCATGTGAACGCTGAGAAATTTGCATTAGGAGCCAGGTCGTTTCTGTTAATAGCCTGGAAACGTCTGCGCAGCGTCTCAGTATAAACAGGGCCTAAGTGTGCCTGTTCGTGAAGACACTGAGGAGAGGAGGGGGAGGGTCTGCTCACTGCTCCTGGACATGCTTCCATGGTCAAGGCTCTTGGATGTGCTTGTGTATGAAGTAGGGCAACAGGATGAATACATATCCTGTCCTTTACAAACATGTGACTCTTGGAACAGTCCAGCAGTTCATCATCACAGTAGTAAGGTCCAGTGCGTCAGGGTTTTACCTGAACAAGCAGCTCCAGCTTCCGGTCGTCCAGAAGGTGAACCTGACATCGTCGCCCCTCTGTCATCTGTAACGCAAAGGAAAAGTACAGATTAGACGGATTACATAAAACACATAATTCTAAAATCAGAAAACACACGGAAAAACAGCCTTTGACACGGAATCCTTTCATATCAGATAAAAAAACTCACAAACTTCTGCTCTTGTCTTTTCATCCAATGGATCTCTTCAATCAAAACACTTAAAGCTGGGGAACCTGACTTTCAAACTACGGAGTCCAACGAGGTTCATTTGGTCCTCTGATAGAATCTACAAGTTGATTTGCTTTATTAAGGCCAGAGCGTTTTTTTGGGACCTGGCATCTTTACCTTAGACTGCTGGGCCACGTGACGTTAAAGTGACGTGCCTTGTATGCAGTCGAAAGGTACGGAAAAAACTAACTATGGAATTAAATCCATCTAACTAGTTAGTCACTCACAGAACATTTGGGTTCTATCACAAGCATATATTTCTTGCCCTCAGTCACATTATTAGATCAACTTTCGCAGACAGAAAAGTGAAAATGACAGGAGCACCCTCACTGAGCCGATCAGCTCACAGGGGGAAAGTTTTTATAATAATATCAAGACAAATACTAATTAAGGAAAGTTTCAAAAAAGACTTCTTTAAACTGGTTTACAAGTATGATCAAAGGCATTACATCACCAAGCGAATTAAAAAGCAATGCAAACTTGTCAACAATGCATCACAAACCCAGTCTTTTACACAAATTCCTACTTATTATCAAAGTTTTATAAAATACAGTATAACCCCATCTATAAAGTGCACTTTTGTATAGTACATTCGAAAGGGCAACATCTTCAAAGGCTCTAGTCACTTTAAACATCTTTCCCCATAGCCCTAACCCGGAGACTTCAGTCCGTCTAGACTTCAGTCAGACTAGTGAGAGAAAAGCAGAGATACAATGTCTGCTTTGTCCTGTGATTCTCAGAGCTCCGCTGGTCCTGGAATATCAGTGAAATGTTAAGAAGGTTCACGGCCCCAGTCCTCTCTGTGTTGTCTAGCATTCTTCAGAGCGGGAAATCCACAGAAAAAAACAGTGGTCTATCCCACAGTACAAAGCAGAGTGCCTTCAAAAGCTCCGTAAACACTGCTCAAACTCAGACGTAAACACAGGCAGGTGTGGAGCAGGGAGAAGGACAGTCAAAACACGGGATTATGAGAGGAGAGTTCGTTCTGTTTGTTGATGGGTATATAATAAAGAGACATTGGAATAGCGACTCGATCTGGGACTCGTTTGACTTCATTGCAAAGACACAATATTTACAAGGGCTGCTGTAGTCAACTCAAAAGTCCATTTACTTCTGAAATCCAAATTAAAATGTGAAACTAATGTGTGACAGATACAGAAAATGCAAAGTCAATCAAATCAAGCCTTTATTAAATATATGGGGCACGAGGCTGTATTTAACCAACTGTAAAAAACGTTGTGTTGGTGTATTTGTATGAAAAGCATGATCTAAATTGATTGATAAAGTTGATCATTGGCACAGCTTGTAAAAACTCCGAATAAAACTCAGCTCAAATACCTCAGAAGAATATTATGAAAATGTATAGTAAGCCCTCAAAAGACCAAAAAAGGATTGCCATGTGTCACTTTGCGTGTGATGAGTCTACATCATATATTGATTTCACAATTTAAGTTAAGAAATAAACAAACTTTTAAACGATATTCAGAGTACATTTATTTTAACCTGTATAACAACGGGTTCATAATACAGAGTGAAGTTGTATGAGAAATCTAATCAATTCAATATCTTGAATGTTCTTATCTTGAAAATAACGATATATCCTTCTGCCCTAGTCTAGGTGAAAATGAATCAACAAATAGGGGCATCAATCACTTCTCCCATAATTTAGTAATGTGCAAAGGCCCAAAGTGCATTGAAAAGAGTTGAATATAAATGATTCCAATATTAATCTGACATTGGAAGTTGTCCTGCTTTCACCTTCATAATGTTCTAATAATAAATCTTCCCAAAACATTTACTACACATCTATAGTTGCTCTGTTCCTCATAAAGAGTGATGCACAGTCTCATGACAAGACACAAGAACATTTGCATATGTTTGCCTTTCAAAGACTCGGCACACACGATATGAAATCAGACCAAAATGTAATTAATTTCAAGAGGAAAGAACACTGAAATTAATAAATATTTAAAGAACATATGACACATTCCAAGTGTGTGTGTTGTTTACATTTGTCAACAGGTGCGTTTTTGTTAACTGGAAACAGGAAGTGTGGGCCCCCAAGGAACTGCTTTGGGCCCTTCTAACTTCCTCACGGGTCACATGTGAATGTGTGACCAGAGGGGGAATGAGAGATTTCATTAACACTTTTAAGCAACTTTTGTTAAGGAAAGTTTCTCCGTTATGTACATACTGACATATGGTTCTTACCTTACCTTATTAGACTAGATAAGACATACCTGTCTGGTCTTAGTCCGTAGGCGCTCTGTCAATGCAAACGGAGGCAAAAAACTAGCACAACCGCAGCCTCCCTCTATATTTTGTAGCACCAAAATGTATGCTCCCGCTAGAAGGCCTACCAAACTCGTCCAAGTGTTCCCTATTACCGTTTTTACATACTGACATATGTTCTTACCTTACCTTACACTAGTTAATACGTACCTGTCTGGTCTTAGTCCGTGCGCTCTGTCATGCAAACGGAGCAAAAACGGGAGCACAACCGCAGCCTCCTCTGTATATTTTGTAGCACCAAAAGGTAGCTCCCGCTAGAAGCTACCAAACTCTTCCAAGTGTTCCCTATTAAATGTATATAGTTACGTGACGTGTTACACTACAAAGTATAGTAACACAGAAATGTGAGAGAAGTTAGTGCGCAGAGAAGTTAGGAGCGCTACGTCCGCGCACTAACTTCTCTCCGGAGACTTCTCTCTCGCTGCTACTGTGTGTATTACAAGTCACGCTGCTTCTATTGACGGAAGTGAGCGAGAGAGAAGTCTCCGGAGAGAAGTTAGTGCGCGGACGTAGCGCACCTCAGATTACTACGCCTCACAATATAGTACCCGTTTTATCCGCTGAGAAAATCGACTGTTACATTTCTGTGTTACTATACTTTGCAGTGTAACACGTCACGTAACTATATACATTTAATAGGGAACACTTGGAAGAGTTTGGTAGTTTCTAGCGGGAGCTACCTTTTGGTGCTACAAAATATACAGAGGAGGCTGCGGTTGTGCTCCCGTTTTTGCTCCGTTTGCATGACAGAGCGCACGGACTAAGACCAGACAGGTACGTATTAACTAGTGTAAGGTAAGGTAAGAACATATGTCAGTATGTAAAAACGGTGAACTATTCCTTTAAGTTGGAGCGTCCGCCATTTCAATATGTGACCATTTCTGGAAGACTACTTTTCTCCATTGAGATGAAATAAATTGAATATGTTAGCATCACAGGTATTACAAATATGGGTTCTAGTGAAGAATCAATTTGTCTAAAACAATTTATACATTTCCAAGATGTGCTGTTGTAGTTAATGTTAGTGTCTGAAGGGGGCGCAACAATCTTGACTTATGAATGGAAACAGAAATGGCTTATCCTGCATGGTCACGTACAAATTATCATTAGTAATATTATATTTAAAACATCCTGTATACATACAGTACATTGTATTGATACAAAAATCCACATATAAATGTATAACAACCAAAACAACATTATTTCAAAGGCTAATAGAGGAAAGGTTTCCAATATTTAGATTAGAAAGCTAACTAAAATGTTTTACCCTTCTCAATGTTAAATAGATTGCTTTCAGACAGTCTGCTATATAATTATAATCTATGTATCACAGCATGATATACATTTTCAATATCACTTCACAAATATTTAGTTTTCAGTCAGGCTAATAAGTCTGTAAAATGCTACTGAGTTCTTGTATCACTGATACAAAAAATAAATCTAAAACACAGTAAGTAATTAAAGAACAGTGGGCGTGTCTCTTTCAGTGGCCGACTGTTGAAGCTCTTGAAATATGTGCATAAAACATAGTGTATACATGCATTTTGAGACTATAAATAAGAAGAGCTCAATTATAGGATGGTTAAAAGCTCTTTAAAGAGCTTTTGTAAATGTCTCCACTGTGAGATCAATATAGTTTATCTCATCTTATCTTATCTTTAGCCTCTTTAACCCCACATGGTCTCAGTCTGTTGAGGTGGTGAGAGACAGCACAGTGTTCACAGTGGGTGGTTTTCAGACCTGAGCGGTGTCTGTTCTGATCCTGCCTCTGATCTCCAGGCCAATTATGATCCTATGGAACACATTCCTGACATACTCCACCTACTCCTCTGCCCACCTTATCCCCTCTGCCCCCTCTCCCCCTCTCCCCTCCTCAACCTCACCCCCTACACGAAAACAGGCCTCTGCACTCAGGAGTAAGGTCACGTTTCCGCATAACGTATCAAACGCACTTCTCTCCCGCTGTTATCGTCTGCTTTTACTTAAATTATTACACCGTCACTTAAACGTGATTTAACCCATGATACAAGTTTCTCATGTTTAAGGAAGAAAACATTTGAAAGGTACATTGCTAAACAAATTAAATCACAGGAAAGTACTTTTTCCATCACCTACTACTTCTGATTAGTGCATTCTCTGTAATGCTGCAATGTCACCTCTTCCTCTGCCTCACTTAATTTTCATCCAAAAATAAAGAAACAAACCCTGTTCCTCCCAAACACTGCTCATGACATGTAAAAAACATGTACGATCTTCAATTCTAAAGTTGTTTTATAAAGTGTTAATGAAGTTCATTCATCAGTTACTTACACAAGAGTAGATTGATGAGAGTCTGCTGTTTTCGCCTACTCCCATCCCCTCCCACAACCATGTACTTACTTGCAAATTTTGACTAATTTCAGGTTAATGATGCCACTTTCTGTTATTATCCAACAATAAAAACTCTACCCAGTCAATCATGTGAAACCTAGTCTAATAAAAATATAGATTCATATGTGAAGTATAGTTTTTTTTCTATCTTCATCTTCATTTTCTATCTAAGTTCATGTGTTGGTGCTAATGCAAACGATTCTTTCTTAAAGGAACTCATTGAAGTGGAGAGCGACGTCGTCTTTGAACTGGCCTCTTACATTTTACAAGTGAGTACATATATAAAAATCCTTTTTGTTCATAGAATTACCAGCTCCACATGCCACATTTTCTTTGAAATCAGTCTGCACTTTTCTGTCAGTGCTTTAGAATAGCCTGAGATCACATTACATATAGTGAAGTGATTTCTGCATGTCCTTGGTGCAGGTGCATGTATGGAGTTTCGCTAAATGGCCAAAAGAGGGGTTTTTGACCTTGACGTCCGTTTGTTTAGCTGATGACTTAATTGTGTTTTTGTGCTCTGTTCCAGGAGGCTAAAGGAGACTTCACCAGGTAAACCCACACACATGTTACATCTCTGTTCAGTCGTTTAGGACCAGAGATGGAATGGGGTTGTTTATCTCATCGAGACAGCCTAGATGGTTTTCAAGATACTAAAAAGACTAATTTATAGAAACCAATTTAAATATGATCTCTTACTTAATTACCAGTAATAATGCCTTCATGAATGCTTCTCTCCACCCAGTTCAAAACCACACATTTTCTTCCACTTTTTCCTGTTGCTGGGCCCAGACTTCTCACTTCCTACATCTCATCCTTGGGTATCCTCATGCATTCTCAGGCCAGCTCAGAGACCACCATCTCGGGCGGATTTCGCACAGTGTGAATAGCGTCTCTAGTCCGAGCTCCTCCTCTGTGGCTGATCTCGTCCCTCTCCCTAAATCTCAATTGAAACAATTCTGAAACTCTATAATGTGGTTGCAAAAAAGCCTTCTCTAATCTTGTCTTAAAGCTGGCGAAACAGCACCACAATGACAGCCCAAATATTGAATTAATTATCTAGAAAATAGTGAGGCTCAAACTAAACACTTTAATTTTCATTCGTTGCTTGTCTTGTGGGAATGGCTGATACCATCTTTGTCACAACTTGTTTGAATATGGTCTGACAAATCCAAATTACTTTATAGCAACAGCCTCCCGATCAAAATCTAAATGACATGTTCTTTTGATACACCCTTGCAAGATAATTTTGTGGGAGTTTTTTTTTTTTCTTTGGCCTATCGACTCTCTCTCTCTCTCTCGCTCGCTCACTCGTCCTTAGCACTAGTCCAGATAAAGCTTGCTATGAGTTTGTATTACAGTAGGCAATCCCCCCACACCCCGCTGCAGCGTCCATGGGCCTGATAAGCACTCCACCTCTGAGCTCATTTCCTCCAGTGGAAGCAGCACATATCCTGCCCTGACCAGGAATGTGACACTACCAAGAGACATTCCTTCTCCCCCCCAAGACTTCGTTCGTTCCAAAATACAACAATATTTTTCACTGTGGGATCAATCAGTATAGAATTGATCCCACAGAATCAAAGAGTATAGAACGGACACACGTCTTCAGGGTCCAGAGAGAGGGTCCAGAGAGAGTTTTTATTTTACTTATTTTATATCATTAGTTATTCCATTCTTAGTTTCTCAGTCTTCTGACAATTACATAAAGATGATTTTGGTTTTGTGTTAGATTTTAATTCCTCTTTTCCCCACTGTCACAGTGACTCAGCTCATGGGTCTTCTTCACAGGCGTGGCCAGTCTGCAGGACCTGACAGGACCTTTTTTGTTTTGTTTCTTTGTGCAGTTCAACAGTTGTCAAACATATCGAAATTGAGATTTTAGACTTATATACTGGAACTACAGTTTAATCAATACTAATTTAAGGCAAATATAAGGAAATAAAGAAAAAACTGGATATTCAAAAAAACGAATAATTCATAAATGTGTACTATTGTTGAAAATTAAGAACTTTAGACGGGATCTTTGCGCCACAGAGTAACCTGGAAGTTTTATTCTCAGCTTTACAGTTTTTTTTTCAGACAGAATGAAGACAGAGCAAACATTGTATATATCAATTTGCACCGGAAAACCAACCCAGGTGTTAGTTAGTCCAAAACATACACATCTGGAGTCACCGTGACCTACAACAGGCCGGGTTTGAAATGTGGGTATCGTGATAATGATAATTATCACGATTAATTAACTGCGTGATAACATTTATCTAACTAGTTCCTTTCTCTCAAAACAGTTTGTGTTTCATAATGTATGTGTTGAGGCCAACGTCACATATTACTGTAGATTTTTCTAAATCTGCTCTCAACTCAAAGCATCAAAAAGTGACTCACTGGGCTCTTTCTTACAAGTAGCCAAAAGTTTTCTGACAAGATAAGGACAGTATACTACGACCGGATTGGTTCACAACATTTTACTTTTACAAAACTCTTTTGGGACTTAAAAAATGTATTATGTATGCAAAAAATAAATGGTAATTCAGCTTTAATATGACTGCATTGATCTGTCCTGAGACTTTTTTATTATAGAAAACTTGTTTTCAATGATTGCATGTCCCACATCACACGCTGTGGACAGATATATTATAGCGATAAATCACTTCTTTTATGACAGTGAGCCCAAAATCCCATTCTGATGAGTACTTTCACCAGGACCATATTCTACACTATAATTTGAGTTCTGCGATTAAAATCTTACTACAGCATTATTAGCAGTAGTTGAAATAGCTGAAGGGAACCAATGTTTTAAGACCTTTTTTTGCACTTGTGGTGTATTTTTTTCTCCCAGCCCACTGCTTTTCCGTTCAATAATAGCGCTCCGTCTATTTTTGCTTGACACACATTGACTGTTCCAGCTCATTCCCCTACAGCAGAGAGCGCCAGGTCTGCTTTTGCACTTGTGAATCTGAGCACGTCTTGTGGTTTGTCGTCTCCAGTAATGATGCAACACGAGCAGACCTGAAGAAGCTGCCCGCGCTGCCCACCCAGGCCCTAAAGGAGCACCCCTCTCTGGCATACTGGTGGGTTGTCAGCACTGCTTTCATCTCTAACATCAAAACGACATACATATAGTTGTAACAAGAACCCGACACAGCTTTGTTATATAGTTTCATAATATGGGCCTATGGAGAGAGTACATTTATTTTCGTCTTCATAAACTTACATTCCCATAGAAACTTTTCCAGGAGCTGTAACTAACAATTAGTTTCATAATAGATTAGGGCTGTAACAATCGTCACTAATCGTTTTGTCACTCAGATAATTCTATAATGACTGCATAATTATATGAAATTGTGTTTTTCTTTAAATCTACCAATCCAATGTGTTTGATTTAAAGAGGCAAATATATAAGAAATCTCCTGTTAACTGAGCTTTGAGGAATAACCGGCCAACTTATCCAAAATAAATTGTAATAACAACAACAATAATAGTATGAAGGAAAAAAACGCAATCACAAGAACAAAAAGTTTTATATTTACAAAATAAACTATTGGTGTAATCTTTGCTCTACCACAAAAATTCGCATTGGTGCTTGGGTGCCTGTGGCTAGTGCAAAAGACCTTTGCTAAATGTAAGATGAATACTTTATCATTTGCCTCAATAATTGATACCGTACAATTAATTGGTTAACTAGTTTCAGCGTGAGTCCAATTGCTGCAATGGTAAAACACAAAGTAAAAATGAATTCACTTTTTCATAGTTCCAAATGATGCCACAAGGTCCAAATACATTTCACATCACTTCTCCCCTTCAACAATGCAATGCTAGTCTTTGTTTCTAGCTGTATAGAGCTGTCATTACTGATGTGAATCTGTCCTCTTGGCTGTTGTGAAAAAGTACAATAGTATGTGGTCAATTACCTCCCGGTCAATTACTATTGTGCCAGAGCAAAACCATCTATTTATGACCATAGACTTCAGCTAAAAGCTTCCTGACACTGGACATAGTTAAGTGTGTTTTCTCTCCAACAGTGAGGACCGGGTCATCGAGCATTATAAGAAGCTGAGTGGACAGTCCAGGGGGCAGGCCATAGTAAAGTAAGTGTACACTATGGATTAGCGTAGTAAGGCTTTGATCTGAATACTTATGTATGCGTGTGTGTGTGTGTGTGTGTGTGTGTGTCTGCCTCTCACAGTTACATGAGCATCGTGGAGTCTCTGCCCACATATGGAGTGCATTACTATGCCGTAAAGGTACACTTTATTACTGGTTTTTTCTTTCACATATGCAACGCACATTCTCCTGTGGCTGGATTGGGGGATTTGTCTTTTATTGTAGGGATTTTACAGAGAACTGAACTGTTCAAATGGATTTCACATGATACTAAGCACTAGGCCTGCGACTAAAACAATTATTGTAGTAGTCGACTTTTTTTGAGATTGTAGTCAATTCCATGAAGAGATTCACTGCTGTTATTGACGTAACATTATTATTATGACGTTTGTAGTTGTTATTGATTGGTTTGTCTTTGTGGGTTCAGGACAAACAGGGGATCCCATGGTGGCTGGGGCTAAGCTACAAGGGCATCTTCCAGTATGACTATCAAGACAAAGTCAAACCCAGGAAGGTAAGAATCTGCTCTCAGTTTGAAGGCACAGAGAAAAAGGCATTTCATTCAGCATCAGTATTTAAAAACAGGAAATACTTCTATAAATTCAGTTAAGTTACAACCAAACTCATTTTAGATCAGCGTTTTTGAGTGATGAAATATTAATACAGTTGTGGTAGCAATTACAAAGAATATTAAAACAAGGTGAGAATCACTTAGAATAGCCCACCTTGACAATAGCTACGCTGCTAATTTAATTCATTTCAAAATTCTCATCCGCTTACCGTCATTAGTCCAGCAGAGGGCAGCAGAGAGCACTTTCTCGCTTAACAATAACAGCTCATGCTTCTATGCTCATTAGAAAACATAGGAAGTGTTTTACAAAGTCATAAAGTATAGGTACATGTTGAGAGGAATGTAATGTGTGGCAGATTCCCTCGCGAGTCAGTACCCGACACACAGAGGTTACTATGGGAGACTGTGTAGAGCCCTGCTGACCCCACACCCTTGTCTTGGTGTAAAAGTTATGCTCTGTGGTATTTGGCCTCGTCTCTGAGTGTTTATAGACTCCATCCTTTGACACTTGAACCACCATAACGTTTAACTCTAGTTCCTGGAGCTCACTTCCAGTCGGGACACAGACATCCTGTTTGTTAGAGCAGATGAGTGCAATCCCTGCCAGACTATGCAAGGGCAACACAGGGGAAACGGGGGTCCATTATGTGTCACGTTGTAGAACTTATGAAAGCAAAAGATAATACCAAATATTCCAGCTATGGTAGTCTTGACCAAGCCTGGCTAACCTACATACAGTATTCTATTCTATTGTATTGCATAGGTAGATTGTAATAGAAAGTGAATTTGGTCCGCATTTAGGCCACAAGTTTTCATGTTAATGTTGTAATGTACAACTTAACCAATAGTTGATAGCAAAACAATTAGATGAACTGTTTTCACGGATCACAACATAATGACAAGGTGTTTTAATCTATTTGACAATAACGTCCCTGCTAACACTCTGCTCTCACAATAGCCCTCATCACATATAAACATGTATTTCTATGCATTTTCTTGCGTTGTTTATCTCTGCTGTTCACATAAACACAGTGAGAAGCAGGATTGTGTGCTGTGTCATTATAGATTTGGTGATCACAATCTGATAGAGCTGCTAACAAAAGTAAAAATATATATTGGCCGTATCACTTTAGCTGCTTATAGTCCAGCAAAATACTGCAGGTCACCACCAGGACAAGAAATGCACCTTTAAACATCTGCCAGCACTTTCCTACACTTGACTAATCCTCTTCATTTCTGCTTATTGCTATGACATTTCTGTTAGACCTACTTTATCGTGACTTAATCATGAGCAGTGTGTGTTGCTTGGAGGTGAGTGGGTGACTAACCAACCATACCTCATCCTCTGTATCAATGTCCTCTTTTTCACTAGCTCCAGTCTCCATGTTCCTCACTCACGTCCTCTCACACTACGTTTCCTCAATTTGGCAATAGGAAGCAGCTCGCTCACAGTAATCCAGTGTCCTGTTAGTCACAAAGCAAAGGAAGACACTTTGTTGATTAAAAGTGAGCCAGGAGGCCAACATTTGAGTCATTTTGGACATGTCTTAGTCAGAGAGGTGGAGACAAAGTGATGCATATTAGACATCTTGGAGAAGTTAGCAAGTTGATCTTTTAAACTGTTTTATGGCTCGTATTTTAAAATTGAGACATCACACAAAACATGCAACACATTTGCCGACTTGCTTGAACAATTCATTGAAAGATCCTGACAGTATTTGTGGACAATAATACTAAAACATTGAATGCTAAAGTAAGACTCATTATCAGGTGCAAAAGATGAATTAATACTTTTTTTTTGAGCCATGGCAAACCAGAACAAAGCACAACAACAACATGAAACAACAACAAAATAGAAAAAGAAAGAATACATGATAATATACAAATATACAGTAGTTTTGTTTTATTAACACAAATCCAGCTCAAAAAGGCGTGCACAAAAGTTAGGACAATAGATTAATTCCAATCCCTCATCCTTAGTCGAACAATTCTCCTCCAGTAAATCTTACTAGTGGTGGTCATGTTAAGTGAAGGGACTGTTTTGAATGTATGTATTCTGAAAAATATGTTTATCTAAGCACATTTGAGATCTTAACTACATAAGATTGGGTAATTTATCATTTGGGAAGGATTAGATGAATTGCAGCCATGTATACAAGTGTTGGGTGGTCACATTAGTTAGCACTAGTAAATTGAATGAGTCCAAGGCTGAGTGGTGCTGTTGTAAATAGACTCCTCAGCCGTAGTGTTAAAATACCTCTCCTGTTACCCCAAAACCACACGCTCATTTGTGGTGCGAGCTTTACAGGGGCCCCACATGTGATTTTAAGGCCTTGTTTGTGGGGAAGTTTTCAAACCAAGATATTACCGAGATTGTATGTGGCTGACTGACTGACTTTGGTAAAGATGTAATTCCAAATGGAGTGTCTTTGAGCTTGTAAATGCTTGCGTTCACACATCAACGTTCACCTGGAAGAATTTACTTTCATTTATGCATGTTTTACTCATCACCTTTGAGGAGGTTGTTTTTCTCTGAACAGACATAAAGGCTCGGTTTCAACTTACACAAGCAATTTACAGCAGGAGATGTGGGTTTTGAAGTTCATTCACTGGCAGAGGAGTCGGTCTGATCATTGCCATGTTTAAATTGTTGTTTTATGGGGTTCAGAATCATAAAGGGTAAGGGCTGTTGTGTGTCTGGCATATAAATACCTATATGTATAATAAGTATATATTTATTTGTTAAGATTTTCAAAACAAATCTTAACAAAGTGGGGGGAGACAGTGGCTCAGTTGGTATTGGCCTTGGAGCCTGAAGGTTGTGGGTTCAAGCCCACCTCAAGACCTACTTCACGACTCCCACTGATGTATACTGTCGTTGTGTCCTTGGGCAAGACAAGGACACTCCTTGCTCTGTGTACTGGGTACAGCTGCCACCCCCCAACCCAGAAATGGATTAAGGATAAGAAAGTGGGTGGATGAATGGATTTTCATAGATAAATATTAAGCATTTATTGTGGTTTTGCCCCTTAAACATGTTCTTGAGAATGTATATTTGCATTTCATGTTTCAGAATGGGATTATCATTTCCAAAGTAGAACATATATAGAACGAACATGTATAATAGAAAACAAGCACAAATCTAGTGTTGGAAGTGGGAAATTAGATGGTTTTTATTAATATTCTACATTGCAAGAACAGATGCATTTATAAATAATGCATATTGACTGGAAAAACAGCACATCTTTAAAAACAGAAAAACCCAACCCAGTTATTTCAAAAGACTTGCATCCAAACACGCATATGTCATTGTTTGATTTTTTTCCATGGATGCCACCTCAATCACTGCTAGAACACAAACAACAGGAAGTCCTTCTGGCGCAGCTCGGCGCTGCAGGCCTCCACCCAACACATAAAACAATGCTATCGGAGCCTTCATGCCCAAATACAGCCCTTTTACTGATATAACCTTTTATTCTTACCATGTCCCCCGAGCCTGTATCACATCTGACCTTTTTACTGGCTCTATTTTGAATGTAACAGTCTATTTATACAAAGTTGGTCCATTTTGGGTCGGCAAATTCTCATTATTTAGTAGAAAAACGTGGGAGAAGCTGAGGGTTAGGGTTTATGGGGCTGCTGCTGTGGTAGAGGGAGAGTGCTGAGAAAGAGAGATCGTGTTATTAGAATTAGTTCAGAAGCAAAACAAAGAGAACATTTTTAGATATATGAAAGCATATCTAGTATAGCTTTGACCATTCGAAAACCATCAACATTTAATTTTTCCTATTCTTTAAAGTCTGTCTAAGTTTTAAATGCTCTTGTACAGGTCAAAATACACCTTTAATGGAAAAATATTATGCAAATCAACTTATTTAGTTTTTAATCATGTTACAACTTTGTTTAAAGATCCACCCACGCTAAAATCAGGAACTTCTGGCACAAACTTTTGACTCATACAGCTCTAAATATTTCTACTTGGTTGTCAACAATTCTTTGTGATTGTACTGCTGTGGCAAGATGATATTTCTATGATTAACTCTGATTTGTGACTCTCCATATAAACCTGAAATATCCACTATTAGCACTCTTCCCCTCCCCTATACGTCATGGCAGAAATTACAACGCAGCTTCAATGGTGGGTCCAGTGTTATCATGTGAACAATCCGTATGTAGTAGGTAGACAGCTTCAGCGGTCCCGTGCCTGAACGTAGTTACGCAGAATCGGCTTTACAATCTGTCTCCTTATCTAGCCCGCCTGATATTTTTAGCACCACGCTACATTAGCATTTCACTCCCCATTGAGAATATGCACGCTATACGGCTGCAGCTTAGATAGCAATCTGCTCATTTGTCTTGGCCTGTCACCCTCACATAGCTCTTACTCCATTTTTAGGTAGAATGCAAAGGCTATAGGCTTGGTACAATACCGACATGCTAAAATACTGCTCATGCCATTCCAGTAATATGAGCTGGCATTGCTTGAAGACTGAAGGACGCATTGGTGGAATAGCACATCCATGGTAATTGGTCTGATCTGGGCAGTGATAGGAATGGTGGTAGGCATATGATAGAATAGTGCTAAATTCATGTAATTTCGTACTTTCAGTGACAGGTGTCAAGCATTCAAGTCCATAGCATACAATAGTAAGAAAGAGCCCAGATTTGAGTTTTGCTGTCAAGATAAAGCTATAAAGAACCAGCATGCTAAAAGTGCAGTAGTGCTCTGTTTTTAAATGTCAGGTCTGTAAAGCTAACTGAGTCCTCTTTGCAGCTCGTCACAGCATCATCACATCAAATATTTGTCAATCCATCAAGATGTTTATTTCAAAACCTGTACAATACAATTTTACAGAACAAAAAACCAGAATAACAGAAAAAACAAGTTGCAATACAGGTGATGAGTAACACAATATCATATGCTATAATACACACAGAAGCAGGCCTAAATACTCTCCGAACCTACACCTCTCTCCGACTGCTCACTCACGCTGAAGGTATTATTTCTTTCTTTCATTTTTGGATCCTCAATAGTCTTTACAATTATAAGGATGATTCTTCCAAGGGTCCAAGATCACTTTGAAAATAAAAAAAAAATAAAAAAAATAATCAATACAACGCAAAAAACTCATGTACCTGCGAATACATCCAGAATAGACATCTCTCTTTTTCCTCCTTCCTCGTTTTTTTACGCAATTATCCAAAGAGTAGTTCCACGCACGGGGGGATTTGCGTGGGAAAATCTATAACTTACTGTAAGGAGAGAAAGCACAATCACACTATATGAAATACATTTTACAAGTTCTAACTCTCAAATGTATTTTGCGTTAGCCATTCTATACTATTAAAATCTCACACCACTCGCATGTCCAAACCACCATATGCAACTCGAGCGCACTTCAAATAGCTCACCCCATAAAAAACCTCCAAACTTTCTCTCCTTTGACCCTTCGCACACCCGCACCTCCAGACCGCAGCGGCCTGAGCAGGAAGCATGTCCCCCCTGAGAAAGAGGAGGGCTCAGTGGGTCCACCTCCTCCCGTCTGCATTCTCCTCTCTCTCTCTCTCTCTCTCTCCCCTCAGCCAGTGCGTAACAAAGCGACAGGAAACTTAACTTTTACACACATGGACACAGATGGTCAACACCCAACTTCAGATCGCAGCTTTTCCCTTTCAGTGCTGCGCGGATTTGATCTTTCTAGGGAAAAAATTTTGCTCGCTCTGGGATCTATTGAGCCCGAGAATAGGATGCTTACAGAATAATCGAAGACTCGTTTTCGTTGGCTCGTCTGAAAGCGTGGGATCGTGTCGCTGGAGTGGAGTTGATCGAGAGCTTTTTCAAAGACTTGTCTGTTCCTCAGGTGTTCCAATGGCGACAGCTGGAGAATCTCTACTTCAGAGAAAAGAAGTTCTCGGTGGAAGTTCATGACCCAAGGAGGTACGTTCATACTTAATCCTAGTTATATGCATGGATCTATGTGTGTATGTGTATGTGTGTGGGAAACCGGTTTACAGTTTAGACATCGTTTTTGTCCTGCTCTGTTAAAAGGGAAGAGGTTATATAGTGGGTCATGATTTGAAAATGTTGAGAATCTTTTCATGATTGGTTATTTGCATGGTCAAGATTGGCTTGTGTCGATAAAAGAGTTGTCAAAAATATAAAAAGCAAGAATGTACATCAGGGGAAAAAAATTGTGAATAGACTCTGTACTTTCCATGAATATTTGTAGAATGAAAAATATCGGAACACAAAGTACGTAATACTAGAGAATGTTATTGTTTCATCATTAATCAGTCCTTGCAGTAGGTATTGTGACATCACTAACTGTAATTTATTCTACAATAGTCTTGTTAGATACAGTACATTGTGCAAGTCAGACCCTATTGTAAATCTTATCATATTTTGTTTTGACTATTGTGGGTTTTTGCATCACTCTGGGTGACTGCTTTTGTGTTTTTAATGAAAAGCATTGCATTATTATACATTAAATTAAGTTTGGCAAGCGGTAGATTGGCACCGAAATAGTTTATTTGTTGAACAGACAGAAACAGAAAAGATTGTGCTTTTCTATGGGACATATTATAGTAATAATTGTGTCTCAGACCTTATAGAATTTTCAGTGTGCTTCATGGTAAAACTAAAGGAAGTTGGAAGATGTTAAAAAGCAAACTTAGCATTCTCTAAAAAGTATTCTGACACCAAACAGTAAAATGCATATATATTATGGCTTTTGCTTAGTAAGTTTGGAGCGTTGTTATTATAGATTAACCTAAAGCTGTAGAGATTTTTGAATTGGATTTTAAAGACGGTACAAAGTGATACATCAGGTTTTTCGTTTGCTCTTTTCTTTAACTTTGTACATGTTTATTGCTAATGCATCTTCTATGGACAGCCTGGACATCTTGCTGCAGAAGGAAAGTTTTGACATTCGATCCCCAGCTCCATTAGGCTGTCCCAGGGTAATTGTCGTAACCTAAATTATGCTCGCCCCATAGTAATGCATGAAAGCCATATGGGTCTATGCCTCATTGACCTGTCTGCTGTTGTTTTAACTTCATCCAGTTATGTTTTTGGTGCTTTTTATGCAAGACAAAAGAGGAGGCCATGGAACAAAGCTTGGAGCAGCAGTGTTTTCTCCAAAGGAAGCTGTCATCCTGTTAGCGGGAAGGTTGCTATGGTGACAAACGTAAACAATGGGAACTTCGTGTGTGGCGAGTGCAAAGTGGACCATCGGCCGCCAGCAGTCATGAACAAAGTGATGTGAAGAGCTCAGCAGTGCTCCGGATAAATTGAGGAAGCCTTGCATGAGGACTGCTCTGTTGTTGTGGATTTGAAAATTTAGGATCAGGAGAGAGGCTGATGGTCTTGCTGCTGTGGTTGCCAGATTGGTTTGGATTGAGTTGAAATGTGTACCCAATATACCATTATTTTCCTATAGATCTCAACCAGTTCGAAACCCTCCAATAGGGCACTGTCCGGTTTCCGAAATGTGCTAAAAATAGCTCAGATGACTGCGCATGCGCGCATGTTTCGGACAAACATTGTGTACGACTCGTTGAGTTCTACTGTGTTCTCCTCATACGCGTGTGTATTTATTTGGGCTAAATCATTGAATCATGGTGACAACAAAACACTGCAGTTATGGTGCTTGTCGGAGCGATTTCAGATACTCTGAAAAGGACTATATGAAAGTAACATTCAACCCGTTCGTTAAACCACAACATCGGACCAGACCAGGACCAGACCAGGACCAGATCAGACCAGGTGGGTGCTTGTGGTCGGCAGAATTTCTCTCATGAAAAGGTTAAAAAGGGCACATGTTTTTTCAAAACACTTCGCTGGACCAACTGTGGAGCATCCAGATCCAGTCCTAGCTACGTTTAGCTGGGACTGGATCTGGACCGCTGTATCAGGTCCGTCTGAGCTCTTCTGAATGTAGTTAGCCCCATCAATCCATATTAGTATTGTTTGTCCTAATCCAGAAAGTATACAATTCTCACACCTGAAGAAAGATGAGAGGGATTTTTTTCAACTTTGTGTCTGCTTATTATACGGCTTTGTACCAATTGAACACACAAAATAAACGTCATTCACTACTCATGCCGAAAGGTTTATTTAATGAGTGCAAAGAAAATAGTTCCCAAAGGTTTTCCCGTGGCAGGCGAGTAACAGTGAGGATAGTTAACCTAAAAGCGATCGCTTTAGTCGCATTAAAAAAGTATTTTTGTCATGAAAACCTGAACAGTTAATTCTGAAAACCTCCGTGCACTTGTGTTATGAATGTATGTATAATGTATTCTCCCATTAACATTTAAATGTGTTGATTGATTGTCATTTGCGTTTACTGAGTGTGGCTAGCTCTGATAGTTTCTCTCTGCAGAGACAGTAGTGGCGTAACCCGTTGTGATCATGGATTTATTATAATATCAGCTGACTGTAGCTAACTAATGATCAAACTAATTACAAAGTGGATAGTGCAAAAACAACTTGATAAATGGAAGTTAATCACAGCAAAACAAACAAAGAAGGCGCTAACATTGCAATTTAAATGACTAGATAATGTTAGCATAATCCTCACCATTATCTTTTTATCAATTCAAACCGTCTACCAGTTACTGGAAGACCACGACATTCAAGCCAACGTTATAATTGGTCTACACTATGATCCCTGATGGTTTGATGGTGGAATTTTGCCCCTGGTATATCATTTTCGTCTAAAGTGACAAGTGGTATTTGATTCATTTCGGCAGTGTTTGTCCGAAACATGTGGGCGGGAGTTGACAGGCGGCGGGGGCGTGTCTTAGTGACGTCATTTAGATAGTTCGCTATTAAGCCCCCATAAGTCAGGGGTATCTGAATGTGCCCTAAGTTAACAATACTGTGAAAAAAATATCAAAAAGCCAAATTTTTCAATGTCTCAAAAGAGTTTTATTATCTATGGCTATTATCTCTGAAACAGTTGGACAGCATCAGTCGGACTCTCTGGACATTTTCAAACCACAACATACTGTATTTTTTATGTTTTTATTGTGTGGCTTGAATGTATTCATGTGTAAGGTGTACTTGAGTATTTTAAAAGGCGCAATCCAATGTATTTTACTAACCGGGCAGGGCCTGGTTAGTGCTGTGATGGGAGACCTCTGGGAACACCAAGTGCGACAATGGAGCGGCTGAGGCTGTAATTTGCCAAACTTTATGTCCTTAGGCAAGACACTTCACCCATATTGCCTGGGTATTGTGCGTGTGAATGGTTGGTGGTCGTCAAAGGGGTCGATGATACATACCGTTGCCTCGCTTCTGTCAGTGTGCCCCAGGGCAGCTGTGGCTACAGTAGTAGTTTATCACCAATGTGTATGGAGTGAAAGAATAATGCAGTGTCTTTGATTGTCCTAAAAAGAGCTATATGAAACCAATGCCTTGTTATTATTATGACTTACTTTGTGGTGGGTAGTTTCTGTGGAGCTGAATTGCGATGTGAGATTTTCAAGACTCCACTCTTAGTTTTATCAAAGTTTGTACAGAGAACACGGTCCATTAACCAGATGTCATATCGCACATAGCTGTAGAATAAAATATGTTAAATGCTTATGTTTTGCTCATGTTAGTTTTGTGCTTCCAGCCGTGCGTCGGTGACCCGCAGGACGTTCGGCCACAGTGGCATCGCGGTGCACACGTGGTACGCCTGCCCTGCCCTCATCAAGTCCATCTGGGCCATGGCCATCAGCCAGCACCAGTTCTACCTGGACCGCAAGCAGAGCAAGGTCAGCGCCCGGCCCAGTTAACTGCAAAACTTAATAGATAACAGGTTGCGTTCATGTTGGAGGATTATATTTCAGATGGAGGGGAGGGGCCAATAACATTTTTGAATGAAATGTTATGAAAGAAATGGTCCAAATGTTTTCCCAGATCATTGTTTGATGAGTGATTAGATTAATTAACCCGCCATATAATTATAATGTCTGAAAGTCCTTTCTATCGTCACCACTTCCAGACACCTTTATAAGAAATTAATAAGACCATTGTTGATATCTACTGACAAAGAGGATAAGAAACAGTTTGTGACAGTTTTTGCTTGTTTTTTCCTTCCTTCACCCTTCCTTCGCAGTGTTTTTAGTATTATTTTTTGTATACACTGGGTATTTTTGTATAAATATTCCAAATTGGTTTTTAACTGCAAATGGCAAATACACTGAATCTGAAACTAAGACCATAGAATAGTGACTTTCGACAGTTACCATAGATGCCAGGAAAGATTTTTCAGCTGCCCTCCACCACATTTCTTAATTATAGGTTCTTTTGAATGTTGTGATGTCACATGAACGCAACCTATTAATATTTTGATAAATCCCTGTTCAGCCAGATATAATTATGAAGTCAATGAGCTGTTTTATGTGTCTGCAGTCTAAAATCCACGCAGCACGTAGTTTAAGTGAAATTGCCATAGACCTCACAGAAACCGGAACCCTGAAGACCTCCAAACTGGCCAACATGGGCAGCAAAGGCAAGATCATCAGCGGCAGCAGTGGCAGCCTGCTCTCCTCAGGTGATAAAGCACGCAACACACAAGTTACTCAGAATCCGTTGATTTTGCAGCTAAACGGTTGTCCCACATTTTACACATATGTACTTGTCCCAGACCAGACCAGACCACAGCCTCTAAATTTAGCCAGAGGAGGAATGAAAGGGGCAAAGGGCTGTGGATTAATCACTGGCTTTTTAAACATTTCTTATCTCAAAAATAACAATACGTCTGGGATTTATTTGTGAACTACAGAAGGGACATGCCATTGTGGAATGTGACAGCTGTGCGAACCGTTACATGTAATGAAGCCGATGGAAGAGAAGAGAATGATTCTACAGTATTTCTTTATCTTCTCTGACTGTGGCGAGGAATGTTTGTAATGATAGGATGTCAGTAATGTAAATTTGCCTCCAGTCTTCCGGTTTATAGTTATAGTAATATGTTTAGTTGACATATCCTAAAGGAGACATATTAGGAGGAGAGTTTTTTGAGCTTTTTACCTTAGAAAACTCCAATCGCCAGACCTGGAGTTGTTTTAGGAGCCATCCATGCTACTGTCAAGAACTTCTGGAACAAAAACGTAACTCCACCCCTTCTCTTTAAAAGCCCCTGCCTCAGTCCTGTAACCGATCATTGTACCACTATGACATCCCACTCAGAGCCGTTTTTGGCCTTTTCTCAGGTGAAATTACGTTTTTACAATCACATGGATGTGTTTGCAATTGGTAATTTTCAAATATGAAAAAAACTTTTTTTTAAACTCCTTCCTCTGGTGGCAGTATAGGGATAGGGCAGATTTATGCCATTATTTACCCTTGATATTTATTTCACCGCATAATTTCTCTTGAAGATATTATGTCACAGTGTAAAACATGAAATGACAACAAAATTTGTTTCATAAAATTACATCATTTCTTTTGTTTAGGTCATACAGATTTAAGGATAAAAGATTAGAACTGAGACTGTAGCCGTCTCACCAGCTGTCTCCTTTGCTTTCGTCTTCCAGCCATGGTTTAATCTTTTGCATGATAAAATCCATTTGGCCGCGTTATAGAACAATGCAGACTGCAGAATATGTTAGAGGGCTGTTGTAAACATCTACATCTCTCCCACGGGTTTGTGAGGGTCCTAAATCGGCCCTCACAAACTGACCCTTATCTGGAAAGCTCATGCACTTCCCTGTAAACATCCTCCCGAGCACACAAACTGTCACTCACTCCTCTCCTCCCCATCCTTCTCGGGTCTCAGGCTCCCAGGAGTCGGACAGCTCGCAGACGGCTAAGAAAGACATGCTGGCTGCGCTGAGGGCCCGACAGGAGGCCCTGGAGGAAACTCTGAAGAAGAGAATAGAGGAGCTCAAAAACATCTGCATCCGGGAGGCGGTAAGGAAAAGCACTGCGGCGTATGGAAAGTTATCTACTATCGTATACAGTTAATTTGAACATTCTAGTCTATGCAAATTCACAATAATCATTGTTACGGCGGCTCAGGGCCACAACAAATAGGGAGGCGGGACGGGGGTAAAAAGGGCACAAAGTATATTTAATAAGAACGTAAGACAAGTATAACATAACAAAAACAAAGTATGAGGTGTGAGCATGTAGTAATCAGTGTGTGGTGCAGGTGTGTGATTGCAATGAAAGCCAGTGTGTGGTGTGCAGTGAATGTGGTGCATAAAACAAAAGACAAACTCAAATGTACAAAAAGGGAATGAGCATGGTGGCTCAAGGCAGAGCCCACCAGGACAGGACCAAACAGAGCAGCAGCACAGGAGAAGTGAGCAGCTCTCAGCTCCCAGGTGAAGAGACCCACTGATGAGGGGCGTGGCATGGTGCAGGTGTGGACCTGCACAGAGGAGGAGACGGCAGAAAAGGCAGGCAAATCCCAGACAGCTCCCTCTCCTGGACAGTAAGGGCCTGGCCCGTAACATCATCATAACAATAGACAAACACTTTTTTTTCTTAAATAATACGTGGTTTTTGTTCCAGCAGAAAGTAGACCAGAAGACCACTGAGAGCTGATTGGCTGAGAGCGGGTGGCCCTCTCTTTTTAACTTTTCTGTCTGAAAAAGCTCATGTAAAGATGTCACAGAGGCCTACAATACATGCATGTGAAAACTAGTGACAGAAGCAAACAGTTTTGAGAGCGAGAAAGTCATTAGATGGATTTTATGATATAGTGACAACAGATTGAATATTCATTTAATTATACATTTCATTATTTCTGGTTAGAGTTTCGTCACTTGACACTACATTATTATTACAATTATTAAATCATCCCCATAGGCTTCTGGAACAATGAATTCCAGATATGTTCATAAATGTCCGTTTTATATGACATCGCTTCCTCTTTCTCTGCAGGAGCTGACGGGGAAGCTGCCTAAAGAGTACCCCCTGGATCCCGGAGAGGAGGCCCCCACCATCCACCGGAAGATCGGGACGGCCTACAAACTGGACGAGCAGAAGATCCTCCCTAAAGTAGAGGTGAGCTGCACTGACTGGACTTACCCTGAATATAATTGGTATCTCATCATGTCATCCGTTCAGCTAATCCAGGAAGAGTTTAGCCTCTCTGAGCTAGTGCCCGGTGTATTTTTCTATTGCCATTGGCCTGATCCTAAGTTATCAATAATTTTGTTTGCAGGTGAGATTCAGCGCTAGATCAGATAACACTTGATTAAAGAAATTGCAGATTCATTTGTAATATGTTTTAGTTTAGTTTGAACACTTTAAGCTGGCGCACCAACCTTTTTTTCCCTCCATTCACCCTAGCAGAAAGAGTCTTGTAAGAGTAAAATGTTGTGAACAAGTCAGACTGTAAGCTGTCTTTATATTTTAAAACATGTTCTCTTTTGCATACTTGTAAGAAAGAGCCCTGTGACACACTATTTTATAATTGGGGCTGAGAGATGATTGATCAAGGTTGAGGTGGTCATCTGTTTTTCACATTTCTGTCTGAAAAATCATATCTAAAGACGTTACAGTGGCCAGAAATACATGCATGTGAAAATTAGTGGTTGAACTGTCAAGTTTTTTGAGAGAGAAAGGAGCTAGTTGTATTTTAAATGATGTATTACAGAGTTTATTTTTGTTTTTTGTAAGTAAGGTACACCATCCCTAAGGCAGTCCAATTTTTTGTTCTGATAAAACATCAGCAAAGAGCATGGACAGAGAGATTTACATTCATAAATGTGAAAGTCAAACTACTATACATTTTCATATATAACAAACAAACAACATTTATAATACATTTTGGTGGGATATTTAATCCAATAGAGATTCCAAGCAAAGCAATCCATGTACCAGAGACCTACACAGATTTCTCATTATCCTTTCAAAAAATCTGCATAGCACACCTTTAACTTCACCACAAAACCAAAACAGTCCCCACATGCACGCTCTATCGCAGCCTCAGCCCGTGTTTTGAATCTCCCCTAAATATAGAGCTGTGAGCGCTGCCAGCAGGAAGCGGTGAGAGCGGCGCTGCACATGTGCGAGGCTGAGGTCTTTAGCCCTCAAGGAACTCAACCCAAACGGTTAACAGTTTAAGAAAAGTGCCGTGGAAGCACAAAGCCCTCCACACACCTCCAACTCGGCTGCCTGCGTCCCGCGACCACCACGCAGTAAAAGAAACCGCTCTCACGCCAGATGCCAAAGACATGCGCTGGAACGTGCCGGAGAAAAGTCATTCCTCAGCGTGAAGGAACATGGATATAGTTTTAGTGTTGGTAATTTGAAGTGATTAAAACTGTAAAACTTGCAACGCTCTCTCTACAAGTAAGGTTTTTCAAGATCCAAATAAAGCGTAGAGTAGTGAGAACTGGCCTGCAGGCAGATAAATGACTTCCTCCTCGTGTTTTCTCTGGCAGCGCTGAGTGTCTGTGTAAAGACATGGGAAAGTAGCAACAGGATGACATTTTACAGACTGAACCTAGTGAGGACGCACTGTAGTGTCCATGTTACAGTACTTGAATGCAGCAATACATCTCTAGGGGAAAGAATGAAAGAATTGTTGAAAAAATAAAAGTCAAAATATTTTTCCAGAATAATATTTGATTGTGATCTCCATAGGGCTGTTAATAGGATTACTTTGATAATAGTCATAATTAGTTTGGTGTTTATTCTTTAGATTCATTATTTAGTCAAATAGGCAATTTTTCCAATTCATTTTATCCACACAAAACTAAAGCAATGCATACCTAACCATATAGAAGGTCCTGGGTTTGAATCCCGGTCGGAACAGGGTCTTTCTGAGTGGAGTTTGCATGTTCTCCTTGTGCCTGCGTAGGTTTCCTCTGAGTACTCCGGTTTCCCCTACCACTAAAAGCATGCACACTAGGTTAAATCCTCCAGCTCCGGTCCTGACCAAGCCGAGCATCAACATTTGGAGATGTGTTCTCGGGCGCTGTTACTACGGCGACCACTGCTCCTGACGTTAGCCTTTGGGCATCAGGATGGGTCAAATGCAGAGGATGAATTGCCCTACGGGGATTAATAACGTACACCTTTACCTTTACCCTGCATAATAATACATTAAAATGAACAAAAAGAGTCTTGTAACAGTAAAATCAGACCACAAGTTTTCTTTATCTTGCAAGAAAGAAAGAAAGAACCCATTTAGTCACTATTTGATGCTTTGGACCTATTTTAACTTTTCTGTCCAAGAATTTGGGTGGCACGGTGGCTGAGTGGGTAGCACTCTCTCGCTTTTCAGCAATAAGGTCCTGAGTTCGAATCACGATTGGATCAGTGCCTTTCTGAGTGGAGTTTGTATGTTCTCCCTGTGTCTGCGTAGGTTTCCTCCAGGTTTCCCCTACCACTAAAACACAGAAATTGATTCTGTGAAAGGCACTATATAAATAAAGATGACTTACATACTTCTATAAAGAGGCCAAACATTGTGAAAACTAGTGATGGAACCTTTGGAAGAATCTTTGAGAGAGAAAAGAAAGGTACCTTAGCTTTAAGAAACTGCAAGCTGATTAACACATGTATTTTTTACTTCCCACATACCTAGTGATCCTCTGTCAAGCTGATTCTTACTATGTATTATTACAGTGAGTCTCTGTCAAGCTCTCACTTTGTATTATTACTGTGTATCTTTGGAAAAAAATCTATGGGGAAAATGAATGTGTGAAAATGTTTGTGTCTGTGGCAGGAGGAGGAGCTGGAGCGCCTGGAGAGGGAGTTTGCCATCCAGTCTCAGATCACAGAGGCGGCACGGCGCTTGGCCAGCGACCCCCACGTCAGCAGTAAGAAGCTGAAGAAGCAGAGGAAGACGTCGTACCTGAACGCTCTCAAGAAGCTGCAGGAGATCGAGAACTCCATCAATGAGCACAGGGTCCGCTCGGGAAAGAAGCCCACGCAGAGGGCCTCGCTCATCATCGAGGGTACCACCCCAAACACCAAATACTAGAGGAAAATTAGGCTGAATCATTTTAGAGTTTACATTATTTGACTCCATTGTCCCATCATCAAAAACTAATCTGCAGTTGTTTTTAGCTCCATCCACTCCATATGTACATCTTCTGGCACTCCCCCACACCTTCTCAATACTCCAATATATAAAACTTATTATGGATCCTTACAATTTTCATTATGTCTTTTTCCTACACTTTATCCTCTCTAAATAATTTTTGGGAAATTGTCCTGGGATTTTTTTTTTTTATATAATGGAGTTTCTGGGCTCCGCATCAAGTTTGTGAAAAACTATGAAAAAAAAAAAAACAGGAAAATTAAGTAGAAAAAGTCTTGTATTTTGACTCAAAATTAGATTCAGATTTAGATTCAGTTTATTTGCATATTGGAATAACATAAGGGCAATATTTTATACAATAACTTCTATAAAACAAGTTATTATTTAGGGTTACCTTGTCCGAAATAGAATTTATAACTAATTGCTGTTGAAAAGGTGGTTCTCACACACATTTTATCATTGTCACTATTCGTAAAGTTTTGTGAAGAGTGGACCCAAATGTTGCATAAACATATGATCCATAACAATGACACCTGTTTCTGTCTTCTACAGAAGCCAACATCGGCTCAGAGGACAGCTCTTTATCGGACGCTCTCGTCCTGGATGATGGTGAGAGACTTTATCATCGCACAATTATCACGAAGTTGCTCTGCTAAAGTACTCTCCTCAATGACTGGACTTTTTGACTACAGCTTATATTACTTCTGTATACAGTAATGTATTGGTATTTTAGGGTGGGATTTTGACTAATGCTATGGTTTGTATGTGATTTGTTGAGCCTTCAAAGTCACACATTGCCCGCCTGAGTATATGATGTCTAAATTCACTTTCACACTGCAACAACAAACAAACTGATCTAAATAACTGAAACCATAATAATAACTGAAAAAGGTTCGGATGGTGCTATGTGATTAAGGTGCAGCTCTGACTGGCACCCCCCCGAATCCAGAAATGGATTAAGTGGGAGAAAATGGATGGATGGATCTTAAAATTGTGTAGTGTCCAATTTTATAATATAAACCTGTATATTTTGACTCTCAGGATATGATTTCCCAATGGACAAGAAGAAATCATTTTGTTTTACTCAAAATAATAGACAACAAGAAATGTATCCAAAAAGATCCCTAAATAGGAACTATTGGTTCTTTTGGTAAATGTTATAATAGGTTATAATAAGGTAAATAAGGTAAATATTGCTTCATTCAAGCTGTTGGAACTTTCTCTTGACATGTTTGCAGCAAATACCACTGACAACATGTTCTTAATTTAAATATGGGGTACCTAACTTTGGACAAAACAAATCAAATAACTTAAAAGCAGTTTGGTTCTATGACAAATTTCCTAATTTTTGGCCTCAGTCACATAATGAAATCAGAAATTTCAGATTGGAAAGTGAAAAAGAGAGGACCACCAGAGAAACAAAAAAGTTAGGTACCCCAGCTTTAGACCAGATAAATACTACATCACTTGTGACTTTTTCTCAAACATAGCAGTACTTCATCATTGAGTGCTTTGTGTAGCTTTAAGTATTCATATTCAAAGCCAACGTGATTGTCTCGCTCCCAGATGACCCTCACGTCACCAGTACCCCGAACTTCTCCCCGCTGGCCTCTCCGCACAAGGGCCTGCCTCCGCGGCCGCCCTCCCACAGCCGGCCCCCTCCTCCCCAGTCCCTGGACGGCCTCAGGCACCTGCACTACAACCGGCCCGACTACGACAAGTCCCCCATCAAGCCCAAGATGTGGAGCGAGTCGTCCCTGGATGAGCCCTACGAGAAGATCAAGAAGCGCTCCTCACACTCCAGGTGAGAGCTGAGCCAGAGTTCGACTGATAAAGCTGATCAAGAACGTGTTGTAGACTTTTACCTCGTTACAAGGCCCAGAAACTGAAACTACTCCTGCTATTGCTTTTTTAAAATAGACTTAACAAATATTGATTCCACTTTCTGTAAGTTCCTTCAAGTGTCCCCTGTATATTTCCACCTATAAAACCTCTATTCAATATGGATGTAGAGATGTTGTGGGAGGGGAAAACATAACCGGATTAAGGCAAGGCAAGTTTATCTGTATAACACAGTGCATAAACAAGGCCACTCAAAGTGCAAGCACTTTCGTCTGCGTTAGACACTATATTTGTTGTCTTCTGGTAATGTTTTTTGGATGGTAAAAAGCTGATGATGTTACTACTGATTTATGTGGCTCTACTTGGTAATGGTTCAAAGTTTTCTGTACTAGAATAAACACACACACACGGACGCACGCACACGCACACACATACATACATACATACATACATACATACACACAAACACATGCACACTTGATGATCTAAACTATATTTTTAATCATGGTACAGCTTTGTGTGTTAGGGCATGTAGTTGCACAACCTTGTGCACTATGCTAGAGTTGTTTTTTGTACAACTATTATTTCTACAACAAGAAATCTAATTCCCTGATCATTTGAGATTAGATCTGGATGATCCCGGGTTCAGGAGCCTCTCCTGTAACTCTTCCATTCATCCCATAAACACCTCCACCCCCAGATCAAAACCCATGCACCATGTATTATTGTGTATAATATTTATTTGATTAGTTATTTTCATCCGCCTCATTCTGTGTGTCGTTGTGTTGCCTCCCTCTTCCTCCCTTCTCCTCTTCCTCCCTTCTCCTCTTCCTCCCTTCTCCTCCTCCTCCTCATCTCATCATGTTGTCTTGTTCCAGTCACAGGCGGTTCCCCAGCTCTGGCAGTGCAGATGCAGGGAGCAGCAGCTCTCTGCAGAGCAGCCCAGTTAGAGCCCTGCCTATCTGGAACTGTCAGTCCAGCACCCCCTCCACCCCCGACATGAAAGCACGGACCCCCCATTATGTACATTCCACAAGGTCAGTCCTGTCCCAGCATCCAACTCCTCTACCCCTGATGTCCCGGGTCCAGGAAGGGACATAAGAAAGCCATGTTCACTGGTCACTCCCCCATCATTCCAAATCATGTCATCTGTAACAGCGTTTAAATCAGTCTGTTGTGGCACTGAAAACACTTTTGATGATGTTAAGGTGAGTTCAAATGAAATGATCTAAAGCTGGGGTACTTGATATTCAAGCCACAAAAATATGTCTATGTAGTATAATCCAGCGACTAGTTCATATCTGTCAAAATAGTTTGGTTCTATCCCCAAACGGATTCATGTATTGTTGGTCTCTGTCACATCCTTAGATCAACTTTTTCAGACAGAAAAGTGAAAAAGAGAGGACCACTCTCACTCAGCCAATCAGCTCTCAGCCCAAAGCCTCAAATTGTTTCATTCCTAACTTTTGACTTCTACACAAATCTTTCTGTTGGAACAAACCACATGGATGATTCATGAAACTAAAATTATAAAAAGGTACCCCAGCTTTAAGAATATATTTTCTTGATTTAAGGCTGGAGGATATCATTTTAAAACCGTGAATTTGACAAATTTGCATTTTTAGCTCTCAAATACACTTCAGTACATCTCTAGGCTTTTACATGCATAATTTGTGAGATTTAAGAATATATTTTTTAAATGGAAAAGTGAAGTAGTTCCAGAAGACCAAAATGAACACACTATTATCAGCACATTTATGCCGATATGTGAGCTCACTGGAGCGTATAGTACAAATTGGGATTTTGTTTTATTTCATGGAGAACAAAAACTGTTTCCTGGAGGTGTAATGACACATAATGGTTCCATGGAAAGAAATCCACCTTATAGAACATTCTACACACAAATAGATTTGAAACAGCTGCATGTTGTTTCCATGCAGTATGAACAATCACTTTTGTGACGCAGTAGGACTTTCCAATATGTCTTCAGTGTTGACCAGTTAATATGGCCGTAGCTCCTGTCCATAGGAGCCATCAGTGAAGTTGCTTGTTCTGATCCAACAGGTCCGTGGACATCAGCCCCACTCGTCTGCACAGCCTGGCTCAGCACTTTAGAAACCGCAGCTCCAGCCTTGAGTCACAGGGAAAACTCCTCACCTCGGACAATGAGGGCCACCCGCACACCCTGGGGAGCCCCGACTTCTTCCTGGGACCTCCTCGCACCTCCAACGGCTCAGACCCACTGGACGACTGCTCCTCCTGCACTAGCCAGAGCAGCTCCGAGCACTACTACCCCGCAGGACCACTGGGGCCTGCAGGGAACCCCAACTACTCCACCCTGGGAGAGGACTCCCCGTCTAAGGCCCGGCAGAGGCAGAGGCAAAGGCACAGGTTTCTAATATTCCTTATTATAGTCTGTTTGTGTCTGCTTCATGAGCTGCTCAAGGAGGCAGGTGAACTAACTGTGTCACTCAAGTTAAGATGAGACAAAGGCCCATTTAAAAATAGTATCAAGGTGATGTTCAGAAAGTTACATGGTGCCACTTTGACATATTTTAAAATAGACCATACCTGTTTTAGGCTCATAAATACAATGGAACGTACAAAAATACTTGTCATAGAAGTTTGCTTAATTGAAATGTGCAGTAACATGTGTCTTTCTGCTTTTGTTATTTGAATTCTTTACCAAGAATCCCAAGGGTCTAAGGACCAGTTCATGTGCATTAGTTCGGCCGCTGTATTCTCTCACAGATGTTGTTGTGTCCTGCTTCTGTGGCGGTCGTATGTGAACCTCCTTGTGTTTGGCCCTCAGGTCTGCTGGTCAACTGGGCTCGTCCAACTCCGGCTCCATGCCCAACCTGGCGGCTAAGAATGGCACAGGAGGCTCAGGAGGAGGGGTCTCAGGCGGCGGGCACCACGGGGTGTACCTGCACAGCCAGAGCCAGCCCTCCTCTCAGTACCGCATCAAGGAGTACCCTCTGTACGTGGAGGGCAGCCCCACGCCTGTGGTGGTGCGCAGCCTGGAGAGCGACCAGGAGGGCCACTACAGCGTCAAGGCCCAGTTCAAGACGTCCAGCTCCTACACGGCCGGAGGACTGTACAAAGAGGCCTGGGGCGCGGACGAGGGGGGAGAAGGGGGCCGCCTCACCCCCTCACGCTCACAGATCGTACGGACTCCATCGTTAGGGAGGGAGGGAGGGGGCAGCAGGGCGGCTGTGTCCGAGGAGCTGAGGTGCTGGTACCAGAGGTCCTCAGGCAGTCTGAAGGAGAGGAGCCACTCACACTCCTCTGAGCACAGCACCCCGGGGGGCCGAGGGGGCCGGGTGGGCTCCCTCGCCAAGGGCTCTCCAGGTCAGTCCTACCTGCACCTCCTACATCTGCTGCTGTGTAGTACCCCTGTATAGATCTACTCCGGTGCTATACTTATACTAGTCTGTGCTTACTGCTCCTCAAGATGTCGTCAACGTGAATTCAGATGTAGATTTTTAGTTTTTGTGTTTTCGGAAACAATTAACTCAAATGGAAGCAATCTTCAACAATAGACTGAAGCTTTGCCAGTTTTTATGGAGCTTGTGGAGCACTTGTCCACAGCAGAGTTCACCACTGAAATCACTGCATATTTCAATTTAAAGCTTAGTCCCTCTAGAATTCAGTTGCTACAACTTTCTGGTAACTTTTATGTTTCTAGAGCTTGTATCTGTAAAGCAGTATGTGTATGTCATATCTGCGTTTTAAGCTCAAATCCAGTTGTTAAACCTGTTTGGTACCAAATTTGGTAATCGACAGAGCAGATTTTTTATAAAACGGTATCAGTATCAGGTAAAAATGTATCATTGATTGTAATTTCATGACTATATTTTCTTGGTCTACTAAGCCTGTATGAGCCTGTATTGATCATTTTGTTTGATAGATTTTGTCGCTCCCACTTCTTCACTATTTGCAAGTCGTATCATGTTATGCAAATGTGTCACTGGCCATCGGCACAGCGGCCTCCCTGTGCGTGGCTCATGCCGTGTGTTCTGCTCGTAGTGGCGTCCCCTCACAGCCAGCGAAGTCTGACCCCGTCCAGTGAGCATGCAGCCACCCCCACACCCCCCTGTAGCCCCCAGCACATCCTCAACTGGCAGAGCGGGTAAGATTCATGCACACTCCCCCAATCCCATGTAGACAGACCGCACTGTGGAAACTTATGTGTGTCTGCTGCTGCTACTACTACTACTACTGCTGCTACTATTACTGCTACTGCCAGTACTCTCCATGCTCTGCTGTCTCCCACATGGACACTAACCGCACTGATTTGAAGGCTTTTCTCTTTTGATTCACTACTCACCATCTCACTTTTCTTCTAAACCGCTTAAAGGTGCAGTGTGTGTAGTTTGAACTGCAGATTTGATCCTCTCTAGTAGCAGTCAGCCCAAGTAGTGCTAGTATTCTGTTGTTTCATAGTAGTTGCTTAGTAGATGCTTATCTGCTAACGTAGGTCCATCTCTGCTCAAGTCACTGTTAGAACTACTGTATTTGGTGATGTAAAAAAATATAAAGGTCTAATTAGTTATTTGATTTCTGTTTCCCCCGATAGCGTAGTATGCTGTGTCATTACAAGTATTTGGTGTGGATAGCAACCAGCCAAAATTTGACTCATCAGATCACATGACACACTAAAAAAAGCAAAAAGTGTCTTGTTTTGTTTTGTTTTTTGACCAATCTGTTGGTAGTTATGTGTCTGGTAGGTCTTTTGGTTAAAAAAAACAATCTATAAATGCCGTCGTAATAGACATACTGTATATGAAGGTACTATGGTTTGTTTTAAACCAATCGATTTTGGTCATTGTGCCAACCGATTGAAATTTCTGACTAAAAAATGTGTCAATACAACAAACATCGGTTTAACCAATGTGTTTTAGTGCACAGCTTATATTTTGTATTCCTTTATTTAACCAGGAAAGTCCCATTGAGATTAAGTACCTCTTTTTCAAGGGAGTCCTGGACATACATATAAATATTGCAGATAGAGTTATGTGATATAGTAATATTTGCACTGTCCTTTAAGCAGTCGTTGTGTGTTGTGTTTGTTGTGTGTTGTGTGTGCGCACTAACCCCTGGTGTGGCCCTGTCCTCTCTCTGCTGCAGAGGCACAGACTGCTCTTCTTCAGAGGCCCCACAATCCGGCACTGACGCTTAGAGGTACGGCCACCTCAGCCATACTCACCGTACTCACTCTTCAGTACAAAGACTTAAATGTAAACTGAACACACACACACAGTTAACCCCAAGAATGGTGCAGGTAACGCTGGAGGAGGTATGTCACGTGTTGTCCAGCAGGGGGTGCTCTCTGCATGTGCTCTGCTCTTTCACTGGCCTCACGCTACACATGTACTATACACCAGAGGTGGGACAAAGTCATTGTTTAGCAAGTCACAAGTCAGTCTCAATTCATTGCCCTCAAGTCCCGAGTCAAGTCACGAGTCAAGACAGGCAAGTCCCGAGTCGAGTCCAAGTCAAAGGCCAACAAATCTCAAGTCAGTCCCAAGTCCTACGGTTTGACTTTCGAGTCCTCTCGAGTCTTTTTGACCGCGATTTGTTTCTTGTTGGTCTCCACGTACTTTTGTAGGCAAACAAAATAATGTTAGGAATCATTTTGCTGGTGCATTCTCGTTGGTCTCTGACCCATGGACTAACAGTTTGTTCCATGTCGTTGTCTGCTGATAAATCAAAACTATCTACGTGATCTAATTGGATGTTGTGCCAGATGCAGGCTCAGTTACACATGCACAGACCACACATAAAATCAGAGCAGTCCGTGTCAACATACTTTTTATCTTTGGGGTTTTTAATGGGAAGTAGCAAGTGCAGCATATATGAATATGAGTATTGGGCTAGGACCTGTATCTATATAATCAGTTTAATGTCCGTAGTGGTTATTGTTCCAAATGTCCTACTGTAGAATAGGGGTAGTATGAGGGGTCTAGGCTTTGGACCTGGGCAGCTCGCCATCAACTGGACCAGCATTAGCAATATCTCATAATTACCAATATATCATTACATAATAAAATGTCTCATATAAATTAATTCAATCAGTCAAAGCACTGATTCTCATATCAATGCACCATAAACAATAGTGCAAATATTAATCTAGCTTAGTGCACATAATCAAAACAACTATCTAATGTATGCAAACTTTAGCAGGAGGAGCACAGCAAAAACATACTCATAATAATAGGCCTCGGCGCCCACACAGAAAAATATAAGAAAGAGCCAACAGAGCAGCGCAGGCTAGCGCTAGTTTGACTCACCAGTTCCTCTTTAAAACACGGCACACAGTGTGACAACTGCGTCGATTCAATTGTATGAGGCGCCTGTAGTGAAAGCATTTCAATTACGGTTTGTAGAACAAAGTATGACGTTAGGTCGCGATAAATACCTGCAGCTCGCTCATTTCCAGCTCCCCTAGACAACACACCCACCGGTGAATGCAGTCCGCTTGTTTAGGGAAGTGTTGCTGCGCGAACTGCGGGAAACTCACGTTCGAACTCTCTCGCGAGCGCTACAACTACCGCGAGGCTTTGTTTCTTCAGAGACGGCATAGAGAGAAAGAGAGATGCGGAGAAAGGTAAAAATGGCCCGGGTTACGCAAGTCTTTACAAGTCAATTGGCGCAAGTCCAAGTGAAAGTCAGAGTCATTGATGTTAAAGTCCAAGTCGAGTTGCAAGTCTTTTTATATTTGGTCAAGTCGAGTCTAAAGTCATCAAAATCATGACTCGAGTCTGACTCGAGTCCAAGTCACATGACTCGAGTCCACACCTCTGCTATACACACATCTGCACACACGTCTTCTGCCATATTTCACATGCCCAGGTAAAAGATGTGTCTGAATATTTGATTTTCAGTACAAATATTCATTCTTGTGCAATTTTTAATGTGGTTTGATTCTGCCGTGACATTTTTCTCCTTAGGACACAATTCTAAATGTCTGTGAACCCTTTGGAGCACAAACAAATGGCTGGGGTTTTTGTGAGGCTGAAGCTCACAAGCTGTAGTTTTGGTCTCACTCATTAATCATTTACTCCAACTAGTTTATTTATTTAGATTTTTTGTTTGTTTGCATGAAACTATAGGCTCCTATGGTTTCAAACATGCCTGCTTTTAAAACAGTTGAAAAACAGTTCAGTTAGTGCATCCCCTCCAGATCCTGCCTCCATCCCTCTGTGCACTGGGCCAGTCTGTCTGCTGCTGTGATAATAAAGGCCCAGCGCGGTTTGTGTCTCCAGTTCAACCCAAACACACATTAGTCCTGGTGCCATAACGACAGGCTGCGTTCAGAGATCCCTGTGTGTGTCAAAGACCTCTGTGGAGAATCTGCACATTGTTTATTATGGTAAAAGGTTGAGTAGCAGCTGTACGTGCCTTACAGAAATCACACAGAAATGACATGTCGGGCACTTTCTCTTCATTGTCCTACTCACGTGTGCTCCGGGGATGGGTGAGGGCGGGAGCTTGGGCCGATCCAATTCCAACTAAATACCAGGCCGCACTGCTGACACTGACACCCAGATACATGTCACTGCACTGGTACTATTGAGACTTGCTTTGGGATTCTAATAATGTACATTTTTTGATCATCATAATTCATACAGATTTGACTCTTTGGCTTTGGTCAGTGCCACACTTTGACAGTCCACTCCCATAACAAACTTTTTAAAGTTGTATCCTTTTAAGTACTGGTACAATGATCAAATATAAGGTCATAATTGCTTGAATCAAGGGTTTTTAACTTAATTTCTGTACATTCTGACTTTCTTAAAACAAGATTGGCCAATGGGACAAGCTTTTTAGTCTTATTTCAAGAATTGTTGCTTTATTTTCTCATTCCAAGGGAGATATTTCTTATATCTTTTTAAAATAATATAATTTATGCTTGTCCTGTCTGCAAATGTTGTTTCAAGGCAGTGAAAATGTGCCTAAATTAAGATACATTTTGCAGAATTGGAACTATGCACTGGAGAATGTACACACAAACATCCTGCTCCAGTCTTATTTATTATCAACAAATGCAAAGGGACCAAAAGGTTGAATTTCTAAACCAATTGTGTGTTTATGTTAGCTTAGCAGTTAGCATGACGGGGTCGGTCCGATGTTCCCCGGGGCGGGGAACACCGGACCCGGGGAACATCGGACCTTCCAAACGCCGGAGGGCCCGGTGTTCCCCGACTGCGGGCCTCGCTCATAGACATGTTATTGCTGCGCGCGGATAATGGAGCAACAAGCGGCTTTCGCTCATAGGGCTACTGAATACTTTATATTATAAGCCTTGTAGATCTCGCATTGGTAGCCAACTACATTTTTACAACCTACCACCTCAGAATAAGAACGTGTTGCAGATAAGAAAAGTAAAATTAGCTCCACCACCTTTTCTTTTTGGAAACATATCTCCCTCCGTTCATCCTCGCAACAGTATTGGCGCCAGGTTTGCAATTTTGGGTAGGCCTGCAGATTAGTAAGTAGGCCAAATTCGCTTGAAAACTACAAGGGCTAACTGGAATTGGGGGTTTCAAAGAATATGGTTCAAACGCACACACGCACGCACACGCACTCACGCGCGCACATACACACAAGCTCATTTATGAAACTTGCGTTGAAAAAGATGTACATTTTGGGTGTATATTCCATTTACGCAATTTGCCAAAATGTTTTGATACATTAGAAAAATCCTTCTTGAATTGTAGAAGTGAATAAATATAGATTGATTGAATAAATTAATTAATTCATATATATTATGCAGCGGTGGTTCTGAATGAAGCGTCTGCAGCGTCTTGGACGCAGCCTGGCTCGGGGTAGAAGTGCGCATTGAGGCGCTGTACACTTCAGAGAGCGTTTGCGGTCCAGATTTCACAAAGAAACTCTGGAGCCAAAACTTCTGCACATGTGGCGCGACCTCTCACGGCACTCGCTGCGCACTCTGGACAGGGCAGTGAGACGTTTGAGTGAGCAATACCATCGATGCGTTATTGGGGTGTGTGTCTGTGTGAGGCTTACACAAAATCTAATGAAATAACACATTGCTTTACCAGATGTGAATGAGGAATACAAATAGCCGTGCGTAATTACGCAGCGCAGAGCCTGCCACAGCAATAGATGGGTCACACATCCCTGTTGCGTATGTGTATTTATATAGAGCCTTTGACTGTCCAGGATCACAAAGCGCTTCACATTTTAAAAACATACAGATCAAAATAATACACACACAAGTCAGATTTAATAGAGGGTCCTCATCATGAGCTGTGATTTATTCGAAGTTTGCGTGTTTCCATTAGACTTTTTCTGATGCGCAAATTCAAATTTTGAAACATGATCCTCAATGAAAACACAGCATATAATTTTGCCAGAGGGAATATGTTTATTGTTGTACATATCTTGAATTTCATGCGTATGTTTTGGCGTGTTGTGCCGAAGGTTGAGTTCAGCGTATAGATTTACACCACCTCCAGACCTGGCGTTTATTTTTTGCGTATTGTACGCTCACGTCCAGATTGATAAATGCGGAAAAGTGTAATATTTTGCGTACGCCTCATTTACCCTGATTTGGCCGTACGCAGGTTTCATACATGAGGCCCACAGTGAGGCCTACAGTGAGGCCCACAGTGTGTCTCACACAGGCCTAGAGTTTACCTCATCAGTGCGAGGCGAGCCTGGCCTGACCGCGCTCTCCTCCTCTGGGACCTATGGGCCCGGGCCTCTGGCTCCTCTACCTCACAAAGTTCACGCTGAACTTTCTTAAAATTAAAATGAAAAAGGCTGCTCTGTTGTGAATGCTTTGAGAGCGTTGTCAATCTTTAAGACGAGGAATAGCTGGTTGTTCTCGCTTCACGCTGTGTAATATGATATTGGACAAAAGTGTTCAGCCAATAAACAGGACTATATTTGAAGCAACGTAGGAACGTGATGACGCTCAGGGGGTTATATTATTATTATTATTCCCCCCACTGTAGGAGCCAATACACTTTTCAATATTTTTGAATTCTGAGCGTTTCCAATTGTATTTAAAAATGGGAAACCTAATTAAACAATCATGAATTGAGCTTTTCCGATCTTATTTTACACTGATTCCTTTGATCATTTTTTTCTTAAAGCTCAAGTTGTAAAAATGCTATGTTTGAATTGGTTATTTACATTTTAACTGTGAGTGACACGTAAGGCGGGACAACAATGCACAATGACGCACGCATTCTGAATAGAATAATATGTATTAATATCTCTAAAACTAAAAGAGCATATTCAAGTTTTACAACAAAAACGACGTCATATGCGTGTCCATTATGCGTAAAAGCACAGTGCCCTCAGCAAAACCACGTATTTGGAAAAACTATAGGCTAACAGATGTAGTAGCTCTAGTTTCAATCGTCCTCATTTTATTCAGTCAGACTTGTCAAATATAGATGCCCATGGGAGAGCAAGGGGAGATAACATGCCCATAACATGCCCAAAAATATCCTGCATAGACTCAAGCTGCGATCAGCTGAAATATGCGCACACAAAGAGCGAGAGGGAAAAAGAAAAGTAAATAGGCTTAGGCTAGTTAGTATTTTTTCTCTCACAAAAGTTGGCGCGGATCATATGCCATCTTTCGTGGAGGAGGAAACATCAAACATCAAAGCGCGCACGCGGGGAACAGCGGGACTAGTCTCGTTGTTGAAGTCCCGATGTTCCCCCACTTCTATAGGCGGGGGAACATCGGACCCGGGGAACATCGGGACTTTTTAATACGCGAAGTACCGATGTTCCCCGGGTCCGATGTTCCCCCGCCTATAGAAGTGGGGGAACATCGGACCCGGGGAACATCGGTACGCACCCAGCATGACCAATGAAACAGCATGGACGCCGTTATAATCGCTCTTCTCGTTGCCTCCCGCAGGTCGCTGGACTGCTGTTTCGTCGGCAGCCCCCTGTGCTCCGAGCTGGCAGACGTGCAGTGGTACGGACGCGACAAGGCCAAACCCGGGACCCTGGTCTGAGTCCGAGACCTTCTAGACCTCCATCCCTCATCCTCCCCCCAGGACCACCAGACACGCACCATCCAGACAACAGAGAACCTCAGAGCAGCTCCAGAGGCTCGTGTCCGCAGGGCTGGAGGGGCCACGGCAAGACCCACGTTTGAGTAGTTTGGACTGAGTCTGAATCTTTTGGATCTGTGCTACACTGCAAAAAAAACAGTAAAGTCATGTGCAATAAATAATGCATTGAGTCGATAAGTTATGGAGCAAACACGACGTTGAGTTTTCTCTAAGTGAAGAAAGTTTTTCACATGAAATTGAACAAAAGTAGATAAAAATATTTTGCATTATTGTATCGGCAAATGATATTTTAAGATCGCTACCTTCCCTTTTACACCGAGGCGCGCTTATTTGTTTAGCACAGATCATAAAGGAAACTCAAATTAAAGGACTTTTTGACGTGTAATACTGAGAGGGAGAAGCTTGAATATCCAGCTCAGTTTTTGATCAGGAACAAGGTTTAAACACGGTTAAATATTCAACAAAAAAGACGATTGTGCAAAATATGCTTACCGTAACTTATTATTTTAAACTAAAGTTAAGAATATACGTAATGCTATAGTCGTAGGTATTTGCAAGGACGTCCAAACTACTCAAGCCCAGACACAGTGGACGTCTCTGCGGTCACCTGCTGGACCTGAGCCACTATCCCCCTCCCATCCTCCCTCCCACCCCCACCCCCCCACACAAAACAAACGTCCACGCCACTTTTATATTTATGAAGAAGAGAAAAGAAACGTATATAAATTATGGATCCTGGAACCACAACCAAAGACCCAAGCATCCGTGGACACACCGAGAGACTATAGCAATAACATGGATGGACTTTGAACTGCCCCCGATCTCACCCGGACCTCACAGACCCCACGCATCCAGAGGAGACACTATAAATATATGCTTTTATTTTCATCCCCCAATTGAAGATAATCTATTGACTTTTATATCTTGAATATGATTTTCTCATTTTAATCGAACGTGCTGTTATTGTCTCATCATTTGTACTTGTTTTTTTTTTTCACTGATATTATTTATGGAAGAGGTATGCTTTGTTACAAGTGCCAAACACGCTGGTGCTTAAATGTCAAATAGTGACTTCAAGGCGGTATGTTTTACCCAATTCCCTTTGTTTAGATTTCTATGTGGCTATAAAACCTTTTACATTTTACACCTTAACTTAAGCACAACATAATAGGTCTGAGAATTTTGAAACAGCAAAAAAAAAATCGCATTGGATAGCGTATTGTAGCCTGGCAATTCATTTTATGTTTTTATTTTTAAGCAAACGATACAGATTTTTTGCGTGTAAATGTGTAAGTGTTGCTGCAAATGTGTTATTGCGAGATTGGGCCAAATATTCTGTTGGAAAAGGGAACACAGATTAAGTTTAAGAATTTTATTTTCTGCCTTTGTATTTAATGTATAGATATTTATGTAATTTACACTTAAAACAAGTATTTTCCCTTTCTCCCAAAAATGTAAACGATTGACCAGGCTACTCATTCAACACCGTAAAGCAGAAGAAGCCTTTGAAAAACTCACTCAAAATCACAACTTACAAAACGGTTAGAGAAGCACATTTGATTTGTAAGTTGCATGATTCTGCAGACACACACGTCCCCTCATTGTGGATAAACAAACTAATTTCAAACCCAGATCAGTCGCAGCACTTTTGAGTTCATAAGTTAAACGCGGTATTGTCGAATGACCTGTCTATTGTGTGTCCCCTTTTATTGACAGACCAAAAATCTCAGAATCCAAGTTTTTGTCCCTTGTACAATTAGAAGTGTCCCAAATGCATGCGTTCCATCGATGGCGCCGCGGCCTCCGCCTGGTTCCACTCTCACCGCTGTTTCCTGTGCTTTTGTATATTGGATTTGCCCGTTTGTTTCAACAGAGCCGGGCTTTTTAACATCCACACTCTCCATGGTTTTAACAAGGTTTTTATATTTCCACTTTGAGTTGTTGTATCCAGGTGCTACACATGACTGCGTAGGATCCGTAGACTTGTTCATAATAGATTCAACACCAGATGGAATTCTTTTCGACGGTTTGAAGACTCCTCGCCCTGCCATAGAGCATGTAACATACCTTTATGTTGAACCGTAACCAGACATTTAAAATCTTGTAGAAAATGTGGAATTGGGGGGAAATAACAGAATTCCACAGTTAATTTATTCTTTTTTTTCTATTAAGAATTTGTAAAGTAACTTTACATTTTTCAAAACTGTGTTGTTGGAAATTGATGACTTTTCAAGCTGAGAAGCCGTGGTGGTTCTTGAGATTATGGAAAATAAATTATTGATGAATGTTCTCAGATATGGATTGTGTCTTTTCATTTACTGTGAGAGGAAATGTAATAATGTCACAGTGAGATGTCAACGCATCTGTGGAAGAGGAACACGCTGAAGTCGATACAAGAGTCAGGATTTTGATTCTATTGTTTTTGATAGTAGTGTCCGCTCGGCTCGACTTGTTCACTCTTGGAAAAACCACTCTTGTTGCTTAACGCCATGTCCCTGTGTGTGTTCGTTAGAAGGTAAACTAGAGCTAAAAGCAAACAGCAGCACATGTACCACTCCCCACGGCCTCCAGGCGGCTCACGAAGAAACCATCAAAGAAGCCACATCGAGTTATACAATAAGATATCAAGTGTTAAATGCTAAACTGCTGGAGTCAGGGTTGTGCAAAAAGTATAGCTCAATGTTTAATTTGTGTCTTATTTGGCAAAAGAGACCCAGACCAGATCCAGGATTCCTCTTGAATGTCAGCGAGACTTTGCCGGATTATTAAGAATCGATAAAGAAAACGGTTGGACTTAACAAAATCAGATATATTATTATACAGGCTGCCAACAGACAGTACTACAGACAAGTTACCTGTAATATTATATTGTAGAAAAGATTTTGTCCATCAAACCATCAAAAATATGTGATTGATAAGTATAAAAATTCAGGTTTAACTGCACAATATACTTTTTTATTAATATTTGGATTGTGCCCATTATGATTGGTCATTTATCTATCTATCTATCTACTATATCTTTATAAATACCTCCAATAAGTATGTGGTCATAAAAAAATTATTATTATTATTATTATTCAATTGGGAATATTAGGTGATTTTTTGAACTCCTGGTTGATGATTGAAGAAATAACATAATAGTAACAAAAGAGTAAATATTAAAGCTGTTTAAAACCCACGTCGATCATTTGTATACCTCTATATTTCCCCCCCTCTGTGTCATGAGATCCACTCTTGTGTTAGTGTGGAGGGGTGTTCCCAGAGCCCCTCCTCTCTCTCCGTGGGCCCGTCCCGTCTGCAGCAGCTGGAAGTGCTTAAAGCTCCACATGTCGTGAGAACTGCACCCAACGCCTTTTCACCCGTGCAGAAGTCTGGACGCCTGAGCCAGAGCAAATGTGTCACGAACAGGACTCCAGAGTCAAGGCTTTACAAGGTTCAAACCAGGATTTTACAAGCTCATATCAAACACATACAACAAAAGCTAAAAGAGCCATGAACAATAGTCTATAAATATTTTCAAATGCCTGGTTTGATTCTAGTTTCTAAACTAAACCAGGATCAACCACATCAAGTCGGTGCTTAAACAATAATGCAGATAATTGGACTCCACCCTCAAATTGAATGATTACATTTGAGGGTGGAAAAGGTTTCTTAGTGGCATTAGTTAAGTCTGCTATTTGCTTGCTTCAGCTCGATAATGCTATGATAAAGAAAATGTTATGCTGCATAATAATCATGCCAGGGCAATAAATAGGCCTCAATATGCCATTTAACAGTCTGTCTCTGCATGAACATGACATTCATCAATTTAGCTATATATCTATCTGTCTTAAGTCATGTCTCGGGGTTGAAATGATGAATAGATTGTTCAGAATCCCAAATACCATCCAAATGCCATGATCTGCTTGTAACGTGACATTTATCAGACTTATAACAAGCTGGATCAGTGATGGACATGACATTTACAGACTGAAAGTGGTTCAGACTGACCACAAACATGCAGCAATGCCGCCCTCTGCTGGTGATCCGTCTCCAATGCATGTACAGCAAAAACACAACCTGGTATAGTATAAAAAAATAATTTATGTTTTACATTTGGAGCACATTGTTCAACAGAGTGCCTTTGCAGCCCAGTTATTTCCCAAATAATAAGAATACATCTTCAGACAGTAACTGTGGTTTACAGTCAGACACCTCCATCAGAGGTTGCTCTCCATGTTTTCAAGAAGAGGTCCGTTTGTGTCTTCTGCTTCCTGCATAAAAACACAATCACATATATTGTTATTATGAGGTTATGATAATATTACTCGTTAACACTGCCTGATACATTTCTCCCTCAGAAGATTGTTGAATAAGAGACCCTCCTAGAGACCCCTGAAGGACTGCTGTGGTAAACTAGAGCAGTGTTCAGTGTGCCTAGAGAAATTATCCAGTATCACCTATATAAAAAGAATTAGAAGATTACAAATACTTCTTTTCACTTCTTTGATTTTCCATATAATACACTTTGTTTTGTTAATAAATGCTGCAGAGATACATGTTTCAGTTTCCGCGGGTGGTTTGACGGCTGCCACGGCTCAAAGAGGTTTGGGGAACACTGGACTAGAGCCAACCACAAACCACACTGTTCCTCCTGAATCTGACAAACTGAATATACTTCCAACTTCATTCATGGAGAATTATGACTTCGTTGTGAATTATTGATTGCGACATTACAGAAATATTACAATATATTTGCCCAGTGATGATGGATTTGATTATACACATGCGTAATTAAGTAAGTCATTTTTATATATATAGCGCATGTTTACGGACCAAGGTTTCCCAAAGCTCGTACAGTGTGCTTGTAAAAATGAACATGAGTGGAAAATGGAAAGTCCTTTGTAACTCCTTTTTAGTGGAGTTTTGGTTCTTGGTGTGGGCCAGGAATCCAGAACTGCCCACATTTGTGAAGCGCTTTGTGACTCTAATCTTTATTTATATAGCGCCTTTCACAGACCACTTACTTAGAACCCATTGGCGAACGAAACCTCGAGCCTAAAGATTAGAACTGTCCTCCTACTCCATGTGGGGATTCATGCCAGTCTGCCTCATGAACCAGGGGGGGGGGGGCAAGTCAGCCAGAACATATGAACTTTTGCGTTTTGATCGATATCTAACAGGAACGGTGGGTGCGCTGGGTTATTATTGTTTTGTTTCAGGGACTTATTGGAATATGGCATAATGCCTTATTCAGTGACCATCCACATTCACTGTACATTAGTTTCTACGTTTCTTTCCAACCAAATGCATTACTCGGTCTCAGTTTACTCTCTCCCAGCGCGACTCTTCTCAAACTAGTCCATGATAGTTATGCTACTACTGCTTGCGTTAGTACTCACAGGTCATTCTCTCATCTTTGTGACAGATGTGCAACTTCATGACCTCTACGTCAAAACCTACAGTATTATTCCTCGGCCTCAGAGGGACTCGTGTGTCCCTGTAGCGGCTGACCCCTGTGCCCGGCCAGAACACACGGCTGTAGGTTGTAAAAAGTGTGTCACAGTCTCACCTGTGCCACTCGGCTGTAGCTCTGCACCGCTGTAGGGCTGTATCTGCGCAGGCCTCTCCAGCTCAGGAACAGGATGTAGAGAGAACAGAGCAAACACTGCACTGTGAAGGTGATGGAGGAGCCTCTGGCCACGTACGAGCCCACACGCTGGAACAAACACAACACACTCACTAAATGAGTGGGAAGAGTGGTCAGAGTGGTCAGAGTGGAGAGAGTGGGGAAAGTGGTCAGAGAGGTCAGAGTGGGGAGAGATATTGTTTAGCTATTTAGAGTTTTGGTCTCTTTCTGTCCACAGATTTTTCTTCCAGCCACAACACTTCCAACACTTCCAGCCACACGTTAATGCTTAAAAAACCTCAAGCAGAATTTCTTTGGATATTGAAGAAAATAGGTTTCAGTGATGAGTTTTTTGGAGGCACGACAAGCAAACAAGGTTATTGGTGTCATTATAAAACTACATCCACTGGGGCGGCCGGCCTCACATACTGTACAGCAACCTCTGCTGATCAGGCGGGTCCATGGCATTTCCATGGCATTTCCATTCCATTGCGTCTCTGACACCAGGAGGGAGAAGCATGCTAGTCCCAAGGCTCTCTGACCCTCTGTGGAGAAGTATGCTGAGGCCTTTAAGCTGTAAATTACACCAGCACCAGGACTGGATATACTGTAAGTGTTCTAGCCAATCACAAGCAAGTGCATTGAAACCATAGAGCTCCTGGTTTGTGCAGTTGTCTTTCCTAGAAAGACCAGCTCTGAATGTGGGATCCCCCCCCATTAAAGCTGGGCTCACATAAAAACCCCTTTTTTTAAGTTGAATTTTACACTGCTTTGAAATTAAACACATAGAATACTCTTTGACAGTGTTATCCATTTTGATGCATTTTTAAACACACCGGCAAAATACTGTAAAGTTCAGAGCCTCAAATTCTGGGCAAAATAAAATCACAAGATGAAATTCAACCTTGTTCAAATGAAACAGATTATCTTCAGGTCACTGTACTTTGACTTGACCCGAGTACACACTTTCGTCATCTGTCTCTGCTTTACCTGCTTTGCGTTGAGAGCGCTGCTGTCCTGAAACCTGAGGCTGGTGCTCATTAGGGCAGAGAAGCCAAACACAGAACTAAAGATGTTCGCAGCCACCAGAGCCACCACCTGCGGGAGCGGAGCAGGCACAAGAGAGGAGTGAGGGGCCGCTGGAGGTCTGGGGGTTTTAGTCCACTGGCTTTTCTACGTGTTACATTTGACCTGGAGAGGCACCGTGTCAGAATAAACATATATTGAGTATCTATGTTATTGATATATTTTCATAGTCTGCTTGACACAATGATTTTTCCAACATAAAACAAGGCAAGTAATCTTTATTTACAGTACATAGCGCATTTCTATCTATACCTATGTCTATTTCTATATGGCTAATTTGAAAGATGTTATCCTTTTTACAGAATACATTATGTTTCATACTGTATGTATTTGTATTGTTGTTTATCTTTTATTGTCTGTTTTTAATCGCTTGTGACGCACTTTGGGTCACACTATATGAACTGTGCTTTATAAATAAATGTGATTGATTGATCGGTTTCACTGATCGAGGTCACAAAAGCACTTTACAATGTATTTTTCCATTCCCTCGACACACACGGAAGCGAGACGCCGCTCACACTGGTGCACCGTAGCCCCCGACCATCACCATGCATTCACTCACTCCTTACATTCAGACCTATTGTACATGTTTTAAGCGGTAGGGGAAACCGGAGCACCCAGAGGAAACCTACGCCGACAAGGCAGTAGCAAAAATAACTGAACAAAATCCACCAGAAGTCGCTAACACATTTTGAGAAATCTTATAACCATAATCCACTATCATCCATTTGATAATCCTTCATACCTTGAGTTTATTGGCCTTTCTCTGGACCTCCGCTGCAAAAAACCCAGTCCAGAGATACTGCAGAGAAACACACAAATATCAACAGTAAATGATATGATTGTGTTACGACCCGGGTCAGCTTAGGTGTAAAGGAAATAACAATTAAAAGCAAATAAAATCATAACTTATTCAGATGACAAAAGATGGAAAATGGATATAATAATAATAGGATCAAGCATAAAATAAATAAATAAATAACCTATGAAATTAGTCGGTAATTGACAGTAAATATCTCAACAAAACTACAACAACAAGTCACTAAACTAAAGGACACCAGCTGGAAACTAAAATCATGACATACTTAGTTGTATCGGTTATCTATTTACTCTGTGTCTTTTGTAAATACTTGATTCTATTGCGTTACCCTCTTTTACCCATTTTTTCGTCTGAATAATTTATGATTTTAGTTTCCATTTCTACATCTTGGTTTTAATTGTTACTTCCTTTACGTCTAAGCGGAGCCAGGTGGTACCAGATCGCCACAGTGCTTTGAGGCAAACAAAAAAACTCACCATTAAACTTGACCATACGGGCGTTGCCATGGATACGGCGCAGTTGAAGCTCATACAGGTGTAGGTGACCGTGGAGAGGATGCAGGCGATGGCCCCGAGCACCTGCGCCACCTGAGGACCCGCCAACACAGACAGAGAAACGCTTAGATCAATAAAATGAAGACTTCCAGACTGAAATGGTCGTTTTTATCTGTATCTGTCTCTTTACGGAGCATAACTGTAAAAAGTCATAACAGAGCCCAGTCGTGGCAGCTGATGATGGATGCAAGCTGTGGATTTGTTTTATCAGGGGTGCCAAAATGCCTGAGTCACGCTGCCAAACAGGACTGTGCAAAACTGTTAACTTTTTTTTTTTACTTTTTTCTATCTCAATTATTGGCATGTGTGTTCTAAATTCACTATTTAGTCTCTTCATTAGTCTTTCACAATGCCATCTTAATTATGCACAACTACTTATGTGTAAGTATGTATCAATTCTAACACACTGCAAAAAATGACAAAATATGAGGTGATGTTTGCTGGAATCGAGTGATTTTTGTCCTAATTTAACTGTATTTGAGATTTGCCAATGGGACAAAGTCAGTCAGAACTGTTGCTTTATTTTTATCATTCCAAGAGAGATATTTCTTGTATATTTTTAAGATTATATTATATATACATTATTATTATATTATTTAGCTTGTCCCATTGGCAGAAGTCAATATACTGTACATGTTGCCAAATGTAAGCAATTGTTGACTTATTTTTCACCACTTTTTGCAGAGTAAGACTAATTTCAAGTAAGGCTGCACATCCAAATGGCTTCATCTAGCGTGCTGGATTTTTAAAAAAAGTACACAATATAAATAAAGTTTCAAATCTGTGTGTATTTTTATATATTTTTCCAGTTCTTCTCAAAAATGGAATCGAGATTGCTCATTAAGAGAAAAAGATCCTGATAATTTATTTCACACAGCCTGATTTCCAAATAATCCATATGTTTCAGATTGTGCGGTGTAAGTAACAATATAGGATTGTTAAAGCCATAAGGGAGAAAACATGACACAAACATGCTCTCAAAACTACTTCTAGTGTGGATTTTGCACATCTCATCTCAAATAAATATAAAAGATAATTGCTCCTTATGTGTAGATTGTCAGCCATTACACATTACCATTTGTTAGATTTGACCAATTTGCAACTTATCAGAACTCACCCCTGAAACCAAAAGTCTTGTATTGACCACGGTCCCGAACCAGCGGTGGATCCTGGCGTTGTCCAGATCCCCGTGTTGGACCTGGGCCACGGCCTGTGCCCGGGGTGGAGCGGCCTGAGGGTTAGGGCTCTGCATGTAGACCTGGTGCAGTCCCTCTTGAAACATATTCTGGGACATCTGACAAACATAATAAACAAGATCAATCTGACAAAAAGAGAATTATTGTTGGTAATGGAAGCTCACCTTTTAAACACAATAATCCAAAAAGCAGGACATCACTAGAGGGAAAAGACCATCTTATAGAACGAGTAGAAAGCAGAGGATTTGTATATTAATGCTTTTCCTGGAGTGACTTGTTTGAGAAATACAGCCAGGGGTCAAATTTCAGCTGTGGTGGATCATGGGAGCTGCCTGGTCAAAGTCCAGGAAGAGATCTGAGGAAAGATTGGCTCAAGCTCTGTCCAGCCGGAAGCGTATTATTCACATTTTTATTAGGAGACTAAATGAAGCTGGTGATTTGTATATTGACAATTACATTTTAGTATATTTTGCCAACAATTAAAACATTTACTAAAAACATCTATTCAAAGTTGAAATCCTGATTGGAATGACTGGTGTGGCACTTTTTTGTATAAGGAACATGGAACATAGTAGAAAGCAATTATTTAAACATTCTATTTTCCAAAAATCTAGATATAAAAGCTTGGCCTTGTTGCTGCTTGCATGTTATCTGTATTTATTTGGGTGGAAATAGAATATTTATATAAATATAGACTAGCAGCCATATGACAGCTAAAGACCATAGGAAAATAGTGTAGGAAATGCAAATAATTAAAGTTTTTAATTAAAAAAAATGTATATACATCAAACACAATTCAAAACTTGCAGTGCGCATGGCTACTTATTTTACAAAAAAAATATATATTTTTTTCAGAATGTGTCTTATTCCAAATTGTAAAATGACCATCACCACCATTCCTTGTTGCACACTGGACAAAAATGCAACATGGAAAATAATGTTGGACAGATTTTTAATAGATTTTTATTGAATGAGTTAACACACATTGAAAATCTAACTGCTGCTTGATTAGTGCATCATGTATATTTAGAATTAACTATTACAATCCACCTAAAGCTGTGGACTGACTAAACATTAACAACCTGGAATTTCCCACATGTCTAGTGTAACGTCGATCCTCAACAACACAGCTGTCAAACACAAGGCCTGTGGGCTGCATTTAGCCCACTGATACCCATAATAATCCTTTTGTTAAAATACCTTCATAATGAAAAAAAAACATGTACAAAAATATCCAAAGGTGCAAAAAAGGGCTTCAAAGCAACTTTCCTCTAAGAAATCCACTTTTATACTATGAGTTTGACATCCCTGATCCTCAACGTTCTGAAAAGGTCATAATGTTTCAAACCCATTCTGTTTTCCCTGGGACAGTATCCATGTCGTCCTCCTCCCCTGCTGTGTACATGTCGGCCAGCCTGCTGAAGCGTGGCCCCCAGTCCTGCAGGAGCCTGAAGTCCTGCCCCAGCGGTGAGTCCGAGGAGGAGTCCAGGGAGCTGAGGGAGGAGGCCTCAGAGCCCGCACCCTCAAAGTCAAACACCAGCAGAGAGTCGTACGGAGGTGACGTGGGGTCGGCGTCTGCAGCCTGCAAGTTCTACAGCACAAGAGCAAGACACAAGCAAGTTACAAGTGTTGTCACTGTTCTACATTTCAAACTCTATTTTGTGTCGTATTTTTTAGTTCTATTTTTTAACAAGAATAGGTAGTTGTATGCAAGTTCTCATATAGTTTAATTAGCTTAGTGCCTGCAACAGAGGTTTGATAATAATGCATCAGTTTCAGGACACTCAAAGACTCACATGTCATTATTCTTTCACTCCATACACAGGGGAGATAAACTACTACTGTAGCCACAGCTGCCCTGGGTCACACTGACAGAAGCAGGGCAACCAGAATGTGCCAGTGGCCCCACCAACCGTCACCAACCATTCACACACACACCAGACTCATTCTAGGCAATGGGGGTGAAGTGTCTTGCATAAAGGACAAAACCACAGTTTGGCACTTTACAGCTGCAGCCGCCCCACGGCTCTAAAACAATGAGTAATACTAAACATAGAATTAAAAAAAATTGAAAGTCGCTGATCCCTGGTTTCAAATGTTTCAAGAAAGGTCTAGTATATTGTATTTGTGATTATATTGTCATTATCCACACAAAGAAGAAAGTTCTGTGACTATTAGAGACTTAAAGCTGAGAGCTGATTGGGTGAAAGTGTATTTGTTTTGATATATATTGGAGCACCTAGTTTTTCATTGAAGCAGAGATACCTGACTTACTTTTTACCTCTTATACTTTGGCAAATTATAGGCTCGGAATATTTATTCTTTCTGGTTACGTCAAAAGCTAAATTGGCGGAAGAAATGCGTTATATATCCTCAAAGATGACCATACATATTTCTGGACTCTGTTACACCTTTGGATCAGCTTTGTTAAATCAAAAAGTGGAAATAATAGTACACAAGTTGTGAGCTACCTCTTGGAGAAACTGTCCTATGTCTTCGTTGGACTGAGGCTGGCGGCGGTAGGTCGGTCGTGCCTGGGTTGGGATCACGTCGGTGCAGACCGCCTGGTGCTCAAGGAGACCTCTGTGCAGCAGACTGGGGTCAAAGTCCTGTTCAAACACACCCCAGCAGGTCAACATCCACCAGAGCTCCTGAAACTGCCCCGTCCATCAGGTCAGCTGGGCACTAACCACTCACACACAAGTACTTTTTGACACTTGCCTTGTCTTCCTCTCCTCCACCCTCCTCATTGTAGTAGAAAATATTATCTCTGGATGGATCTTTAAGAAGGGCAACATCTTTAGCGTTTCTCTTTCTCCTCAGAATCAACAGCAGCAGCAGCAGCACTGTAAATGATAGAGAAAACTCAATAATGGCACTAACACAACATTTAAAGGGTAGAACTTACAAAGCAGTACAAAGATGGCTCCCAGGACTAAGGAGACAGATGAGAGGCGGCTGTGATGGGGCTCCAAATGGGGCATGGTGCAGCCGGACATGGCCCCTTCACACTGGCACACCTCCACGTCCAGGGAGCTGTCCTGGAAAACTAACCTGGCATCATAGACCCTCAGCAGGACCGAAGTCCAGCCCAGGGCCATGCGACGCTTCGGGCTCAAATATATGGCAGGACCTGGAACAGAAATGCAGTGAGTCTTGTCATTTCAATACAAATAATACATGCTTTAAAAAAAATGTATTGATGGAATTCTATTTTCTCTTTTAAACAAGGCGATTATTATTATTTCTTAAACATTTCCATTGAGATATTTTATTAAGCTGAGCATCAACATCTGGAGATAGGCACCCAGGCAGGACCTAGACAGGAGCAGCGGTTTTTCAGAACCACTGTCCCGACTCTACTGGAATTGAAGGATGGGATAAATGCAGACGAAGAATTGCCCTACAGGCTAAAAATAACGTATTTATTTCCCTAACCATAGATGTTCAAGTTTGATGTTTACCAGACATTTTAAAACGTTATTCAGTAATGTAATTTGTTTATTGATCACAATTTGAGGTCAACATTGATGTAGCATGTTGACTTATCTGGCAACATGGGTCACAAAAGCGCAGTCATACTTGAGGAGTTGGAGATGATGTTCCAGCTCTTGCGGTGCTCTCCCTGCAGCTCCACAGTGAACGGGCCGTTATTCCCAGTGCTGTCCGGGTCCAGTATGTCCAGCTGGACCGGGACCGGATTCACGCTGCAGAGACTGACCTTCCTCTGCTCGATCACTGGGGCGTTGTCATTCACATCCAGGAGAGTCACTATGAGAGTGCCCGTGCCAGTGCTTGCAACTGTGTCTGCAAACAACAAGTAGAGTTTGTATGTTTATCAGGGAAGGACACCGCAAAGAAAAGAGAAAAGCAGATAGTACATTGTGTGAATCTGTGTGAATCTGTATCTGATAATAAGCCCAAATTGTCTGTGTTTGTGTGTGCGCGCGTGCATGCGGTTATATCCTATTCAATATTTTATAATTTTACTGTCTTATTATGGATTTTTAAATGATGTTTTAGTCTTTTATTGTGCAGCAATTTGTAAACTGTATTTATGAAATGTGCCATATAAATCAAGTGGATTTGATTGGATAGGATGATGTTAAAAGTACAAAAAAATTGTTTTTAAAGGGCGACATTTTGTTTAATCAATAAGAGATGTTTTTCCCAGCAGAAATAGTCATGATAAAGTGAACACATTTAAATGTATGTCTTCGTCTTAGTAGAAAACATATTTTGGATAGTTTTAAGGAAGAGCCCTGTTTAGTCACCCTTTGATGATATATGTTGACAGCTGATTGGCCGAGTGAAGGTGCTCTCTTTTTTACTTATTTGTCAAGAAAATAAAGCGATTGTATCAAAAGAAATTATTATGTATAAAGTAAAAAGGGAATTCGTATTTCAGAGGCTGATAAAAAATTAGGTGATAATTGGTTAAACATATTTTTGGAAAGTAGGCAATAACCGCATTGCTAATTTGTTATTTGACTAGAACATTGCACAATAAATGTATTGTTCAGACCGGACATAGCTAATTTTCAGAGAATCAAACAACATGTGTGGAAAAATCTTAATTGGTAGAAAATTAAGTCAATTTAGAGGAGACATAATATGCTTTCTGGTACTGTGTAAATCATAAGAAAAAACTATTCGAACACAGTCAAAAGCCAGGATTAGAGCAAAACAATATTAACCAAAAATATTTTAACTAAAGAGCAGATTTTTCACATTTATAATTTTACACAAATCAAGAATACATACCGTTGTCATAGGCCAGAACCTGGACTGTGTATTTATTGTCCCGAACAAAATGTGACTCTCTGTCCAAGTCACTTCTAACACTCACTCTCCCGGAGTCTGGGTCCAGGTGGAACCAACCCGCTGCATCTGCGTTTAACTTGAATCTAACAAAAAACAGAACAATATATCCTTCAAACTCCACCACTACTTCTTATTGCACACAACACAAATACATATAGTGTATAGATACCGTATTTTGGTTGGTCTTGCCATGTCCGGGTCTACCGCTCTGAGATAAGTCACAGAAGTCCCGATCGGGGTGTCCTCAGAAAGTTCCACTTGTATTTTGGAGGGAGTGAACATCGGTGGCTCGTTCTTGTCTTCCACTGTCACTTTTATAGTCGCGGTGGAGGTAGAAACCGGTTGTGTAAACAGGGCTTCGTTTGTGACCACAATTAGCAAGATGAACGCAGAAGTGCTCTCAAAATCCAACTTCTAAAAGAGGAGAAAATACAGTTAAGGAGATAATGAGGAACACAGTATTCAAAGTTACAAGTAATCTTACCTTGGCTGTAGAAAGTATCCCTTGCATTTTGTCGTGGCCTGTACTAATTTGGAAGTGTTCGCCCTCGTTTCCCTTGATTATATTGTATTTTGTATTGGCATTTGCAGAGCCCAACTCGTCTTCATCCGTGACTTTAAATCTAAAAACTTCCACTCCAGATTCGTTCTCCGGAACACTAGCAGAAGCCTAAGGAAAAAGCAGAAGTATTTTCTTTCTTTGGCTTGATTTTAGGAGTAAACACACAAAAAAACATGAAGCATCACTATTCATAAACTACAAAGCCTTTTAATGATTAGATTAGAATAGATATACTTTCCACGTTGGCCTTATAAGAGACATGTATAGCCATAACAGAGTATTGTATTGTGTTGTTACACCTATGTCATTACTGGACACCCTATTGCATTCTTCATTGTACTTTATACAGACTCACTTAAAATGTATGAATCAATTCCAACTTTGGAACTGATACATAGATTTTTATATTTATCAAAAAACAGTCATGGTGAATTGAAAACTGCTTGCCGTCTGTAAAGTAGCCACAAGATGGCGCCAGTGAAACTTACAGATGTGATGAGGAATTGTGGGGCATTATCGTTGCTGTCGGTGATGGTGACAAAGGCGGTGCATGTGGCAGAAAGTCCCTCTCCGTTCATATCTGCAGCCTGGAGGATCAGCTTGTACTCTGCATGGGACTGAAAGCGAAAGATGTTCAAAAACAAAAGACTAAAATCCATTACAGTAATCCGGAGGGTAGAAGCGCAAAAAATGTTATGATTGAATATAGTGGTTTATATTGCTTATATCTTAGCCCAGATCTATGTGCAAATAATGGATTGAGAAAACATATATTTTTAAAAACTGAGGTACCTAACATTCAAGCTACAAAACCTAATGTAATTAAATCTCTCTCTCAGCTAATCAGTTCTGAGTTGAAAGTGACTCAGTGACTTTCTTAAAGGAATCCAAAATAAAACATGTTTTAAAGAAATGGCATAGTTTGATTTCTTCACAAAATGTTACTTTTACAATACTCTTTATGTTGCAAAAAACACAAGTACCCCAGCCTCAGCAATTAGGATGATGGTATTGAAGTACATGACGTTAAATTATTATTCAAAAAAATGTATATTCTCATATAGCGTCAGTGTTGGATGTTGAAACAGGTGGTTTAAAACTGCACCTCCCTGTCCAGTCCTCCTCCGGTCAGACTCAGTACTCCGCTTAATGGGTTTATGGCAAACATGTAGTCAGACGGTACTTCAGGAGTTTGGGACAATATTCTATACTTGATCATGGCGTGGTCCGTTTCGGGATCATCTCTGTCTGTGGCTGTCACCCGCATGACAACATCCCCTATAAAAACACCACAATAACGATTATTATTATTATACATTATTACTGTACAATGAGCCTAAACATGTCATTCATCTGCGGTTTCAGAATGTCCAGTCAATATATATACATATATATATTGATAATGATGCATTTATAGATAGCTAAGAAACATAGCAGCTACTTATATTGTATATCTTGTGTGCTCCCAGTGTGCTCTTACTACTGTGCGTTGCAACATTGACATTTCCCCACTGTGGGACGAATAAAGGTTCTCTTATTTTATCACACGTTTTGCAATGTACAGGCACCATGTGAGCTCCTCACCAGCCTTGCCATTCTCACTGACGCTGCCGTGGAAGGAGCTGGGAGAGAAGTCTGGCCGGTTGTCGTTCTGGTCGATCACATGGACAGTCAGCTCCATGGGCTCCTCAGCTTTGCTTCCGTCATGAGCGTGGATGGCATGGACCCAGAGCTGCACAAGGAGCAAGCAAGTTCATTCATGAGGAATCAAACTTTTTGTGACTAAAGCATGTTAATTACATGTGTGTGGTGTGAGATGTTTACTCCCAACAAGCATTGTTGTTGCTGTCGCAATTAACTCACTAGTAGTTTATAAATATTTCTATTTCAACTCATAAAGCACAGGCATTAAGGCCATTTTTAGTCGTCCCAGAATAGATTTTATGTTTTACATCCTTTTCTGGATGATGGTAATCAATACTCGTGGTAATTACATGGTGAAATTTCTGTCATTTGTTAGAGTTAGTATAAACAAAAATTTAAATCGTCATCTACAATTCTTCACCTTTGGTCCAGCTTTGGTTCGTTCCAAATAAACTGTAACTGGACTAATTCTGCTCAGATAAATTTACCAGAACATCACTCAAATATACAGCATATCGATAAAAAATTTGTTTTGTGTCCGGCACGTACAGTACAAAATTATTGTATATGACCTGTATCATCATCATTAAGAATCATTATTTAATTTGATCTATTTGAATGGAAACTGAAATATTGTCAGTATAAAAATCAAGCCATCGCAGCCAGCAGAAGTGTGTGCTATGCACTTGTGGCTCACAGTATATGCGTCCCTCTTCTCTCTGTCTAGGGGCTGAGTGACCTGCAGCACTCCAGACCTGCGCTCCACAATGAACAGCCCCTCTGGAGCCTCATCTGCCCCGGGGCTGGTGATCCGGTAGTTTATCTCCACCGATGCATCCTTACTCGTCTTTATCTGTCAATAAAAACATACATTGCTTATGATATATGAAATATTGATCCTTCTGTGTCACAAAAAGTAGATTATTTTCTAATATAATACAATACAGAACAAAACAATGTTTGAGATTATTACTGAATTTTTTTTTTTACAAACTGTTGCATTGTTTCATAAAAAAATTAAAAAGGTGAAGTCATCTCAACAAAGTCATGAATTGAAGTGAATTTCTATCCCCTCAAACAGGGGTATAGAATTCTCATTTGTCCATTGTTACCCATGGAACCAAGTTACTGATTGTAAAATAATTCAACAGATGACGTTCACTGTAGATCTATCAATTCAATGTTGAGCTTTGAGTCTTTTAATAAAGATAACATTCAAAAGTGTCAATATCAGAGGTGGGCCATGTGTGAATAGAGCTGGAATTTATTATATTAAGTTATTAAATAGGACGTCTCTGTCCTGCCCATGAAACACTTCTATGTTGAACAAATAAAAATAAGTTGAAATGCAATCAGTTGTGGCGTTAAGATATATAAACAAAAAGTAGCTATATACAAATGAAAAATATGAAAACATCACTTACTTTAACCATATACTTAGGAAAAGGCCCTCGGTCATTCTCTGGGAAGTACAATGGAGGAATTACCCATTCCCTTTTAACTCGTTTCAAGTGGCCAGAAAAAAGTGGAGTAAGTAATGTAGCAGCATGATCCTGGCTCGTGTCAGATGAAACCTGTCTCAAAGTCAATACCAAATTTGATTGAATCTCACATTAAATAGGAGATGAAATATGCAAGGCTTACACTCTGTATACAGGTCTCTGGTCGAGCAGCAACCGACTGGAAGAAAACCATGGATTTCAAAGATTAGTTTCTATTATAATAGTGCTAAAAAATAACTTACCCAGATTTGGGAAAGGAAAATGAGGATTCCAAAAACCCTAATTGCACAAATTTCACAGTTAAAGTTCCTTGATCTTAACATGTTCGGCCGTCCACCAGTTTCAAAGTGTGATCAGAGCAGGGAGAAGAGCTTTCCAATTCAACACGAGAAGCAGTTAGATCTTATCAGTTGAGGAAACAGAAAAGCAAAAGGTGGGCTCTTGGTGTCACTCACAACACAGCTTTGTTGATATGGGCAAATTGAACACACCCCCTTCCTGTCAATCTCAACAATAAAGTATTATGTAAAAAAATAGATACAAATTATCTGTAGAATTCATACAATGTGTTCTTTGCATATCATTGTCTTTTAGAGAAATATGTCAGTTGGAGAAGCTTCTGAATTATTTACAAAATATGAAAGGATGGCTTGGCTGAGCTCACTATAATCATTTGTTTATTTTGCCAACTGCTTCACACACAGATCTCGCAGTCCTCTTAAAATCAGTCATCCGTTAAAACGTACATACACAAAACTTTGATATTTAACAAACATTAAATAAAGTATGTGGATATATCTTTGACTGTGTAGTTTACAATGACAAAATAAAACACATCCAAAAAGTTAAAATATAGTCTGTAGGTTTCATACATACTGGAAACATGACTTTCACATTTGGCCTATTTTACAGCTCTGTGATGAGTTAAGAAGAACAGTCAAGTTTTACCAGAAACAATAATTGGATTTAACATATGAACGGTTATCTCTGTCACATTAGAGCATTCAACATGTTTTCACATAAACAAAGGGCAAACAACAACAGAACAAGACAAACTGTGCAAAGACAAAAGCCAAGTTTCTTTCTTCATGATTATCAGCTCTTGTAAATCCATGTGTAACGTTTCAGGCACTTGTATGTAAACGTAACATGCACTAAACTGATTGAGAACTGTTTAGGACCATATAGTAAAGTATTACGTTATTTTGTGTCCCAGACTTCTACCCCATCTCAGCTACGACGAGGGCGAGCCAGGTCAGAGTTGAGGAGCACCACGGTAGCTGTGATGTCATCCCTGTACATCCGGGCGAGGTCTTCGGGCAGAGACAGAATAGAGGCCAGTTTCTCCTGACACAGCTCTCCATAGTCTCCTTTCCCCAGGGCCTGTCTGATGAGGTGAGTGGCCACGTTAGTGTCCAGGGCTGGGGAGGCTCGGGCACGCCGCTTCAGTAAGAGCTCATGGAGTTTACCCAGCTTCATCCGCCTCTCCGAGTTAGTGACTGGGGCCTGAAGAGACATTTGATTTAACCCTTTAAACGTCATGTATTAACTACATGTTAATAGTTTTATAAAATAAACAATATCTTTCATCTGTATTACCAATATTACAAAGTCATGTACATTTTGATTGTAAATTTTTCCTGTGTGAGATCAATAAAGTCTATCTTATCTTATCTTAAAAGAGTGCATAATCTGGATATGGAGAATATTAACAGATACATCTTAAGATTTCAGATTTCACCCAACGTCGGGTAACACACTATTCCAAATTTCTGACCAACCTGCATGTGAATCCCACTGAGGTGCTCTCCAACGAACCGCACAGCCTCCTGACTAGACAGTTCATCCCACAGGCCGTCTGTGGCCAGAATGAGGAAGCGGTCCTGAGGCCGTAGCTTGTGATGTGTTATCTCTGGTGTCACGTCAAGGTAGGGCGGGCTCAAGTAGTTTGGAGGGACATAGTTGTACAGGTTCAGAGAATCCAGGTCCACAGTGGACTCCAGGCTGGAAATTATGCTCTGCTGCAGCTCAAGGCTCCATTTAAATCTCACATCTCCAAATGCTCGCAGTGGCATCAGAATCTAACAGCACAATAGAAAACAACAAGTTCATTTAAATAAATTCTTTCCCAGTTAATTAAATTATACACTAATTCGCAGACAATATGTTTTGACTCCCATCCCAAAACTATCTTCAAATAAGATTCTAGCGATAGCTTCATAAAACATTCAACTTTCTTTATGGGAGTGAATTTAATAATGTGAAGATTATAGAGTTCATTACACACCCCAAGTAACCGGTCGTCAATTAGCACTGTATCTCTCTCTGACTGTGGATGCTGAGCTTTTATTCGTTCCACTTCTGCAGGGTTCTGGGTGTTGTGGTCCCAGGAAAGTGGAAGTGCACTCCATGAACCATCATCTTCTTGAACCCCCAACACGGCTCTGCAGTCCCCTGAATTGGCCACGTGGATACTATCGGGGCCAACATGGGCCACACATGCTGTACAACCAGCAAATGCCACCTAGACAGAGCACGAGAACATGTTATTCTATAAGACATAATGTTCAACGAATGAATATAAAACTAATCTACTCAAAGAAGAGTTTAATATGATATACCTGAATGGCTGTGCTTTTCATCAAGCTGTTCGAAAGTGGAACCTGGGCCTCCAAAGAAATGTCAGAATCAAGTCTTTTGAAGGCCCGATCTAAGGCATCAAGAGGGCTAAAAAGACAAAAATGCAAAATAGGGATTTTGTCCATCATCAAATGATAAAAAGTGTATCAATTTTAATAATGGGAGATGATCAAATCAATTGGCAATGGATAGTAATCCAACATTTATGAGGAGAAATTATGAAGGCTTGTGGTCTAACAGCCAACAACTCATAACAGATTGTGAAATGCTGCAAATTAAGTAATTCAAGCGGCTTATAAATCAAGATTATAATATGATTTACCTCATGCCGTCACCGTGTTCTTCACTGTCTAGAAGCTCCTGCCAGAAAACCCGCAGGTGTTCAATATAGAGTGATGCTGATTCTCTGTAGTTATAATCAGAGTGATGCTTATGCCACTGCAAAATGGGAGGAACAGCTTTGCCTTGTTCCATGCAGCACTCCAACTCCTCCAGGCTCTGCTTTGACATCATTGCCACAGCTATGTAGTACAGCAGTCTTTCACTTACTGCTTGTGCACATGGCCAGCCCCCATGGCCATCAAACACTCCAAACAGCATTCCTTTTGACTAAGAAAAAAAAGAAATAAAACTGATAAATGTCTTGTAACATGCAAATAGATTATTTAGAAGATACCTGTAAACATGTAGCTGCACTGCGGCGATCCTCATTAGGATTATTGGCAGCTACCTGGTTGCTCTCAAACTTCCTCACAGAGCTCAGGTCCCTGCCATCAAATTCTGGAACACTGACACTCTGTAAAAGAATTATGGAATTAACACAATGGTTTATCATCACTCATTAAAACAATCCTTACCTGCTCATTTGATCGAAGAAGACTGTTAATCTGGACCTGACTGAGTTGAAAGTCCAAATCTTGACGAGTTGAAAAGCTGTGCTTCCACAGAAATATGATTTTAAGTTTTCTTCTAGAGAAGAGTGTCTGGTCAGTTTCTTTAATCCGGGATGAGAAGTGGCATTGTTGGTCGTGACGAGTCGAGTGGTTTAATAAAAAGTGTGCACGTTGAAGACACTTAAAAACAAAAACAAAACATTGTTAAATGGATTGTACATTGAACCCAGACCAAGCTATGTCTGAACAGTGAGCAGACCGACCTGTGATGAGGCATGGACAGAGATCCGTAAGCAGTAAACTCTCTGAAAGACGCTGGCGCACACACGACCAGACATCTCAAATCAAATGCTCTAACGAAATATACGTGGATTATATATTATATTTGCAACACAATACAAAAATAACTTCCAGAAATTATGTTATTGCTATCTATAGCATCGCAAGTGACGAGCTGTGTCCGCAGCAGCTTTGGATGAGTATTATGCTAAAACTGCTAACCTGTTAGCATTGCAATATTTTTCTCATTCAATTTCTAAAACACATGTTTACCTTTACTGCATAAGCTTTGGGGTACAGAAAATAACAGTTGCTCCCTGATACGATACATGTGTATCTCCTACACACAATTCAAATGCTGTTTAACGAAACAAACACTGACCATCTCCACCAGGATGCAATTCTACGGCGCATGCGCATCACGAAAGGCTTAACTATGGATGCAAAACATGCTTAACATGCTTCACATATTTTCAAATGTGTGTTCATTCATTGATTGTATTTTGGTAGAAAACCTTTTATCATACAACAACTATGTTAGAGAAAATAGAACATGTCCTTCATAATAGTGCCAGCGGTGGCGCCATAATTCTGTTGCAACGGTAACCAGGCAGGCGTTAACCTCAGCCAATCAGCAGATAACTTAAACTTAGCCGTGATGTAACGCTAGCTAACGTTATCGTTGTAGCGTTAACAGTGTGTTCATAGCTTGAATATGGAATATGTAATATATAACAGTTAGTTGTCACATTCCGAGGCAGTTAATAACTGTGGGAGATGGACAGAACCAGAGCAGTACAGGACAGCAGTCGGAACAGTGAGTCAGAACCACAGTCTGTGGTCACAGCTGATTCATTAACTTTACCTTAAACTGTTAACAGCTAATGGCAAATGAGCTAACTAACTCCCTCAATCAAGTTTTTTGACCTTGTTCAACCATTTGTATGTTTTATTCATTGTATGACTGTAAAATATTTATACATTTCAGCCATCAGGACGGATCTCAATTTGCTTCTGGAGTGTCTGAAATTCCAGATGAAATGTCCTGATCTACAGAAACAAGCCCTGCTAACTATTCATTCAATCTGTGAAAAGAGAGGTATTTGGATGTATTTATCAACAAATCTTCAACGTCTAGAGAGAAAAAGTTTCTAACGCTTTACCTTTTATTGGTAAGAAAATAATGTGGAGCTGCTGAGAGAAATGGGAGGTGTCGCTTTTTTGTTGAACCTCTCAAAGTCCAACATTGTTCAGTCAGACATCAAGGAGACTGCTCTCTTCACGCTGGGAACTCTGGCTGAGGCCAATGGTTAGAGTCATAATGTATCCAAACAAAACATGAATTAAAATAGCTTTGGTTTTGTCCATGTCAAAAGTGTGATCCTTTTATCTGTTGCAGTTTATTGTAAGAACTCACTGTGCAAGAAAGAGATCTTCACAGACCTGGCAGATCAGCTGATGACAGAAGAGGCTTCCCTCGGAAAGAAGAGAGTTATGGTCTATTTTATGTCAGTTCTGGTCTCCAACAACAGTAAGATTATTCTTAATTGTTATCGTTAATACTGTACACATACAGTGCCTTGCAAAGTATTCGGCACCCTTGAACCTTTCAACATTTCGCCACATTTCAGGCTTCAAACATAAAGATATAAAAATTAAATTTTTTGTCAAGAATCAACAACAAGTGGGACACAATCGTGAAGTGGAACAAAAATTATTGGATAATTGAAACTTTTTTAACAAATAAAAAACTGAAAAGTGGGGTATGTCTCTATCAGTTTTGCACATCGAGAGACTGGAATTCTTGTCCATTCTTCCTTGCAAAACAGCTCGAGCTCAGTGAGGTTGGATGGAGAGCGTTTGTGAACAGCAGTCTTCAGCTCTTTCCACAGATTCTCGATTGGATTCAGGTCTGGACTTTGACTTGGCCATTCTAACACCTGGATACGTCTATTTGTGAACCATTCCATCGTAGATTTGGCGTTATGTTTTGGATCATTGTCCTGTTGGAAGAAATCTCCGTCCCAGTCTCAGGTCTTTTGCAGACTCCAACAGGTTTTCCTCCAGAATGGTTCTGTATTTGGCTCCATCCGTCTTCCCATCAATTTTAGCCATCTTCCCTGTCCCTGCTGAAGAAAAGCAGGCCCAAACCATGATGCTGCCACCACCATGTTTGACAGTGGGGATGGTGTGTTCAGGGTGATGAGCTGTGTTGCTTTTAAGCCAAACATATCGTTTTGCATTGTGGCCAAAAAGTTCGATTTTGGTTTCATCTGACCAGAGCACCTCTTCCACATGTTTGGTGTGTCTCCCAGGTGGCTTGTGGCAAACTTTAAACAAGACTTTTTATGGATATCTTTGAGAAATGTCTTTCTTCTTGCCACTCTTCCATAAAGGCCAGATTTGTGCAGTGCACGACTGATTGTTGTCCTATGGACAGACTCTCCCACCTCAGCTGTAGTTATCTGCAGTTCATCCAGAGTGATCATGGGCCTCTTGGCTGCATCTCTGATCAGTCTTCTCCTTGTTTGAGATGAAAGTTTGGAGGGACGGCCGGGTCTTGGTAGATTTGCAGTGGTCTGATACTCCTTCCATTTCAATATAATTGCTTGAACGGTGCTCCTTGAGATGTTTAAAGCTTGGGAAATCTTTTTGTATCCAAATCCGGCTTTAAACTTCTCCACAACAGTATCTCGGACCTGCCTGGTGTGTTCCTTTGTCTTCATGGTTCTCTCTGCGCTTTAAACAGAACCCTGAGACTATCAAAGAGCAGGTGCATTTATACGGAGACTTGATTACACACGTAGGTGCATTCTATTTATCATCATCAGTCATTTAGGACAACATTGGATCATTCAAAGATCCTCACTGAACTTCTGGAGTGAGTTTGCTGCACTGAAAGTAAAGGGGCCGAATAATATTGCACGCCCCACTTTTCAGTTTTTTATTTGTTAAAAAAGTTTAAATTATCCAATAAATTTCTTTCCACTTCACGATTGTGTCCCACTTGTTGTGGATTCATGACAAAATAAAATGTTATATCTATATGTTTGAATCCTGATGTGTGGCGAAATGTTGAAAGGTTCAAGGGAGCCGAATACTTTCGCAAGGCAATGTACAAGGTGCAGCTCAGAAAATGTGAATATTGTTCAAAAGTGGAAACTAACGTCACACATTAAATATCAAGCCATTATTTGTCACAATGTTGATATTTTGCTCACAGCTAATAAAAACAGCAATTAAAACATCTCAGAAAATTATGATATTTTGAAAAAAGACTAAGTCACAACTATAAAAATATAGAATCAGAATCAGAATCATTTTTATTGCCACGTAAGTAACAGGAGGTCACAGACTTGGAAATTGCTTTGGCTCAGTGCAACAGTCAAAAAGAGATAATAAAAATAAGAATAAAAAACACTTCTAAAGAATAAATTTAAATTTAAAATAGAGTTACAGTTACTATTTACAATATACAAGTGCACATGGTGCACACAATGTAAGGTGACAGCAGTACAGTGAAGTAAAGTGACGTATGATGGGCAGTAAAGTGACTTTATAAAGGGCGGGGGGACAGGTTAAGAAGTGTTCAAGAGTCCAACAGCAGAGGGGAAGAAACTGTTCTTGTGGCGGGAGGTTCTAGTCCTGATGGACCGCAGCCTCCTGCCTGAGGGGAGTGGTTGGAATAGTCCATGTGCAGGGTGAGAGGGGTCGGCTGTGATACGACCAGCCCGGCCTCGAGCTCGGGCGACGTACAGGTCCTGCAGCGATGGAAGGCTGCGGCCGATGGTAGACCTGACCAAGCCAAGCATCAGTATCTGGAGATAGGTTCCCGGGAGCTGTACTACGGCGACCACTGCTCCTGAAAGCATTTGCAGGATGGGTAAAATGCAGAGGACAAAGTAAATTAAATAAATAAAGTAAATTAAATAAATAAAGTAAATTAAATAAATAAAGTAAATTAAATAAATAAAGTAAAATAAATCAAATAAAGTGCATATTAGTTACAGAAAGACAAAAAGATAAAGAATTAATACAATTATTAAAACACAATCCTACCCATAATGGCAATGACAAGACCATTTTATGCACAATACACACATTTATGACAACTTAACCAGCGCTGCCCAAAGTGGGACCTGATTTGAATAAAGATGTTCTGAGATAGCCAATGGACCTTTATTTATTTATTTATTTTTAAATCAGTAGTCTTGGATTATCTCAAGCAGGTTCTGAAATTTGGCTAACGTGTTGGATTTTGTACTGAAAATAATATGAACTATGAGTCAATACCTGTCTTCTCTTTGAAAAGAGATGATGTACCATAAGCATACATGTCCGTGCAAACTACCTTTTTTGAAGCAAAACACAAACCCAGATTCTAAAGTTTTGTTACCGGTGATTGGTCTATTTATTGCAACGTTTTTTGTTTTTGTTTTTTTTTATTCAGTAGAAAAAAGTGGAACACTGAAACACTGTGTAGCAATTATGCTACTTCGGTGCAAATATACTGTACTGCATAAACAATCAGTGTTTTCTAATTAGGGAAAACTAGGAAAGTCAAATACATCTACTTAGAGTCTGTAATGGGTTAAGGATAATTTGCAAATGTTGTTGCAGAATTAGGACAGACTCTAGCCCAAAACACAGGCTGCCTGGATATCCTTCTCAACCTTTTCAGGTACTATATTCCCTGATTTGAATTGCATTATTTTGACCATCAACGTGGGAGCCTCATTGTGCTTGTGGCCTTTATTTTGTCAGGGCCACATTCCCCCTGTCTGCTGAAGGTATTTTCAGAACTGCCAGCTCTACCCAGCTCCACCATCTTTGGACGTCTGTGTCTAGTGCTCTTTGTGGATGTGTTAACAATCCTCAGAATGGTATGAAAGGAAATTGACTGTAAAAGTATTTATTATTACATTATGTAATAATAAAAAATCTCTTTTTTTATTAGAGGAAGGACAGAGTGTGTGTGTAACTGTGTTTCCAATTGTGAAAAACTGGATTCAGCAGATTTCCCTTCCTCAAACAGAGCTATTTCAGCCCATATGCTCCTTTGTTGCAATGACTGTGGCAAATAACAGTAAGTATTCATAACGCTTTAAAGGCAATCGTGTGGAAAATAATTTACAATGTTTTTGGTATTACAGACATGCAATATGCACTATATATCAAATACGTTTATTTTTATTCAGTCTGGTTTCACATTTAATTGGTTTACTATATGAAAGTATTCACTTTGTTTCGCTGTGTGAAAAAAAAAGTATATTAACCAAATATATGTAACAAACTTCCGCGTAGCATAAAACATAACATATCTTCTGATTATTATAATCTAATTTTTGGCCTTCTGTCACACCTTGTACCCTTTAGTGTCAACAAGCCCATCTATGCTTTTCAATCTGTGGTGACATTATGAAGCCAAATAATAACAGATCTGCTAATAACAGAGCAGTTCTGTTTATGACGATGAACTTGCTTACAGTGAGACTGCAAGCTTTTCACTGAGCCCAACTTTAACATGATGAAGAAGCAAGACTTAAGTAGCTCAAATCATCTGTCATGATTTCATTAGGTGGTTTCATTACAATTTTATTCTGTTTGTGTTATTTGCTACTCGGAAACTGTAGCAATAATCTTTGCTCTCTCATTGAAGTGTTTGTGGTTCACAATTGTTCCATTAATTGACCCTCTTTGAGAAAAAATTTAGACATGCCTGGCATATGGCAATCAGCTTAATCTTTTGTGATGTCATGGGAGAATAGCTGGTACCACTTACAAGTTATAGTACCAAAAGCAGAAAGCAGATGCAGATGTTGGGGACTAATGCAATTACACGTGACAAGAATGGACCGTGCAACACTGGTATCTTCACATAACATTTGGGGCTCATGGTTTTTTGTTTTTACAGCTTGTGTTCAGGAGTGCTTTTCCGCTTCAGGGGGACTGGAAAATCTCACATTGGCCTTGATTCGATTTTGTCTAGAGTCAGAGACGAGCTTGCTGGCCTGCCAACTGGCTGTCTCCACCTCCAAAACCCTGTCTGCTTGTATCAGTGATAACCGTGGGTATTGTTTTCCCAAACCCACACCATTCACAGCTTGTTGACACTGCTCCTCATGTGTACTTTTCTTCTACAGGTGCACTGGCTTCAGACCTGGCCAAATACAGGGTCATCGGACACCTTTTTTCATTGCTTACCAATCCCAAACTGGAGTCAGAAGAAAGGTTATCAGTGTTGCTAACCATGGGGCACTGTACAGAATCCGCTGGTACTGTATACTTAAATTGTCATCAACTCTTTCTTTTTGCCTTCATGGCTTATTTATAGCAGATTATATATGGGCAGTACATTTTTAGTTTGTTATTATTGAGTGATAGTTTATGGTATTGCAAAAGCATAGTAATTTTGACACACTTTTATATGGATGCAATTATCAATGTAGTAATTGCTTTCGGAAATTATTGCTAAATTTTAATGTAGTGTTGTACTGAAATGTTTGTCTGTCTGCTTTAAAGAAGAACACCAGAAGCAGTTGGTACAAATTGGCAGTCTTCCTGTAATCATAACTTTACTCACAGAAGATACAACCGAAGAGGTCCGCAAGGCTGCCACATTCATTTTACAGACTTGCAAGCAGGCCAGTAAGTCTATATAATTTACAACATGGTGTAAAGTAGTTAACTGTAGTAGTAGTAAACTGAATTAATGCATTTGTTTGTATGAATATCTTAAGCAAACGCTTTGGGTGCATCTGACATGATGAAGAGAGAACCGCATGAGAAAATTCTGGACACAAACATTGATAAGTACAATAACTCTGCAAAGGAAATACTGCATCGAATCAACCAGCTTGAGAAGAAACAGGTTTTTTTTCACTCTGTAACAATCCCAATGGTAGCTGTAACTGTAAGGATTAGTTGTGCCTTCATTACTGTGTTTTCGTAGGCTGAAGCTGAACGGGTTCTTGCATACCCACACATGATTCAAGAGTCCATGAGCCCACCTGTGACTGAAAATACACCAAGGAAGACATTTGGGCGCACTGAAGAGGGGAAAGATTTAATTGTAAGACTAAATAGAAATCTAAACTGCAACAAGGTGAAGGGAATTGGCCAAGAAGATGAGGCTTATAACTTGGAGAGCTATAGGCCTTGGTGGGCCACATACAACAGCACCAGAACAATACAAGCTACTTGCACTGAGCAAAGGCTAGAGGGCGCTAGAGAGCCACTTGAGAATGGGTAAGCGGTGCAGATATCAGACTGAACTATAACAATGACACTAATACTGTATGTGTATTTATCACTTTTGTATTTTTAGTCAGGCATTTAAAATACCTCCTCCGAAATGGAAGACTGCAGAAGAAGATAACTACTTGGTTGAAGAAGGTGAGAAACGGATATTAATGATTTAAATAATGTAATTGTTTGTTTTGTTCTTGTTGTGGTTTTAGATATGAAGAGTGGAACAAATCAGGTTGTTGAAGAGGGGTCGATTTCAGATTTGAGGTGTACAGGTAAGCCAGAAGTATTTACAAATAGTTTGAGGAATTGAATAGCTAAGATACATTTTCCACAACATCATCAACAAATCCTTGTTGTTCCTTTAATTCTTTACAAACCATCTGAAATAATAGTACGGTTTTATGATTGTTCTTTATATGTATGGAATACACATAACATTTTTGTATTAGATGGAAAGCAGCTCTCGCTCTTCCATTTTCTGTTTGTGATGTGTTTGCATCTTTGGCGTGTCAGGCTGCATTCTGCGTTTGGACCAGGTGGACAGCCGAACCTTCCCCTCTCTCCAGAGCTCCTGGACCCACAGCTGCGACATGCACAGGGTCCTGAGAGAAGCCACGGAGCGCTACCTCACAAACAGCCGCAGTCTGTGTACCCAACAAGAGCAGATGAACCCCAGTACTCCACGCTCTCACAAGAACTTGAAAAACCTGAGAGGTTAGGCGCGACTGTTCTCAAATGTACACTCTGTGAGCAGGCTCTTGCATAACCCCATTATATACCATCTCTACAATACTTTTTATTTGGTTTTGTTATATGTTAAAGGTGTTAGGCTGACTCCAAGTAAGACGCCAAGTCAAATCAAATGCTTCCAGGTGGAAGAGCAGAGCAGAAAGAGCAATGGTATGAGTTTGAAGATGAAGATACATTCAAATACAAGAGGCGAGCTATTAAAGCTGGTAGATTTAATTTCACAGAACCACAAAAACAGAACTATGTTCAAATTCATAGCAGTTGCTTCTATTTCTATTTTTCACATGCATGTATTTAAAGCATCTGTCACATCTTTGGATCAGCTGTTTCAGATAGAAAAGTGATAAAGAGCGGCCCCCCTCACTCAGCCAATCAGCCCAAAGCATAGAATAGTGACTTACTTGGCTTTTTCTTAAAAGGATGAAAAAGACATCATGTTTTCCAATAAGTTGAAGACGGCATTTTAAAATAAAAGTTAGGTTCCCCAATTTTAACATGTTATTGGTGAAGTGTTGTGGGTGTGCCCAAGGTTGGAAGGCTTGGATATGGTGGGACTTTCCTCGGCAACTATTTTCTTACTGAAATAAGTAAAGTTCTTTTACAAGTCAGGGATGAACTATTCTTAAATTAATGATCTGGTTAGGACTGTGATGGTTGACCACAGGGAACACCAGCTGCAGCTATAAAGTACCAAACTGTCATGTCCTGTAGGCAAGACACTTCACCTACATTGATGTAGTTTGAGTCAGGAGTGTGAATGTGATTGACGGTGGTCGGAGAGACGAATGGCACATATTAGGAGCCTTTCTTATGTCTGCCTTAACTGTGGCTACAGAATAGTTGTTTATCACCACCGTGGAGTGAATGAATAAGGCCAAAGTATCTTTTAGTTTCTGAAAAAGTATTGTTTAAAAAAATCATGAAAGGAAGTTTTTAATACAAATATTCTATTGTAACAACACTAGTTTAAAAGCATTTTAAAGGTTTATCGGTCTTGATAAATCTTTCTTGTGATAGATATCCGATTAACCCCTCTCCACAAAGGCATGAAAACGGCAGGGCCTGCTTTTTTTCAAAGACCTGGTAAGTGTTTTTGTTGTGATCAAACTATTGTATGGAGTTGTGTTATTTGCCAAAGTCAACAGCAGCTCCGTGTTCAGCAGACCCCTTATCGCTGAAAACTACTGAAGTACAGTACATACATGAACGTTTGCTTTTTGCGTGTCATAACTTTTGGGGGCTGCGATGGGAGCTGTCCTGTCCTGCGCAGCGTTTCCTGGCAGGCAGCTCACCAAAGAGCAGAAGGAATGTTGAGTTGGAGCCAGGGTTTTCACAAAGTAGGCCAGACCAGAGCGCCACAGCTGTATTAAGCTATTTCACATGCGCTCCAGCGTTTATGTGTTAGACAGGAGAAAAAGAAATAAGTGTGCAAAAGTGTTTCCTGCTCGTAAAAGTCACAGAGGTGTCTGAACAGCGACTGCAAAAACATGTGTAAGAAGTTTCCGTCATGTGTACTATTTCTGTTTTCAAACCTTTTTCACCTACATATTATGTTATTACAGAAATGACTTGCATGTGTTTGCTACATAAACAGAGGTTACAACCAAGAGCCCACCTCTTCACCAATCAGATGACACAATGGGCACAGAGGCTTGTTCAAATGTAAGCCTTTTGTGTTCACCATCCCTTATACTTGGATTACTGTTGTTATGCGATTGTTTGTTGTGTGTCACCACAGTGCAGCTCCCAGAGGAGGAAGAGGCAGGACTTCAGCCGCGAGGAGGAGCTCTACTTGCTGTGTGGAGTCAAGACATACGGCCCTTCCTGGAACGCCATCTTGTGGTCTTACCCCTTTCAGACCAGCCGCACCAACGTGGACCTCGCAAAAAAGTACAGACGACTGATGGTAATATGAGAGCATGTGATGGGCCCAAAAGAGGAAGTTTTACACTTCACTGAGAGATATACTTTTGTTTACAGAAAAACAACACTCTGGGAGAAGGTTTGGATTGATAGTGCTCCTCTTTTGGTGATCAATGCCAAAAGGTCCAATCAAAATATATAAATATATATGTTTTATATAGACATACGATTTATATAAAATACAGTTTGAAAGTATATATGTATACATATATTTATATATATATATCTACATAAAGATCCACTTGATTATTAACTTAAAATATATGTCTGTTTTGTAAAAAGCAATTATTCTGCAGTGCTTCTCTACGTTATGTAAATGACACATAAAAAACATGTTACACCAGGTTTGGCTAAATTTGCTTTTCAAATGTATTTCACATTTTATTGAAGTCATGTCACTCTCTAACATACAGTACACTCCCGTTGGATCTCTACGGAGGCCCTGAAACACATTTTTATCATTCCCAAATGTTAACCGCTCTTAAACACTCTGTAAAGTTCTCCCATTTGACTCTGCTCTCTGTTATCACCACATTTGCCAGCTAATTGCTTGCTCAGCTTGACATCATAGGGCCTATCCCACTCCATAGAGGCTTATTCTTCTGTCATTGCTCAACTTATGGCAGACAGGGTGTGGTGGAAGATACAATTTATAATATTCATAATATGAGGAAAAAGGTTCATTTTTGGTCTGTATCATTTTGATTATAGTGTCCAAAACCAAAGACCTGGATTTCTTTCAATGCAATTGCGAGAAGAGCTATGAAAATTGCTGCCACATTCATTTTACAGACTGACAAGCAAGTCAGTGGTGAATACATTTTACAACATGGTGTAAAGTGTTAAATCACAGTCAGCTTTTTCATTGAGCTCTGGCCAATGAAGGCAGGCGATTTTCTAATGAGAGGAGCAGAAACAGGTTAGACAACCACTGTGTTGAGATGTCTGTAACGTTTATTCTGTCTGTTATCCATCAGACTCAGACTATCCATTTAAACTCTGCTTTATCTGGGGCAGGGTCATGGGGGCAGTAATCTAGGCAGAGAATCCCTGACTTCCCTCACACCCAGCTCCTCCTGGGAATCCCAAGTCTGGAGACAGTCTGGAGACAGTCTGGAGACAAAGCACATTAAGTTGTGGTATAAGTTTATCAAAAGTATAAAAACTGATTTCAGCCAGTATGGATTTTTTTTAAATATATATTAAATTGATGTATTAGAAGAACTTGTATACAACTTTTACGGAAGGATATTTTTATTTTTCTAGAATCGAGTTTGAAATGAAGTATTTGTTGTTGTAGTATTGTGTGAAATGTGCTATATAAATATTTCCTTTCGTCAAGAGTGTGCCGGATCTTCTCCTAGATCTGGAACCCTTTTAATGTTGAGTAGTGATTCTACCCCAAGCTCCTCCCACTCAGTTACATGACTTTAAATGTATCTAGTTAAATGCTAGAATGATTACTTCTGTCAGTAATCTACTAAAATATACAATTACACTAAAATAATTTGTAAGGAATACATTTCCTCTACTGAAATGATTTTGCAATGACTGTTTCCAAGTCCCCTTCTTTACTCATTCGCTTTTACTTGCGTAATGAGCGTTTAATCCTTTTATTCTATTCAAGTGAAGTTTTCCTGATAAGTGAACTTCAGCCCTCATACCCAGAGACAGACTCCTCCTGTATGCCATGCTGTCGCAGGGATTGCAATGCAGTGACTGAATGGAGAATGTGGCGAGAGGCGTGCACTGAGCAGATTCTCATGGACCCAAAACCAGTCCCAGAGAAGACTTTTGACCTCCAAAACCCCCCTTCCCCTTGGAAAGAATGTACCCCCCCTCCTCCATCCATCTATCTCCCACCAGACCACGAGAAGGCACTCACTCACAGACTCACAGAGGCTGCCATTTTATTGCCGTATGTACATTGTGTCCCATACATGTGTGCTGCTGTGAAGCGTCAGCTCTACTTGACATGCACACTGGATACAAACAAAGCTCTGTTATCCCTGGAGAATTAGCCTATTACATAATGCATTACACACCATTTGTTACGTGTTGTTATGGCGTGTTACAAATATTTAGTACATACATTCCATTTATTTTTAATTTATGTAAACTCCAAATGGTTTCCAAATATTTTTACAAGCAGGCAAGCAACCGTTAATCATCCCTTATGAAAATAGAAAATTCCCTTGATCAGACTTCTTGGGGGCATTGCAAAAACCAAAATTGCACTGTGGGTCAGATTCCCTTTTTTTCGAACCTTAATTTCGACATTTAGCATCTTGTGCGTATCCATCAAAAACACAGGACAATTTCCCTTAATTTCTCTCTTCTCTTCTCGCGTGGAGGATTGCATCGTGATTTCATCTCCACTTCGTCCATTTGCTTCTAATTCAATGAAGCTGATTACAGAGATCTCTACTGTCCAACGCTGTTACACACTTTTCTCCGTGCCCTCATCCCCACACACAGGCTAACCAACAACTATTATGATTATAAAATAGTTATATAATTAGTAGGCCACATTAGGTGACAAAAATATAAGTCATTACTTTTCAGGTTTGACGTAAGGTGTCAAGGCTTCATCCAAAATGTCTATGGAATACTTTACATGAGCAGGTCGGAGGAGGCGTTTATGTCAAGAGAGCCGTCTGGAATCTTCACGTCGTTCGGTAACAGATCGGACACGAGACCGTTCTCCGTCACTCCCAGCTGTTCTATCAATGCGCCCCCGTTGGCTTCGATGACGTCTTTGGCGAATATTGTCTCTGATGTGATTTGGCACAGAATGGGCTCTGGATCAGGAGTGCAGAGGTCCAACAGAGGCTTGGGGTTGGGTGTCAGCAGATCTGTTTCCGGTGCTGGGAGAGACTCTGGGACTGGGATCAGCTCTGGCTCCTCGGGTACATACATCTCCAGGGGCTCAGATTTAAAACATGCGACAGGTTCAGGGAAGTCCTCAGGGGTCTCTTCAGGCATTGGAATAGGCTCTGGTTCAGGGCATGGGAGCTCCTCAGGCTCTGGCTCAGGCAGAGCTTCAGTTGGAGCTGGTTCAGGAATGACCTCAGGCAGGGAACACAGGATTGGTTCTACTGCAGGCAGTGAACATAGGACCGGCTCAAGGTCTGGTACTGCTTCTAGTGCAGAAGGGACCGACGCGGGCACAGGTTCAGGCTCTGGAACAACCTCTGGGATAACTTCTGGAACAACCTCTGGGATAACCTCTGGGATAACTTCTGGAATAACCTCTGGGATAACTTCTGGAACAACCTCTGTGATCACTTCTGGGACAATCCGGGGGATCACCTCTGGGATTACCTCTGGGATTACCTCTGGGACCACCTCTGGGATCACCTCTGGGACAACCTCTTTGATCACCTCTTGGATCACCTGTGGGACATGGCTGGGCACGGGATCAGGCTGTGGAACCACCTCTGGGACAGCTGCTGCTGGCTCTGGTATTGGCTGAATTTTAGCAGCAGGGGCAGACTCTCCATCAGACTCTGGGGGAGTGGGCTCAGTGGTGGGGGGCAGCTGTGCCTCTGGTGGAGCTGCAGTGACAGGTTGTGCCTCCTGGGTTTCTGGGACACTTTCCACTTGTTTCTGCTCTTCTTGGGGGGCATCAGCGGAAGCTGGGCCAGCCACTTTCTTCTTACTGAACAAGTTTCCCATAGTGAACCTACACATAAACACAATAATATGAGTAAAGATATTCATGTCACTGGACAACATAGTTCACACAAATACAGGTCTCAGGAAGATTTTAAAGTATTGACACTAGGAGTTAACTAGCTGATTTGGTACATGATGTACTGGTGCGTCCCGGACATCATGTACTACATATGTAGTGAGTTCACAATGGGAGTGAGCGCTGCGTGTGCGACGCTCCCCATCTTCCCTTTCCACTAGATCCCTCTCACTAAATGCTTACGAAGGATACATGCTGTCCATTGTTGAATTACGCTTTCATATAAACAATGCACAAATCTGGATTGGTTTACCCTTCAAAAATTCAGCTGTAATTCTGTGCATATCGTTTGTCTTCAGTTGTATCGACGTTATTGAGGCGACATTCATTTAAAAATATATAATTGCTTTGGTTCGTTTCGTACGATTTTAATAGTTGTAATTTAACGTGTAAACAAAAGGAGCTGTTATGGATGCCACTCTAGTTGATTTGGAAAACATGGCAATTGGTTTTATTGCAATTTGCCAAAATGTGTCTAAACCAAAACAGACAAAGAAAGTCTAGCAGACGACCACGCCTCCCTCTCGGGCTAAACTGTGGAAACTGAGCGTAATCGCAAAGACGCATTTCCATCTTTAATAGCATTCATGCATTATATAGGATGGGTGCCAAACCTCGAGATGTTTGTATGAGATGCAGAAAGAGAAGAAAAGTTGCGGGCCGCTCTCTGGAGTTGGAGAAGTCCGTCCGTCAAACTGAACCCGCACAGTGGGACAGGGCTGCAGAGACCAGGCGCGTTCACGAGGTGTGACGCGCGCACCATGTGATTAACGACGAATAAAAACACCCACTACTCTTATGTTCAAAGAAAAGAGCTTGTTTTTGTATGCAACATGTGCTCGGATGTTTGGTGCTAAAGCTTTCTTTTACTGTATATTGTTTGATTTTGTATTGTCCCCTTATCTATGCTTACATGTGTGTTGTCTGTAATGCAATATTTGATATAAATACACAGGACTTATGTATTTTGATTACCTTCGACATTAACGCCAAACACTTTATTATTATTCCTGATTTTACATAATACAAGAGATAATGGACTATAATAATGTATACATGACGTTCACTGACGCCTGCTCAAATGTTGCACACTCAAGCGTTTTTCAATATTCTGATTGTATGATTTTTTTTTATTAGCCACAAGCTCCAACATTGCATTCAAAGGCATTGCAGAAAATTGTGCAACATAGGCTGTGGTTGAAAATTAAACAACTGACCTATGACCATGACACACTTGTTTTCTTCCTTTCGGAAAGGCGTCTCACCCATACAAGACAACAGCTGATTTTGTAACAAGATCTCAACAGGCCATGTTTTTGAACAGGAATCTTACTTGGACGTGTGTCTGGATTTCCTTTTTCCTCTTTTTGATTCTCATGCAGATGTCATCATCTCTTCTCCTTTTTGCAGGAGAATTTATTCACACTGAAAAAGTCCTCATCAGCCCATTTCACATCTGCATGTACGGCAATGACACAGCACATGGAATCTGGTGGAATACAAATAATCTACACTGTGGGATACAGACCAACTTTCTCACAACTGCTGTGACTTTAAGCCTGTACATACCAATAGTTCTTGTAGCCTTTGCGTTGCTGGCAGCAGTGTTGGCAGCTTATGGCGGTGACAGAACTGTGATGAGGCTAAGTATGTTTGGGCAAGGAGTGTCCAGCTTGCTCCTCTTGCTTGGCATTCTTGGATTTCTTCACCTTCATTGGACTCAAGTGAGTTGGAACGGGTTCACCTGCTGGTTCTATGCCTGTGTCGGGGCACAGGTAGAGCTGGCACTCACAGCAGCATTAACAAACCAGTCAAGAAAAAAACCCACAAAATTGTGGATACAAGTCCCAACCTGACAGCTGCCAATGGAATATAAATAAATGTCTTGCATTTGTATATATTATATGTTTGGATTATGTTCAATTTACATGTCAGTGTACAGTGATTCAATTGGGAATATTGACAGAAGCCCTTGCTATAGCTATAAGCCATAGTGTGACAGGAGGAGGCAATGTGGGTCAAGTGTCTTGCCCAGAGGCACAACGACAGTATGCACTTGGGCACGGCTTCAGCTGCTTGAACCAGCTCCCCTACTAGCTACTATACTATACAGTTGATCTTCTGACAAAATGTGATTTGGCGTTTCATAATGTGTGATCTGAGATGTTTTATTTTCATAACATATGCGGAGGACAATATGTAAACTTTGAATTAAAATCTTAAGTACAAATACATTCACTGGAGCATTCCATTATGTCATTACAAATAATAACAATCTTAATAGAATATAATGTAGATGGCGCTATAGTGCAAATGTGTTTTAAACATGTCCTTCTAAGCAATCCTGCTCAGGTGAAGAAGATTTCTCTCACTAGTTGGAACGCCTCTTTCTCGTCTTCAGTGGCAGCCAGAGAGAATCCACTCGTGTCCTGTGTGTGTCTCTCGTCGTTACATTGGGGTCCTTCTCTGTCCTTGGTCGCCTCTGTGCTCACGACAGGATAGGGCACAGTCTCCACCTCTGTTATGTCAATGTCCGATTCAGACACATAGGTCCTATCTTGGGCCTTGTCGCTGTCCCAGGAATCCTTTGCAGCTGGGGATAACGACCTCTGTTTAGAGACAGGACCCACTCTGTTGGGCTCGGGCTGTGAATTACAATGTCACATGTCATTACTGAATCTGGAATAAGCAAAAATGTAAAAAAAAAAAAAAAAAAAACAGTGTTTCATCTGCCCATCACTACCAAATTGTAATGTCGTGTAACCCCATGTCACAATAACAAAATACTATGGTGGATTCTGTTTCATGTTCAGTCCTCAAATACCTAATCAGATTTCCCACCTATCCCAATAAACATGTGCTGTTGTCGTTTTCTAATGAGAAATACTGCCACACTTTTGACATGTTTTAACCATAGAATTAACTAATAGCCAAATGACTAGACCGTTACCGTAAACTACTACTTCACAAACTGCTGTAAAGATCGGCAAAGTCGTCAGAAGATTAGCCGATGCGGGATCCATTAACCATTAAATATCGGAAACATCCCTAATTGCAAGCATGTTTCTTCAGTTGCAGTACACACTGTTTGATGTTGAGGGTGAATGGAGTTGGCTGGAGAAAAAAATTACTGAAAAACTATCAGGTAGAAAGTGTAAGTCACATAGAGATCCTTTCCTTGCTCATTATCTATCTATCCTTATACTTCATAATTCTCAAACAGAAATATATGGTCTCAAGAAAAAAATAATGCATCATACTTTTTGCATTTTCTTAAGTTTACAGTTGTATGTGTGATTGGTAGCTTATTACACATATACAAGCAGCACTGTAATGTACTAAATGCTACGGTTTACTGCTACTGATAAATTACATTATTTTGTTCAGATTTCTGATTTTTGGGAGATTTCTGATTTCACCGACTTCTTCAAAATGTATTGTTTTATTGAACCAGAGTAATAATAAGTTGTTCTACCATATGGATATGGCCCTTTCCAGGTTAGATTAGCGATAGTACCAAAGAGTACTATAATCTTTGAAAGAACCAAACTGTTTTGAGAGTGAGGAACCAAGATGGATTTTTAAAAATACTGTTGTGGTTTGAAAATTACAACATAAATCGAGACATATTTAGAAAACCTGATATCTGATTTTACACATTCAAAAAGTCTCCATTTTCCACTATGGTTTTGAAGTTATGAACGTGCGCCACCTTGTGTTCGTTCTGCAGATTGCTGAGGTAGGTAGATGCAGCTTGGACAAGCTCCTTCTCGTTCATACAGTAGAAAACAGACCTGAAAAATCCATATACACATTCACGAGACATTACAGACATGAACAAAGTCGGCAACACGAACAATTCTGTCACAAAACACAGTAGCTGATGCTAACCTTGCTACTTTCGGCTTCCTCTTTGACTTAAGCGGCTCTTTCGTCTTTTCGTTGGCCTTTTTTGACATCCAGGAGGGAAGTGACCTGTGCTTTTCAGACATCGTAGTTTTTAGCCATGCATGTATTGGTTGTGGGCCAACTTTAACCACTCGATGCTAACGTTTTTCGACAACACGACAACTAGCATAGCAGCTTCTATGATTGAGGAGCTAGCATACTGGATGTGTGCGTGGCTTTAGCGCCCTCATGAGGACGAAAGGGTCAGTACAACAGCATGAGAGCCATACATACATACATCTTGTAAGATTAATATTTACAGTCTGTTGTAAGTAAGTAGTAGTAAGTAATCTTCAGTCTCAAAGCGGTTTACAATTGTTATTTTTGTGGGCATTTGTCTCTCACTAAACGTAGAGATGGGATCAGGGTCGCCAGTACAGGAGGCGCATGCCAGATCTATTGTACAGGTTTTTATTGGTAGGGGAAACTGGAGTAACCGGAGGAAACCTACGCAGACACGGGGAGAACATGCAAACTCCACTCAGAAAGGCCCTGGTCCAACCAGGATTTAAACCCAGGACCTTCTTGCTGAGAGGAGAGAGTGCTATAAAAATGTTATAATTTGCGTACTTGGAAGAAAGAGCCAGTGAGCCACTCTTTGACGCTTTTGGGGGGAGTTTTGATGTGAGGGTGTTCATTTCCTCTAAATATAAAATCTAAATACATCCAAGCGAAAACTGTTTTAAATAAGAAACTAGATAGATGGATTTTACAGTTGCTGTAGTTTGAAGGTATGACCAGATTGGGAGCTGTGTTCGTATCACCAACAGTAAGTCAGATCCATGGATATATTATCTTGTTGGACCTGTTCCCAGTGGTCCAGTTGAAGGAGGGGCGTGGAATAGAGCCGCTGCTTCTCCACGTCAAGAGAAGCCAGTTAGGGTGGCCCAGGGATCTGTTTGGGATGCATCTTGGTTCAGGCAAATCTCTTTGGGAGGACCCAGGTTATGTTGAAGGGGTGTCTCTCAGCTTGCCTGGGAACTCTTCTGGATTTTCCCGAATAAGCTAAAGGAAGTGTGTGTGAGTAGTGGACAGAAGTAGTCCACTTGAACCTGTACAAGTGGACTACTACTGAGGAACATGCTTTGGTATCTCCAAAAGTAAAAGTTATGAATGGGCATATTATTTTTGCCTCTGATGGTGACTGGTTTGGAACATTGGCCTTGAACTGTTTACTTTGGTCTTATTGTACAATTGCATGTCTTGCACCAGCAGGCTGTGACTTGTCATGATGCTGCTCTAGTGCACTGCAAATGTGAAGGACTTAATCCCATGTGATATGTATGACCCTGGCCTCCAAATCACCTCTATCCACCCTCTCACTGGCCATACTGCTGTTAAAAACAAGAATACTCTTACTTTCTGTCACTCTGTGCCCCCGAGGCCTGCTGCGCCCTGTAATTATATCTAAAGCCCCTGCCATGTGCTTAGCCGTTGATTGCAAGACCAGCTTTGTATAGTTGACCAAATTAAAAAGGGAGGGAACTACTGTCTCATACCCAGAGCAGATGTAGTATCTAAACAACATCATGTGCAATGGAATGAAGACTTTAGCTCTCAAAATGGAAAGTAAGCATTGTCCAAAACTACCATTTCTGTAACATGTTCTACCTTTGAGTATCTCTTTCTCTTGATATTTTTTGATTTTTAAATCCTATAATATTAAGTTCTTAAACATCACTAATGCAGAATAGTGCATAGCTGACCCCACACTGCTAATTCTTACCTCATATTTATTACCTCATCTTAGCAGATTTTTTAACGTGATTACAAATATTCTTGGTCTTACAGAAAGTAGCATGGGACTCCTCCACCACCTCTTCCTCCCCCCGCGGCTGGCTGCCACATCCACAGATCAGGCTAAGGCTAAGAAGATTCGAATGGGACTAAAGCTTGGCACAGCTTTTCATGTGAGTTTATGGGTCAAACCTGCCCCAAAACGTCGGCCCGTTTCCGATCACTTCGCTGGATGCAGACACAATGCATCCGGTTCCGTTTTGTAATCGGATGTAGATTATTTTGAGTATATTTTTCACCAGGGCACAATATCCCAGAAAATCCACAGCTTGAAATAACCTGGACAGATATAGGTTTAATCTCATCACTTTCTTCGTATTCATTTCACTGTCCTGGCCCCTTCACCCTAATTGATGAGAAGCTGACTAATCTTCCAGTTGTCTTCCCTGGCTTAACCCTGATTTGAGTAAGGGTCATTACCATTGGCCATCTGTCCCAGGAACCCTTGCTCTGATTGGACTTATGGTACAGGGGCAGCAAGCAGGAAAAAAGGTGACTTCTCCAAACTGAACAAAGATTGAATCCCACTGAAACTTGTATCTGAGTTTATTGGAATCATTGAGGACTCCTTTATATAACATACACAGTGACTATATTTGTGATTTCCCTATTATACATTTTTGTTCAAAATTGATTGGATTTTGGCTTCACTACAGAGTCAAGATCAGACTCTAAAGAATCTTTGTAATGTTCTGTAGAAGGCTCTGTTCCATCTTCAGATTGAGTGCCACAGTAACACTGCGTTGAAATAAATCTCTTGCCTCCAGACGCTGTTTGAAACAATGCCACAGTGGATGAGTGCAGTCAAATCCAAGAACCTGTTCCTCCTTTATGTTTGAACCTTTTATCAAACATAAAGAGATCATACACAGTAGGGATTTTGAAAAGTTAGAAAATTGATTAAAAATATGTAAAAATAAATTCTAAAAAAAAGATATATTTTATATATATGTTTTTATATGTATATTTTTTTGACAAAACACTCAATGCAGCATCTTACTTGTCCTGTAGAGAAACAGTAGCATCTTGTGAGAGCTTATTTATTATTCGTATTGTGTGTGATTATGATAATAATGCATTTGTTTTATATTGCGCTTTGCAGGACATGCCATTATTCTTTCACTTCATACACTGTGGTGATAAACTACTGCTGTAGTCACAGCTGCCCTGAGGCACACTGACGGAAGCAAGGCAACCAGTGTGTGCCGTTGATCCCTCCGATCACCACCAACCATTCACACACACCATTCTAGGCAATCTGGGTGAAGTGTCTTGTCTAAGGACACAACAACAGTTTGATACTCTATAGCCATAGCTGCCCCACTGTGGCACCTGGTGTTCCCAGAGGTCTCTCATCACAGTATTAACCAGGTCCTGCCCTGCACAGCTTCAGAGTTCTGACGGGATCTGGCTTTCGCGTGCAATTATGGCGTATGGTGCATATGACTATAATGGTGACACAGGACCATGACTCCCCAAAGTGTGGCTCAAAAAAGGGGCTTTGCTTTCTGGAAACAACACGTCCTTGTATCCAGTTTCCCTCTCTGCTGCGCCTAAAGTAAATTCTGATCTCTCCCATCTTTTAAAAGCACACTGAGGACAGACACAAATTAAACAATGGCAAAATAAACAAATGTAAGTAATGTTTATTCATATGGCGCCTTTCACAGACCAGAGTCTCAATGCGCTATAAAATTGCTGTTGTGGGCATTTGTCTCTCACTCCACACAGAGATGCATGGTGATTAATATGCTGAAATATAAAAGTTGTAAGTACAAAGTGATCCTATTATGCAGAAGTCTCCATTCCATACACGCAATGTTGTTTTGATACTACCTCCCTGCAGAAGTCATAGGGGGTCCACAGGAAGAAGACTGCCCCTGGCTGTGCCCATGCCCCTGGGCTGGTGACTTTTCTATTTGTACATTCCTCCTGTTTATGCTTCTCTTCCCTGGGAATAAGTGATGGGAGGAATACCGCAAATGCTAAGTTAAAACTATGAAACACCTGCTTTACAATTCATATTCTGAATATCTTTTCAAGTTATTGTGTAAAACTATAAAAATACGATAATTTCAGTAGGAAAAATGGCTGTTCTGTTTTCTAATTGTCACACTAATTATGTTCAGTTTGAAGCCAAACATGTGATGGATTACTAACACCAGTTCCTTTGATTATAGAAACTGTATTCTGTAAAGAATGAGTCCAACAAACTGAACACGGTTAAACTTAAAAAGAAGGCCTGTTTCTTGTATTGTTCCTTATAATAGGATTTTTCAGTCATTTTGATTGTTGAAAATCTCAATCATATCCCTGTTGTATAAATGTCGCTTTAATTGTTATGTTCCGCAGTTTGCAAAACATTGAATTTGAATATTTATTAGACTTAGATCAGATTTGATACCTTAGATTGTGTGTGAGGTTAATGGTTTATTGATACAACTATAAAAAAAAAAAATTTGATTCTGCTTTCAGTTCTTCAACCCTTGTCAAATGCCCCTCTGCCCTCTGGCTAAATGTGCAGAACTTGGAGTAGAAAGTTGTTAATTTCATCCTTAAGTGCGCGCTAATAAGAACAATCCCATGCCTGCTTAAGTCAGCAATCAAAATGCTAATTGCGAAGTCCCTCTGACGAGAGATCAATTTGGGCCCCATTAGCCTCCTCTGGTCCTCTTGTGGACGGTGAGGAGGAGGATCGAAGTGACGCGCAGACAAAGCTTAGTAACTGCTGCTGTTTCACCCAAAAATGACAAGGAAACACAAGAATGCAAACATAACTCAAAATGATCTGCATTTAAATTAATTATGAGAAATGAGGACACAAACTAGTAATTTTATTCTTTAAATATGCAGGATTGACCCTTGTATTCCTGTGGTTTAGATGGATCCTAATGAATTTGGAATTTAGATTAGGTCAAGGCTAAGAAAGAATGTATCCTCCCCCTTTACATTTGTATCTTGCATTTGCTTTTGAGTTGTATCAGTGTACTCTTACTTTCATAAGTCTTGTAAGCTAGTTTATAATATATTTAAGCATTAGTCAACAATAAGAACAATTTCATGCATACATACAGTGTTTGTGTTTTTTTGTATAATGATTTACTGCAATGTGTCTCGCACATAAACATGACTAATTTTACAGTGCAACAGTACTTTAACTTTAGTTGTATATTTGACAGGTGTGTACACATGCAGACATATTTTTTGACCTGTGCTGGGATGGCGTGAGCAAGTAATGGACTACGGCAAGAGTATCATCCATGTGGAGCAATATAAACATTTTCTTTTTTTTCAAGGACCGCGTGAAACAGTCCAAACTTTGATGGTAAGAGCTTTTATTACATGGGTTGTTACGCTGTCATTTCGTAAAGTATTGCCCTTTGTGTGACGAGTTTTATCACTTGACCCAAATGTAAGCAAATCAGTTTGGTAGTCTATATTCCAGTTGTTGCTTGGTGTATGAGGAAATGGCAACCCGGTGTTTGGGAAGGAAAACGTGTTTTTGCTCAGTGAATGATGCTACTATATTAAGTAATATACCTTATAAATGATTGTATATCTGACAGTGTTAAAGTACTCTTTAGTATCTACAAAAGGTCATGAATACCATAATAGTTGCCTTTTGTCTTTTTGGTGATGCTTCAGATGCAGCCAAGGTGTGGTTGCCATGGTGATGGATGGGAATGGAAATCTTTCAAGTGAATTAAAAACAGGGCAATGATTCTTTCTGAGTAAGTAGCAGCAGACGCTCCATTCAGTGAGCCATATGGTCCAGAGATGAACTTGGGCTATTACACTGCACTTTAGATGGAACAAGACCAAACCGTCATCTTATATCCAAGGGCTTCAGAATGAGGAGAAATTGGGACTGTTGCCATAGTGATTAAAGCAAGGCAGATGTACTTATAGCACACCTGCTCATGCTCAAGGGTGGTGCATGAAGTGGAAATATACAAAGAGGAATGGAAACAAATATTAATATATAATAAATTAATGTCATTTTTGAGGTGTCACTGCCCTAGACATCAGATTATATATTAAAAGGTCTCCTATGGCAAGTGTAGAGTTTGCACATCTGGCGTTATGTGATCCATTGTCTTTGTAAGGAGTTTTTCTGCTGCCCTCTGGCTCAGCTGCAGTCCACATAGATTCATTTCATGAGATTTGTAAAATGATCATTACTAAGTCTATAGGTCTATTTTTGAGGTGGTACAAGCAAGCGTGTTAGCCGAGGTGGCTGGCATTAGAAATTTAAAACATTTGGAGAAAATGTTGTGCAAATGTTGAAATAAAGCCTTAAGGGAAAACTCTGGTGGATAATAATCAAGTGTAAGTCTCCTTACACATAAAGACTTTTCACAAGACAGAACATATTTGTGTTCTAGACTGGCCCAGGAAAATTCCAGACATCCAAAAACTGTGGCCAGATCTAAAATTGTTTGTTTACATTATTTGAGCTGTTTAAACTGAGCTGAGTCAAATCATAACTGCAGTTGTGTATATAATCACAATTTAACAACAAACTATATAGAGCTCAAAAGGAGCAAGTAGAAGTAAAGAAATACTTATGTGGAAATACGTTAACCCCAAAGACTTTTCTCTGTAACTGCTGCGAAGGGGTCAGCACACAATATTGTCTGATGGAGATGGAATTTGTATTGTTTTATTGTATCATTTCACATCACAACAATGTGCCATGCGGTGGTCTGTTCCATAAAGGATAGTAAAACAATGTTTTGTGCACGTGACATAATGTGGAAAAGTTCATGGGGTATGGGCACTTTTACGAGTTATTGTACATTATACTAGTCTACTTTTATGTGCACAGAAACGCCGTTGCACGTATAAAAGTGCACAGGCGATCTGGTTCACGCGTGACCGATGACATTAGACACATCTAATGAAGATCTAAATGTAAACTAGATGACTCATATAATTCATTCTTGACGCCACCCCGTGAAGGAGAGGACACGCACCCATCATCGCAGGGAGGCAACGCACATGCGCAGAGGCTGTTTACCGTTGTCCGCGCCAAAGCGAGGCCAGTCTTTAAACTTGGAGCAGTCTGCGGGCTCATGTAGGGGATTCCACACGGCACAAGTATCTCCGTGCGCTCCTCGTCCAACATGACCGTCTGCGGGGCCGTGCGCAACGATTGGCTGCGGCGCCTTGTTTTGCGGACCTCTGGAACGAACGGCAAAAGTTGATTGATCCAAAACTCGGACCTGTTTACGTTTCCTGAGCAAAGCTGTGAGATGTGACTGGCGCTTCTTTGTTCGAGCAGCTACAGCGTCTTACGAAAGGATGTTTGTAGGTGAGTGTCTGCTGCTGCCTGCTCTATGTTTTTATTTGAGAGAATAATGTATAGCTATTTTAAGAAATACAATTAAAAGTGTGTGATTTATCTTGCAATGGATTGTATTTGTTCTGAAATGACTATGATTGTATTATACGAGTTGAACGTCATATAAACAGCCGAGTTTGTACACAAAAACTCAGCTTGATAGAAATGGACTTGCATGGTCATGTTGACAGGTGCATGCTAAACGATGACATTTACATTGGTGGCAGCCTATTTAACATGTAAACGAGCGTGTATTTATTATTTCTTTGCAATTATGCTGATCCATTTGGAAGCAATGTTGTCCCCTAAACTATAGTATGACTTCCTGCTGCAAGTATGTTGTTTGCACACTTGTTTATTTTGAACACTGCATTTGTAATAGTAAACTCCTGACTGGTTGAAAGGGTGCTGAAAGGGACAGCTCCAGGCGCGGGCACGTCGGATCCGCGCGCAGCAGACCGCCATAAGCGCGCGCAGAAATCCCACTTGCATGAGAGATGATGACGACTGCCTCTTTGAATGGCTCCGTGCCTAGACGCCAGCAGATTTGGGCTTGTGCGTCTGCCTCGCTGGGGAATGTCAATAGGCTACAGCTGGAAAAGGCTTTGTGTGTGTGGCTTCTTTTTTCCCTTTTTTTCTTTTTTGGCAAATCTGGTTAAACTCTCTCAATGATAGTGCGTGTCTGTGCTTAAAGTTCATTCCTGTTTCTGCTCTAGGGCTGCATTTTTACAGAAAAAGTGACACCATCGTGTGTGGGTCCTGATAGATATTTTTTAAAACCCTGCAGAGTTGAAAGTTTCCTAAAAGCGTATTTGATTATTTTATAGAAAACTATTTATTATTTCAACAAATATGTTGTATGTTAACATTGTATACAATCAAACTCAAATGTCAGAACACCAGATGGTCTCAGCATTACAACATGGTTCAGACATGTCTGATAGAGAGGGTAGAGAAAAGGTCCTTACAACAGTTGGTGAATGTTGGGATGTGTGTGTCTTCCTTCTGAACATTACATAGCTACAGCTGCCCTGGGAGTTGATCCTAGTGCCCCTTTAACCACAATGCACATGAGACCATCTGTGTTATAGTAGCAGACACGATGTATTTGTGGTCTCTCAATTGACTTTTTGTTTTGGTACTATATTAGTTTTGTTATATGGTTTGAATAGACAAATGGAGAACTCCCACTGATGTCTGCTGTCGTTGTGTCCTTGGGCAAGACATTTAAGCGCACTTTGCCTGAAGCCCACACTGAAAGATCAAGGCTCCTGTGGACTCACCACCTGCAGGAGGATCAGTGAGGGGCTGGTGCTAAGTGTACTGGGTGCAGCTCTGACTGCCCCCCCAAACCCAGAAATGGATTAAGGGGAAGAAAAGGGATGGATGGATGGTTTAAATAGACTTACAGACAACCTTTGTGTTTATCATAGTATGTGTTTGAGGGATGGAGGCAGGCCTTTGTCATGACAGTTGTGGCTACAGAGGAAGAATATTTGAATGAGGATGCTTTATGCTTAAAATGATGGTAACGGTAGTACAGAAAAAAATATTTGCAGATATAAGATGATGGGCACATTTCCTGTATTGATTGTGGTTAAAAAATGTGCAGCTTTAACCTCTTTGCAAAAAATGTTCATTGGTCAGATGTTTTTGACCAATGTAATTACCTCCATAACCCAAACACTATTTTTCCCAAGGCTAATACCATCATTACTGTAAGGTGGAATATTGAAGAATGATTGTAGATTGTGGGCAGCCCCTGGAATTTGGAGGAGAAGAAATACAGACTTGGCTGACCAGTACCAGCCCATGCCAGCCTGCCACTTTAGTGAAACTCAAGCGAATGTCTTGGGGCCAGATTCTCGGCTTGGCTCATACATTATGTAACAACAAAATCTGGCCTCAGACAGCATGATACTATGGAGACGTTTGCGTGAAAATCGTGTAGACAGTTGTTGACAGACATGCCTTTCAATGTCCGCCAATGTTTGTACTGCGGACTGCAAGCAAACAGATGGTGATGTGTCCTCATTTTCACTCACACACTATCTTCCTTTGACTGTATGTTTATTTATATGTACATTTACAAGTTTTCCCTGGCCACAAATGTAGTAAATATAAATCCTCTATAAGCTTTCTGGCATCTTATTGTGTCATCTCTCACAAAGCTTCTAACCTGCCTCTTGTTTCTCTTGCAGTCTGGTTACTCTTCATCTTCTTTGTGGAGGGATTTGCAGTGGCGCGGAAATCTAAAGGTACAATCTCAAATAATAATCCCGATATAGGGCTGGGCAATATGGCGGCACAGTAGTTTGTGCCTGTGCTGGACAGAAAGAAGCTCCTGGGTTCGATTCCACCTCCACTTTTGTCTGTGGGATTAGTGCGTTCTCCCAGTGTCTGCGTAGGTTTCCTCCAGGTGCACTGGTTTTCCCCTAGCACCAAAAACGTGGATGTTAGATGACACCATCCACTAGGTTGGAATGTAATGAGTGAGTGAATGGATGCTGCTGGTAAAGGGCTTCGACGCGCCAGTGTGTTTGGCGTCTCGCTTTGTGTGTTTACATAGATCACTCACTTACTTACTCAAAATGTAATACTAGGTTGATTGCTTGATAGCGATTTTTGACGGAGGATATATATATAAATGCCCTATATGAGTAAAAATTAGAGAAGGTCAATATTAGTATTCATATTTGCCATATTAGTTGTATTATGTGTTGCTATCGTTCCAATATTTTCAAAAGGTCTTGCTGATAGTACAGTTTGTAATATCATTTGGAGAAAAAAAATGCTGACATGTTATTGTTATTTGCATTTTAATTCCTGTATCGGTTGTGTGAAGTTGTGTCATTAGTGAAAGGTGAAAAATGAACCTCTAAAGGTACAATCTGTAATAATTTTGGAGATTGTTCATATTTTGGAAACATATAGATATTTTTTCAATCAATCAAAATGGGTTCAATCCTGTGAGGACGCCGCATTTCCCAGCCCTTTCCCCCAGCAGGAACAGTTGAATGTTGACTGGTAGTTCTTTGTTGAGTAGCACTTTGTTGAGTAGTATTTTGTTGAGTGCTAGTACTTTGTTAGACAGTACTTTATTGAGTGCTAGTACTTTGTTAGACAGTACTTTGTTCACTTGTAGTACTTTGTTAGACTGTACTTTATTACGCATTACTTTGTTGCAGATGTCACCGCTCCACCAAAGGCAGCGCCCTCCCAGTCGCCCTCACGTTACCGCCGCTGTGGCTCCTGGGAACGCACTGTGGATGGAGGATATTTCAACTCTCCAAACTATCCTGACAAGTACCCCCCAAATAAGGAGTGCCTCTATGTACTAGAAGGTACAGGAGTCAGTTTCTCATTTTCCCCAAACAGCACCATTTCAAGTTGTGAGAAGATTATTAGAAAGTTTGTAACCTTTAACAGTGTGACGAGACCCTTCTATTTGGTTTTGAGTTGTCGAAATTGCAAAAGTCTCAAACCCACCCATTTCAAAATTTTCCCAAATTGTCTCCAACTGATTGACTTATACTAATATTCCACTTTTTTTTGACAAAACACAATACTAACAAATGGTCAATGCCCTTCAATGTTGTGTAGACGTGACATTATGTGGAAAAGTTTATGGGGTATGGGCGAGTTCCTGTGAATTATACTAGTCTACATTTATACGCAACACAGCTAATGAAGATTGCCCTTCAATGTTCACATTTATCAAGAAGAATTAATTAATTGATTAAGAATTTATCCAGAAAACCAATCCGATGAAGCTGTTTTTCACTTCTTAAATACACTCTTTCCTGGTTAGTCAAGATCCATATCTTAATAAAGGTCCTTTTGTCCATAGCCCAGCCCAGACAGAGAATAGAGCTGCAGTTCAACAAAACCTTCTACATCGAGGGCTCCTTCGAGTGTCGTTTTGACAACCTGGAGGTGCGGGACGGTCCCTTCAGCTTCTCCCCCCTCATCAGCCGCTTCTGTGGCTCAGCGAACCCTGGACTGGTGCTGTCCAGCGGCCGCTTCATGTGGATACGTTTCTATAGTGACGATGAGCTGGAGGGCGTGGGCTTCCATGTGCAGTACACCTTCACCGAGGGTAAGACAACATTGGCTTTTATGCACCTTTGTTTTAAATCAATATAAATACGGATGAAACTTAGAAAATTAGACGCAGCAGTTTATTTATTTCTGTAATTCAACTTAGAATGTGACTCTGAGTCATTACATGCAGAGAGAAATGAGCCCAGCCTTTGTTGTTATATACTGTAAGTTTAATAAGTCTGTTATATGTTAGTTTCACATAAGTTGAAAGGTGTAAGTTTAATTACAGATGTACACCTGTATTCATGTCTCACTGAGTAAGTTTATAAAGCACGAGTGAAAACTGGATTTCTCTCCTACTCCAATTTTATTTAATTGAGCAAGACACAAAACCTGTCCAGTACGATTGAGGTGTCTATTTGCCATTCCTCAATCACACATATTCTTTAGTATCCTTTAGCAGAAAACTACTGGTTTCCTTCATGAAAACAAGAGAGCTGCTGCAGGTTCAGCTTGTGTGAAAATTCAACAAGCAACAAGGTTGATTCCATTTGGCTAAAAGGTTCTTACACAGTGAAAGATTGCAATTTGATGTACAATTACTGTTCCAAAATCTGAGTGTTACACCTTTGAAAATGTCATAAGGTTCTATCTGCTCAGCGAGGGCATGACCTCAACCCTTTAATGGTTTCCTCGTCCATTTGGTAGATCACCTTTCGAGACCCCATTTCTACTATTTGGAGCATCTCCCTTGGTTTTAGGCACTTTTACCATCAAACTGCATCTCAACGATTTTGTAAAGGCCTATAATTTAAAAATGTTGGGGTTGATTTTATCTCTGTGCAGCACTTTGGAATTTTTTTTTATAAAATGTGCTATATTAATAAAGTGGATTGGATCAGATTAAAAAAAAAAAAGTGTGTTATTAGCGCCTACATCTTGGAGGAGCATTTCTTTAAGAGTGAAGTGTTAAAGTGGTCAGTCTGAGTTGATGCAGTTGTGAATAGAGTCCAGTTTGTTAAAAAGTACTCAAAGTCAAAGTATTTGTTTGCTTTGTAAACGCACTCACTTGATTTTAAGAATTTCAGTCAAAAGCACTTTGAATAGTTAATAGTATATTTGTGCTGTACTGGTAAAAGTCTGATATATGCAGCCGTTTGATTTTTGTCAGTCACTGAATAATTCCTTTGGTCAAGTAGTCTTGGGAAGCCTTTACAAAATAAAACTTCATGTGCTGTAAGCTGCTTGAACGGCAAATCATCTACAGAAAAGAATACTTACTTATTATTATTTTAGTCAGAGAACAATGGCTTCATGTAATAGACATGTTTGTGCTGTGAGCTGTGGGTCAGTCTAAGAAGTGTGTTGGTGATGAACTTGTGGTCAGATAAGCCTCACTGCCCCTTGGAGAAGTCCTGTGTGTGACCACCCACATCGGTTGCCGTGAGAGAGACAATAAAGTTATGCCGGTTCTAACTATAAACACCATATTTAAATCAACTATAATGTATTTTTAAATGATTGCTAAAAAAGATAGAAGACCAGGACATGTTGAATGAATGAGGTGTCTCGGATCGACCAAAGCGGTTACATGACAGGCCCTTTAAATAATTACACATTTAAGTTTGCAAGATATGAAACAGACAAGATTATAGTAACAGGTGTACTACAGAATACAAGGTCATACATAGACAATACACGTTCTCCATTGCAGACTGCAAATCAAAGAGAAAGTAACAAGTGAAAGCCAGAATGTATTATTGTGTGAAAGCAAACATGCATTTACCAGAATGTTTTAAAAATGACATGCTTCAAGTAAATGAGATGGTGCTTTTCTATGCTTTCCATAAGTGTGGGAATATTAGTATTTGGTTATATTATCATTCCTACTGCCATCAGAGGGCAAATCATGGCTTAAAACCAGAAATTCCTGTACAGCTTTTGGCCCGACCCATATTTCAATGGAAATGTCAAATGGAACAAATGCTGACATATGTATTTTTGTCTCCTGTTTGTCATCTCAGATCCTGATTTCCATTTACATGTTGGAGGTCTTTTAAACCCCATCCCAGGTAATGAAACTCTTTTTTTTTCTTCTTTTTTTATAAAATATGTTTTATTTAATATAATTCTCTGGGGCCTCATTTCTAAATATTTGTGGTCAGAAGAACCCGAAAAGTTCATTGATTAAAAAAAAAAATAAATGACAGTGAGCAGTTTGATAAGTGAGTGTTTATGATATTTGTTTACACACACACGCACGCACACACACACACAAACACGCACACATGCATACACACGCACGGACTAGATAGATATACTTTAAACGAGGTGTGAGCATCCTTCAGTGAGCAGTTTTGTGAATATGATTTTTTTTTATTCACCTTCCTGAAATATGCGTTCTTTGAGGCCCCTAGTATGTGTGGGGTCGTCTTCTCACAGGAAAAAAGTAGTTGTCACTAAGGATTAAGTTAAATTATACAGTGCATTAGCAAAGCACTGAACTAGTTTTCATTCTTTTATTGGAGTAGATTTAAATGCTATGTCATTTTGACTTGTCTTGTTCCACATCGTGTGATTCACAGACTGTCAGTTCAACCTGTCCGGGGCAGACGGCATGATCCGCTCCAGTCAGGTGGAGGACGACAATAAGGTGAAGACTGACCAGGCTGTGGACTGCATCTGGACCATCCATGCACCCAAGAACCACCGAGTGAGCTTCTGTGCATTTGCTTTTCTCTGCTTTTCCTCTCACTGCTGTGGAAGGGTTTCATTTCTTTACCTGGAATGTGTCCTGTTATCCACCACAGCTGTTGTTCTTGTTCATCCATTCTCTGAGAAGTTTCTTTGTTGATTTTTAGATTTTTTAAGTGTTTTCAAATCTCATGTCCTAAACAATTAGTTGAACGATGAATTGATATATCAAACTTATTATTGTTTACAAGTTTACCCTTCTTTAGAGAGTGATGTGGAGGGCCTGCAGGGTTTCACGTCATCAAAGATATTCCAACCTTGTATTTCTCCATTGATGCTTGGGCATGTTTCAAAAAGACAATGCAGAAGGTCTAAGGACAGGGCGCACCAGGACATTTATCCATTTGACTAAATACTTGTGAACATTGGTTCTACTATGTGTCTGGAGCATGGACCATTACTTGTTTCATTGTAGGATATTCTAATCTTTTGGCAATTCGACAATTCTGCCCTTTGAGACGACTGCTGGTGTGAATTTGGACGATACAAAAAAATATGTGATTAGACTTAGGAAGCATCTGAAAGTGGTTTAAGATGCAGGAAGTTTATTGTACCCTGAATGTAAATACCACCTCAATCTCTCTCTTTGGCTACAGCATTCCCCTCTCTCACTCTGTAACTAATCTCGGGGTCAAGTTTGACCCCCACCTCTCCTTTGAAAATCATTAGGGCCGAGACTTTAACTCGTTAATTAAGATTAATTAACGCTAAAAAAATTAGCACGTTAAAAAAATTTAAGCATTTTAATCGCATGTGTTTTTTTGCATCGCGGAACGTTCCTTACTGGATGAGTTTCAGACGGACCGGATTGTACTGGAGCACCAACTCGAGCTCCGTGACTTTTCTTGTTCAAAAGTACATTATAACAAGCATAGACCAACTTTAGTTGTGTCTCAATCTGAGTGAGTTAGAGACGGGAAAGAGCGCTGTGTATGGAGCATGGACTCTATGTGTGACAAAGAGGAGGAGCAGAGAACGACTCCTGTGTGAGCAGAGGAGGAGCAGGTGTGTGAGCTGCTATTGCTGATGTTTTAGTTCGAACGCAAACATCAAAAATGTATTATAAGCTTTAGTGCTCACTGCAGTGGATTTTGGGCTTAAAAAGCGTATGTTGTGGACAGAGTGTGTGGAGGCGAGGACAGATACGTTATTTGATGGGAAAGAAGTCCGTCTGATCCCCTTATCATCCACAATGAACATGTGTGGCTTAAGCTTATGTATTCAGTCATTATTCAATGGTAAACAAAAAATCCATGTGAAAAAAAATTACTTCCCACTGTTCTCAGGACAAATATTTATATGTGATTAAAATGCGATTAATTGCAACTAATTGATCACAAAGCCTCTAATTAATTATATTAATTTTTTTCATCGAGTCCCAGCCCTAGAAATCATATAAATCACATCTGCAAAACTTCCTTCTTCCACCTTCGTAACATTTCTAAACTCCGCTCTTCTCTCTCTCCCGGCTGCAGAGAAGTTCGTCCATGCCTTTGTCTCCCCCAGGTTGGACTACTGCTACGCACTCCTCATCGGGATTCCTGGCAGGAGCATTCAAAAGCTCCAGTATGTCCAAAACAGCGCTGCCAGGGTCCTGATGAGAGTGTGGAAGCACGAGCACATCACCCCCATCCCCCGTTCACCTCCGTATAGAATACAAGATCCTCCTGCACACCCACCACTGTCTTCATGGTGATGCCTCCACCTACCTCACTGACCTCCTCACTCCACACTCCTCAGGCAGAACCCGGTCAGGCCAACAGCACTGTTTGCTCCCGCCCAGGACACGGCTCAAGACAATGGGGGACCGGGCCTTCAAGGCCGCTGCTACCCGTCTGTGGAACGCCCTCCCGGACCACCCTCCCGGACCACCTCAGGGCCCCACAGACGGTGGCAGCTTTTAAAAAGGGACTCAAGACCCATCTATTTAGTATGGCGTACAGCTGATTTTTTTGTCTTTCTAATTGTTTTTATATGTGTTATGCTTTTTTTATGCTGCTGACGCTGTAGCACTTTGAGATTTGGTGTCAAATGTAAAGTGCATTATAAATAAAATGTTATTATTAAATAAGATACATCCTTTGACAGTATAGAAGGCTTTTGAAACACTGCTGCAGTGAGCGTGGTCTGTCATCAAAGCTAAAGTGTGGTGACTTTCTTTTGGGCCTGCATTGTATCTGCTCTGTGTTTAGAGTAAGTGAGGCCAGAGACTTAAGCAGCGCGTACGTACACAGAGGGCTTAAGATTTTCAATGGTTATCCCGGACGCAGCTGCTGGTTATATTTACTATATCCCGGACATAATCCATGCACCGGATTTGATCTCCGGTCATCAGCCATAATTACATGTGATAAGACAAGCCCAACGTAAACATACACAAGTCTCTCATATGATATGGATTATAGTGACTCTGATCAAAGTGACCCGACTCAAAAGGCCATGTCAAATATTACATCAAGCATTCGATTGCAGAGATTTAAAATGCAATACTAAGAATCTTTCATTCTCTTTCATTCAAAATAGGTTTAGTGTAAAATCCACCCATTAAATCATGATACAAAAAATACAGCCTCTTAGTTTGTATGTCTTATGCTCTAAGTACTAGTTTGAAGTAAGTAAGTCATTTTTATGTATATTGCGCATTTTATTGACCAAAGTCACACGAACCGCTTCACAATGTTTTAAAGTACTGATATTTTTCTGTACTCAAAGTGATGACAGCGAGACCATCCGACCATCACGTCCACTCACCCTTTTACATTCAGGCCTATTGTTCATATTTCTAGTGGTAGGGTAAACTGGATCATCCGGAGGAAACCTACAAAGTCATGGGGAGAACATGCAAATTGTGCTAACTGCTGCGCTATCATGTCATTTCTTATTTACACAAACTTAGTATTATTCATTTTTTTAAACAGAAAATAATCATCAGTACAGCTCTATTGAACATATTCACAATTAGAATAGTGGGAATATTGTTGTTGATAAGTGATTGAAAATGTGTCCCTAGTCAGAAGCAGAATCTGGGTCTTAAGACCGGGGGGAATTTTTGTGTGACGGAACAGTAGCAATGAGGAGCAGACAAACACTCAAAAAGATAAGTGAATACTATCTTGTCTATAGCACCATACTCAAGTTAGTTAACTCTGAATATTAACTTACTAGGATTTATTATGGCTCCTTTATACTGGAGGCTTCATAAAGTCTTATACTGTATCTCGTATATCCTGTATCTATACAAGGGCCATTCATTTCATGTAGAACTCAAATTATACATTAGTATAGTTTAGCAGTAGTTTATTTTCTTTGGCCATTTTGTACATTAGATCTCAGGTCGCATGTTTTCATAGATTGTATATACATTTAACAATAAGAAAAAAAAGAACTAAAATGTGTCTATTAAGAATTTTATTGCTAAATAATGTTTGACCAAAAGGGGTTTTGGCTGAAATCGAGAACACATAATACATATTAATAATAAATATAACAAAGAATTATAATAAACAATTCTTATTCATATTTCCCTATTTTCATATAAAACCCCTAATTCTTTACACTTTATTCTTTGTCCTTTATGGCTGGCATTATTAAAAGATAGGGTATTTTGGTGAAATGTGAGACCTTTTTAAGACTTGTTTTAGTGCCACTTTGGTATAATTGAATGCAGGTCAGTGTAAGGAGAAGCAAGGACAAGGAAGGATGAGGAAGGAGGGATTTTGTATAAGTTTGTACGCCACCTGAATCAGAACCAAATATGTAGTTTTACTCCTCAAAGAATTGTGTTCACCCATTAGTTCAAAACTAAACTGCAGTGGGTTGTTACCAGTGGAGCGGGTCCCGGCTCAAAAGTGGCCAAAATGACGTGCGCTGACATGCTTGCAATACCACCCTGGGCCATATAGCATCGTCTTACCTCTCAAAAACACCTTTACAGGATGGTCCAAAAGTCGGCTCTTGGCCCAAAGCTCCGTTCCACATGTGTGTCAATGCTGAGGGGAGTGAATTTTAAACCAATCTAGTTTAGTCGCTGTGAATTTTTGAAGGCACTCGTTAAATGAATGAAGCCCGTGCCGGCTGACGTATGCGCAGATGCATTTTTTCACATTTTCCACCCCCCGCGGCCTTTTTGAAACTGCCCATAAACCGCGGAAGTTGTGGCACATTAGTTAGGCATGACTTTGTCCGTTAATATTTACAGTCTATGGTTCTTCCATCAGTTTAGTGCAGACAAGTCCAAACTTTGGCTCCTGACCATTTGTTGGTCCTGGTGAAATGGCCCCAATCACATTTTTGGTGATTTTGGCAATTTTTCTAGAAGTCCCACCTATCAGAAAAAAGTTTTTAAAAATCATTATACGTTTTGCAGCTCTTCTGTTTTTGCTGAAATCACAAAGAAACGGTATAAACTAACCTGCTAAACACAGACTCGGCTGTCCACGGCAAAAGGGGACGCTTGATTGGTGCTGAACATAATGATTGACAATAAGGTGAACCAATTGTTGCTGCAAACATCACATCTTAAATTGGTACAAACATTTCCCGAAATATCTTCTTATATTATATTTTACAATCCTATTTTAACAAATTAAGTGGTCTGTGATTAGTTGTGATCATGTGAATTTCTGTTGCTTTTCAAATTGTGAGGAGAGAGTGAACATTTCTGATGTAAGCCCCAGTTAGACCCCCCCATGCTCACCCCCCACAGCTTGTAATTGGACAAAATTAAAATGCCAATGGTCTTATATATCTATGCTCCTGTAGTAAGGAATGTATTTTTTAGGAAATATGAAATTATATTTATATGTGGTGTATTGAAAATGAAAAACAATTGAAGTTGCCTTTTAAATAAACACATTTCTGATGCATTCATTGCATTGGCCATGAGTGTGTGGCCTCAATCGTTACACTGTGCGACCTTTGCTGAAAACTCTGGTTTAAATGCCTCTGAAATAAGGCGACCGAACCCAGGCAGAAGTTTAATTCAGCTTTGGGTTAGATTTGACAGATATACTGTATTTGTTGTGACAGAACGGTTTTCTTTTTACTTTCAGATTTACCTTCACTTCCTGGAGTATCAGATGGAAAACTCTAACGAATGCAAGAGGAACTTTGTGGCCATTTACGACGGCAGCAACGCCATCGAGGACCTGAAGGTAGCGCACCATTCCCCCTCTCTCGTGTCTCGTGTCATCTGCTCTTTGTTGCTCTTTGTCCCAAGCTGTTTTTCACACCGCAAAGCTCTGTAGCGATTGTCCTACAGAACCAGGCGGCACTCAGCTCCCACACCAGCTGAGGTGTGGGCTCTGTTGCAGGCCAAGTTTTGTAGTACAGTGGCTAATGATGTGATGCTGGAGACCGGGGTGGGCGTGGTGCGCATGTGGGCCGACGAGGGCAGCCGCCTGAGCCGCTTCCGGATGCTCTTCACCTCCTTCGTTGAACGTGAGTCCTCCTCACAAACTTTGTAATTGTATTATGTATAATGTATTATGTCATTGTTTCATAATCTCACTCAGTAAATCTGTATCATACCTCATGAAAACTTTAAAGCTTTTTGCTTTGCTTGATGTTTTAAGTTATGAGAATATCTGCCTTTACTTCTTCTCATTCAATTGTGCTACCATGACATGTTTTACTGCATTTTAAGGCACATCTTAAAACAACATATTTTATTTTGCTTTGAATTATAGGATCAAAACGTCCTTATTTTTCATTCACTTTAAGAATGTATCATTAAATCAGTCTTTAAAACAAAATTGAACTATCAACCGGCTTGGTGACGTGTCATTTATCTGCTGATGTTACTTCCTGAGAAGCGTGTCAGCCTCATTGACAGTTCGCTTAGACTGACGACGCCCAGTTTTTTGTGGAAGAGGCAACCAGTCATTGCTTTTCACTGTTACGACCAGAAGGACAAAACATATTTGAGGACACAGAGACAGGTTGAGAGTTCAAAATTGATTTTATTTATATATTTTCTTATGGGTGAACTCTAGGTCTTTTTATTTATTAATATGAAGATTAATCAAAAAAAAAAAAACAACCCCGTGTCCAGAACACAAAAACCCAAAGTAATCAAATTAAAGGTGGACCTGGTGGGCCGGCCAAAACAAACAAAGTGGGCCAACACCAAACCAACCCTATACAGGGCCGTCCGGATCCGATGCCGACACCCTAACTAAAGAATAAAGAAAACCCAAATAGCTACACCCTCACCAACGAAAATGTAACCACCGGACCCACCAGATCAAACAAAAATAAGGACAGCAAAAAGGCTAAAGAATGGCTAAAAGAACCAAACCATGCGGCGTCTGAGGAGGCCGCAAACAGGAACAGGAGGGAGCGTGCAGCGCGTGCACCTCACCTCAGCAGGTGTTACAAAAGAGGCTGAGAGCAGAGAGGGGCGGGAGTGCACCAGGACAGCGCTTCTTATACTCCCGGCCCGAGCTGCAAAATATACAAAACAAGTTACTAAACATTATCAAAAATGTAACCTATAAAATATACCCAAACATAACATTCACTAAGAATTAATAGTTACTTAATGTAACTTACGTTCTACGAATAGGTGCGTAGTCCCTTAGGACTTCGCTAGTGGGATATCACTCGTGACCCCCAGGTCACACGCCAGAGAGATCAAAATAATTTGCTCCAATCACCAGCCACCTTCCTCTATAAATGCCCCTGCACAAGGCCGCACCCCCTCTTGAACTCTGCCAAGCCGGGCTGGCCTGATGGGCTCGTAGCTAAGGGACTACGCACCTATTCGTAGAACTTAAGTTACATTAAGTAACTATTAATTCTACGTCATGGTGCTACGTCCCTTAGGACTTCGCTAGTGGGACACAACGCGGAGGCCGTAGGAAAATGTACTCCCAGCAGGCCAGCGAAGGGTGATTGGAGCTCCGCCCGAGCAAGACCCTCACAACGTGAGAGGACTCAGGGCAGAAGAAACAAGCGTGTTACGGGGCCACTCCTACCAAGGATACCCCCACGTAACACAAGCCGTAGGTCATCCGTAGTCACAGGACGCCTCTCCCAAGAGCTCCTGACGCGGACTACCAGACCGACCACACACACAAAATGTACCGCACCTGTAGGATGCCTCTCCCAAGAGCTCCTGCACCAGGGCGGAAAATAGACCGAAGGCCCCCCTCAGGGGAGGGACCCAACGGTCTAACTCAGTCCGCTGCACTCAGCACGGAATGGGCCACCGACCGGTCCGACACATTCGAAAGATAAGACCGGACGAAAGAGGAGGACGACGCCCAAGAAGCCGCACGGCAAACGTCCTCGACCGACGCCCCCCTGAGAAGGGCCGTAGAGGCCGCCATCCCACGCGTGGAATGCGACCTGAAACCCACCGGGGGGGCCAGACCCTGCGTCTGATACGCCCGCCGCACCGCCGTGGCGACCCAATGCGCCAGCCGCTGAGCCGACAGCGGGGCGCCCCTGTTCTTGGGGCCCAGCCACACAAACAGCTGATCACCCGACCTGAATGACGACGTCATGGCCAGGTAATGCCTCAGCATTCTGATAGGACACAGAAGGTGATGCCGCTCCTCCTCGGGGGAGGCATGCAGCGGCGGGTGGAAAGCCCTAATCCTGATGACTCTCGACCTAAAGGCCGACGTGATGACCTTGGGGAGAAAAGCCGGATTCGGCCACAATTCCACCATGCCGTCGTCCTCTCCAAAGGACAGGCACGACGCATGGACGGAGAGCGCACACAAATCGCCCGCCCTCTTAGCAGAAGCCAACGCCAGTAAGAGGGCCGTCTTAAAGGCGATACACTCGGGACTCGCCTCCGCCGCCGGTTCAAAAGGCGGACCCGACAGCCCCCTAAGGACCACCCTGAGGTCCCAAACCGGAGGCGTTCTCTGGAGCGGGGGCCTCCTCCTGCGCGCCCCCCGCAGAAAACGTTTAACCAACGGGTGAGAACGGGCTGTGAACCCCCCGAATCCGTCGTGACCCGAAGTAATGGCTGCCGCGAACACCGCCAAGGTAGCGACAGCCCTCCCCTTGTCGAAGAGCTCCTGTAGGAATCCCAGGACCCCCTCCAGCGGGCAACACCTGGGATCCCAGGAACGGGAATCGCACCAGACACTGAATAGCCTCCACCTCGTGGCGTAGGCCCTCACGGTGGACGGCGCCCTCGCTCCCTGAATGGTCTCCACCACCGCAAGGGGAAGACCCAGATCTACGAGGCTCCGCCTCTCAACCTCCAAACCCAGAGCCTGCGGCCGATTATCGGACGTGAAAACAGGGCTCCGGCAGGAGACGCACCGGTGGGAAAGCGTACAACAGGCCGCCTGGCCATGGGTAATGAGCCAGAGCGTCCACGCCTAAAGGCGGCTCGTCCGCGGCCCTTAAGGCGAACCAGGACGGGCACTGTGCGTTCTCTGCACTGGCAAAAAGGTCGACCACTGGACGGCCGAACCTCCGCCAGATCTCCGCAGCTACCCGTGGGGCCAGGCCCCACTCGTCCTGGAGTGGGCCCCCCCTGAACATCCTGTCGGCTCCCACGTTCCGGACCCCCGGGACGTGGCGCGCCCTGAGAGACAGGAGGTGAAGCGCCGCCCACAGCAGCGTCACCGTCGCCATGCGATGGAGAGCGGGGGACCTGGTGCCCCCCTGCCTGTTCAGATAGGAGACCACTGTGGTGTTGTCTGAGCGCACCATCACGTGTCTCCCCTGCAGCTGAGGAGCAAAGTGCAGCAGTACCCTGTGTACTGCCTCCATCTCCAGCAGGTTGATGTGACGGGCTGAGTCCGACCAGCAGCCTCCTACAGAGCTCTGGCCGAGGACCCCGCCCCATCCTTCGAGCGACGCGTCCGTGAACACCTCGACGTGAGACACGGCGCAAGCCAGAGTCACTCCGTCCCGCAATAGACCCGGAGTGAGCCAGAACCTGATGTCCGATGCTGCCCCTTGGGGAACCCAGATCAGCCTCCCCCCGTCCCGGGAGGGGTGAAGCCTGAGGCGCGAGAACCACCTCTGAAAATTTCTCATGTGGAGCAGGCCTAGCCGCACCACAGCATGAGCCGCTGCCATCATTCCCAGCAGGGACCTGAGGCGCCGAGCGGGGACTCTGGGGCCCGCCAGAACCTCCCGGGCCAGACGGGTAATATTCATCCGTCTGTCCACGGACAATGCAGCACGGAATATCACAGAGTCTAGCTGCAGACCGAGATAAACCATGCGTTGGGCTGGCTGCAGCTTGCTCTTCTCCCTGTTCACCACAAAGCCCAGACGCTGTATGTGGGACAGGACCCAGTGCGTGTGGCTCACGGCCACTTCCCTGGATGGGGCCAGTATTAACCAATCGTCTATATAGGTTAATATTCTTACCCCCGCACGTCTGATCGGCTCCAGAGCTGCCTCCACACATTTGGAAAAAGTCCGAGGCGCGAGTGCGTACCCGAAGGGTAGACGGCAGTACTCGTAATTCCTCTCTCCCACTGCGAAGCGCAGAAACCTCCTGTGTTTTGGCACTATGGGCACGTGGAAGTACGCATCTGTCAGGTCTATGGAAGTCATCCAGTCTCCCTCCCTGACACACTCGAGGAGCTGTTTTGTGGACAGCATCCGAAACTGCCGTTTGGAAATGCACTCGTTTAACACGCGCAGATCCAGAATGGGACGCACCCCGCCTGATTTCTTTGGCACTAAGAAGTAAGAGGAGTACAGCCCCCTGGTGGCGTCCTGCGGGTCTACCTCCACTGCTGCGCCTCGACTCAACAGAGAGGAGACCTCCGCTTGTAGTGCCTCTGTCGATCCCCGTACCTGAGAGCGTACTGCCCGTACGCCTCGGAATGGTGGTGGCTTTCGGAAAAATTGCAGCGCGTAACCTCTGCGCAGAGTTTTCTCCAGCCAAATATCTGTCAGTAGGCCCTGCTCCCTCCAGATGTTGTAGAAATCTGTGAGGGGCGGAACGGGAGTTGGAACACGAGACGTCACGGCCCCGCCCTCTCCTGGTGTTCCTAGCAGGGAGGGGGGGTGGACGAAAGGGCCGGGGGGCCCCCTGCGTCACACCGTGAGCGCCGTGTCCTGCAGGCCCGACGTCATAAGTACGGGACTGCTCACCACACGTGACTCGGCTGCTGTGCCCCCCCCTGGCTCTTGCCTCATGAAGGGGGGGGCGAGCCCCTGGAGAGGGAAACCCCGTGTTAGCCTTGTAGCTCTGCTCACCACACGTGACTCGGCTGCTGTACCCCCCCCTGGCTCTTGCCTCATGGAGGGGGGGGCGAGCCCCTGGAGTGGGAAACCCCGTGTTAGCCTTGTAGCTCAGAGATGCTAACACGCGTTCGGCCGGAGCACACACATTATCACTCACCAGATCCCTCCGCCTGCCCTCTCTCCGGGAGGGCAAAACATGAACCCAAGAATCGGAGCTCGTGGCCCGCGTAGCACGCTGCACGCCCTTCTCTGGGGGCTGCAGGCCTAGCGGAGCCACGTTATATGCTCGAGAAGTAACACAATCAGAATTCAGATCATTTGACAAGTTACATACCCCCAAATGAGACTCAGACAGCGAGTACTGATGAAATGCCGGGCGGCTTTTATTGAAAACATTCTTCCCACCCCGACCTCCTCTGCCATAGGGAGGTCGTCGGTGGGTGTGTTGGTCCCGCGAGCCTCCCGTGTGCCTGTCTGGGCCCGGGGGTCTCGTCGCTGGGGAACGATGAACCACGGAGCGTGGATATGGTCCGGGGCGCCTGCCGAGCGAGCGCTCCCTGCCTCTGTCTCGGCTCCGCGCTGGTGGGCGGGCCTCGCGTCTCGCAGCTAGATGCTGGGCTAGGCTAGCAGAGTCCTTAGCTGCGGTGTCCAGGCTAGTCATCAGCGTCTGCATCTCCGGACCGAAGAGTGACGTTTGGGAGATGGGCAGGTCCAGCAGCTGCCTCTTCTCCGCCTCTCTGAGGTTCACCAGCCCCAGCCAGAGGTGTCTGGCCCCAACTTGTGCTGCTGCCATCGTGCGGCCGCCATCAACAGCTAGCGCCTGGCACATGCGCAGGATCGCCGCTGAAGTGGTCCTCGCCTGGGATAAGGTGTCTCCACTGAGCGCCTGGCCAGAAGAGAGCGACCTATCCAGGGCCCCCGTGATGAAGGCCATGTTGTTAGCCACCGCGACGACCTGAGCCGCATTGGCGTAACATCTATCGTGCATCGCCAAAGACATCCTATCCCGCTCGGAGGGAAGGAGAGGCCTGGTGCCGGGCCACACGGATGCGGAGGGGTGCAGGGCCGCTCGAACCGAGTCCTCGATGTCCGGGACCCCGCCGGTCCAGGACCAGTCCTGCACGTTACAATACATGCCGTACCCCAAAGCGGGCCTCTTGGCCGCTAGGGGCTTTGGCCACTCACGTGTCGCGTAATGGACGATCGGGTCCATCCGCGGGCACAACGTGGGCTGCGCTCTCCTCCTCCCTCGAGTGGTGGCGTAACCAGAGTTGAAGTCCTCCACCCTCTGGTTCGGTTGCGGTGGCAGGGGGGCATCCATGATGGCCGCCGCCGTGGAGTAGAGCCCAGGCATGTGGTCCAGCGGGAAGCGGTCCGGCTCCGGGTTGGACACCACCTCGTCCAGCGTGAGGAGAGAGCCGACCTCCGACACCTCTCCGTCCTCGCAGTCACCCCACTCCGCGGGCACGGGTGGAAGGTCGAGGGGGGCCCAGTCAATCACAGACTCCTCGTCCTGAGAGGAGTCCGGACGGGGCGCTGTAGCGGCGAAGAACGCGTGCCTGCGTTCACTCTCCTCCCTGGGGAGAGCGAGACACGAGGCGCAGGTGGCGCTCAACGCCGCATGGCCCGAACCCAGGCACACGAAGCAGCTGGAGTGCTGGTCCTTGCGCTGGAGCTTGACCCGACAAGTCGAGCAACGACGACGTCCGACGCCGGATGGCGAAGGGGAACTCGGACGAGCATCAGAAGACATCTTTCCTCAGGTAAATTGAAATGTAGATCTCAATCGGCGCCAGAGTGAAAGAGGGGGTGCGGCCTTGTGCAGGGGCATTTATAGAGGAAGGTGGCTGGTGATTGGAGCAAATTATTTTGATCTCTCTGGCGTGTGACCTGGGGGTCACGAGTGATATCCCACTAGCGAAGTCCTAAGGGACGTAGCACCATGACGTAGAACTAAGTAGTAACAGGCCAAACGCAGAGAAAATGACCATTTAGACCAGGGGAGTCAAACCGGGTCCAGAACGGGCCGGTGTTGCTGCAGGTTTCAGTTCCGACCTGAGCAGGAGCACACCAGACTCCACCCATTTTCTCAAATCTTAAAATAAAATCTGGACTCACCTCTTGCTCCTCAGGTTTGAACTAAAACCTGTAGCCACACCGGCCCTTTGAGGACCATCAAAATCATGTTTATATGTATGACGTTATCGCATTAGTTGGGATGGTATGTACGTTATTCTAACAGGGACAGTGTACAATTAAACATTAACACAAATGAGAGATGTATCGTACCAGGTTATAGCAAAGATGCTAGTTTCCACCTGTATTCCCTGGGCAGGCTGATGTTATATTCAGTTAAACAGATTCTAATGTAGATAGATACATACATGATCGTGTCTTACATTTACAGACTTTAAATAACATTATTTACTAAAACATTTCATTTAATTTACTCATTCAGTTTACTGTTTCATATTACGTTCCTATACATAAAACAAGCATTGATCATTTTTGTTGGAATTTAGGTTATTTTTTTAAGATGTAGATATTTGTGATTCCAATAGATATAACATTATTTATATCTTTATTGATATTTTATTATGTGACGTTGAAGGTTTACATGTAAGCCATATATATAAAATAACTGAAATCCATGGATTCAGGACATTTTTGCACTCTGAATGATATAAAAATACATCTAATCAGTTTTGGCACAAAAATCTCACTTGTTATTTTGACAAAGTTATTGTTCAACTTGACTATAATGTTTTCTACAAAGCTGCTCTCATCCATTGTCTGAGTTTATGCTGTTTACCCCAGATGAGCCCCAGTCTAATGCATATTACTTTAGCCTGCACAAACGTAATTATGTCCTGCTAAAATGTGATTTATGTTTTAGAAATGGTCATAAATGAATTTCAGTGCAGAGTACAATCAGCAGTCGCTCTTACTATGGGTGGACAATAACTACATTCTTAATATTTCATTTATGATTTCCAAATTTGTGCTAAAAGCTTCTGTGTTTTTTGAAGTTGAACATAAGCATTAAAAAGTCCAAAATAGAGTCCTGATGCTTTGGTCACTGTCACTCTCAGAGGTTTGTGAAAATACAGATGTAAAAAGCAAACATTATGGAAAATACAAATGTGACCTGCTGATTCAGGATCATAGACTGTAAATACAGAATACCTACCAAACTGAGATTTTGGAGTAGTTCAGTCAAATTCTCTTTTTTGCAAGTTGAAACAAGCACGCGCACATACAGGGCACACACACACACAACCATGTCAAGTCTCATCAACTTCATGGGAGATGTAATTCCCACTGCTGCCAGTAGATGGTGGTGCCAGCTTTGATAACAACGTCTGGAGTGCTGCGTTGACTTTTCTTAAGATTCTAAAACACGAAATAACAAAGCAAAGGTTGAAGATCATGTTCAAAGGACATATAATTAATTAATAAATGGCATCATATTGGAATTTTAAACCCTGTAATATAGCTGTTCATAATTACCTTGCCTTCTGTTTAATTTTGATAACTCCATACATCATAGTATAGATCATTGTGTCACTATTTGTTTTCTATACCACACATTTCCAAACACGTATCTGTGCTTGTGTATATCTGTATTCTGTGTCACATTGGCGTCTGTGCTGCTATGAAAACAAATGACTCATATTCTACAGCTCAATCCGCGGAGACGCCTGTCAGTTCTGCAGCTTTGAACAGGGAGTCAACAATGTGTTTCTAGTTCTACACAAGGACAGGCTAAAAAATGTATTTCAGAATTATCTTACCTAATTCACATCTGTTATTGTTTTAGATAGATAAATACTTTATTGATCCCCGTCGGAGCAATTCAGGTGTCCAGTAGCCGCAAAAATAAAAAATAAAATTGATCATTCTAAAAAGATAACAATAGTAATAATCAGCAACAGCCCTTCAGGTCACAGCAGCAGAGATGGTTTTATGCTGTACACCTGATTTTCTTTTCTCATGGGGGATCAAGAAAGTACAGAACTTTCTGAACTGTTAAGCGCACCTGCCCTCACCAGCTGCACTTGAAGAGAAAGTACATCTTGTCCACAAATAGGCCACACTTGAATGTGAGCCAATGTTTCATGTTGTAATATATCACGTAACCAAGTGGTATATAAGCATCTGAAGGAGCAAAACAAAGCAGATAGACAGCTGATTTAACTGGATAGAACATGATTTAATGATGAGTTGTTTTAATGCACTGTTAAATCCAATTTATTTTGACAATACACATGCTTCCCATTCCAACTCAAAATTGAGTCCACAAATAAACCACTTTCCTAAAGACATTTTTAAAAGTCCAGTGTCGTTCTCTGCCCTTCCTTGTGTCTCTGCTGTTACAGACACCTGGAACCACGTCAATAGCTTTGATTTGAGCTGTGTCCAAATCTTTTCTTGACAACATAAATTAAAAGTATTCTTATGTAGGCCGCAGCCGTAAAAGAAACTGAAATGTGTTAAATGCAGGCACACACACATCCTCTCAGTCTCATTCACCATTATCCATTTTAGTCCTATAGCTACTAAATCTTGAATGTAAACGCTCTGACAACCGAAATAAAAATACATAGATTAGCTGCTAAAAAGCTGCAGGGTTTTAGTCCGTAAGTTATGGAAATTGTGGTGTTGGCTCCAGAAAGGTGGCTGTGATATGATGTGTGTGTCTGTGCTGCAGCTCCGTGCCTGGCAAACTCCTTCTTCTGTGACAACAACATGTGCATCAACAACTCTCTGGTGTGTAACGGCATACAGAACTGTGTGTTCCCCTGGGATGAGAACAACTGCAAAGGTACTATTCTGCTGACACACGAGGGCTGGGGGCTTTAAGAGCGATCAGGGAGGCCCTGTGAAACAGGCAGCAACGACATGTCGACAAACGGAATATAGAACATACAATAAGCACCATTCAACACCACCACAGTCAGCCTTTCAGAAGCAATCAGAATGTGACATGCATACACGATTTTGGAGCTTGATAGTTTTCTAAAACGATAACACAAGACAAATCAGGATAGTTTTATGTCATTAATATCTGTTTTTTTCATCCAAGATAATACAACATTTATTGTTGATCTGTTCCTAAATCATGAATTATGGGTAGATTTAATTTCCTAGACAGAATGCAGCCGTGGGCCCTTGTGGCTAACATATGGGTCTTTGGGCATTGTTTACAGTCCTTATGAAACATCTGGGCCACATACTTCAAATCATTTATAAAGACCTGGTTGGCTGTATATGTAATCCAGACTGGAAATTTTCTTTTGCCTACCTGAAGTAAAGATGAACTTTTTCAGTTTAGGTGTCAGTGAATATAGCAGTGTTTGGAAGATGCCCACAGCCCTGTGTGGGTACAGTATGACGTCTCATTTGCTTATTCATTTGATTAGAGAAAAAGTCCAAAGGTCTTCTGTTCCACCTGACCAAGACCCACGGCTCCATCATCTTTGTGTCCACGGGGGTGGTACTGCTGCTCTTTGTCGTCTCCTTGTTTCTGCAAGTCAAGCAGCCACGCAAAAAGGTAAAGTTGAAGAGCCGAAAGAGTCTATATACAATAGGCTACAGAGTGAACGTTGGTGTTTGGTTTGAAGGTGCTGGTGAGGAAGAATACGTTTCAGAAAGGAGAGTTCCAAGAGGCGTTTGACCCGCCGCACTATGAGCTCTTCTCCCTCCGAGACAAGGTGAAGCACTGCACTGTTCTCCAGACATGTCTACATACAGTTAACTCTGAGGAGTTAACTGTATGTAGTAGGGCTGCAACATTTTTCAAATTACCATTTTTCTGACAGAATTAGTAATTTTTTTTACAACATGCAAATGCTTTCTTCTTTTGTTTTTCACTTTATTTGAGAACATTGTCACTCTTAAAGCCGGTGTTCTCATGGAGCAATATGGAAAAGACAAGACATTTGTCACCTGAATTGAAACCAAGAAGTTAAATCTGTGCTTAAGATACATATTGGCCAATTTTCATTTAAAGCTGGGGTATCTGAATCTTTCCTCCACAAATAATTAATGTTGTTGGTCCAAAAAGAATAAGTCATGTGAAAGTAAAATGTTGCGAACATATCAGACCACATTGTGCAGTCTTCACTTTATTTGAAAACATATTTTACATACATTTTATTAAATAGATAGAAGCAAACTATTTGCGAGCCAGGAACTTGTTACATGGATTGTATAATATTGTTTATTTGTTGAGATTTGAAAGTTAGGTACCCCAGCTTTAGGACAGTCAACGTATACTAAGTGAAGATAGTAAGAAAAAATAATGCAAACAGTTTCAAATTTGTTTGCCCTAATCCAGCATTCATTTTGCTTTTCCGTGCTTCGTAACTGTGTGTGCAGGATGGGACGGCAGACATCGGGGTCCTCTCAGAAGAGCTGCAGTCCCTCCAGGCCCTCCGCCGCTCCTCTGTGAGCTCGCGCTGCATCCACGAGCACCACTGCGGCTCCCAGGTCTCCATCAACTCCCTGAAACCCATCCAGGTGCCACTGGTGCTGGGGCGAGGTTCCCTGGACCTGCCCCCCTTCAGAGGCGAGCTCCAGGCCCCTCTACCCCCTCTGAGAGATGGGGGAAGCGGCCTGAGGAAGAAGAGCTGGCCCAACGTGCAGCAGCCGACCCGCGTCCAGTCCCATCACAGTCTGAGCCGGCAGGAGCGCGTGATGGAGGAGGAGGAGGAGGAGGAAGAGGACGGGCGCTACGACATGTATGTGCGCAGAGGAGGCAGCCGCAGAGCTAAAGTGGAGATGGCCCAGCAGAGGTCGCTGTCCATGGACTTCTGATTTCTGACTGGACTCTCACACAACAGACTATATGGAAGATCTGAAGGACAATGGAGCGGAAACATTACACACTTTGTAGGATGCATTATGTATTACACCAGAACCATGGATTGTTCATGCAAGAGACTTTAGAGGAGAGATCCATGCTTGTCATTGTCAACTTCTACATTCAGAACCCTATTTCTCTGACGATCTATGTTCTTCTTGTTTTTATCCCTGCTCCCCTTTTATCTGAAATGCTCAAATTCAAAAATATGCGCGTACCCCATCAAGGCCACGGATCATCCTGAAGGGTTATTGCGGCCCTCATACTATGACATTGCATCAACACACCAGATTTCAGCTCAATCTGTCCATGTTTCTGCACATTCTGGCCTAGAAACACACACACACTCACAAACACACACCCAAACACAGAGGCAAGCACATTACCCCTTGCCAAGGACCATACATCAAGTGTTATAGATGATAATTATTGACAAATGAGAAATAGGTCGTCAATGTATTTCTTAATTTTCTTGAATTAAATCAACTTTTCAATAGTAGAAGATAGTGTTGCCAGAATACTATACAAATATTAACAGTAAAGGCACTATGATGGACTACATTATGACCCATATAGTCAACCACTACCAATACAATGGATAAGCAGGCCCCTAAGACAAACCTTCCCCCCCACTAGTCACAACAACCTCCCAAGTGAGAAACCTAAGGGGACATATTATGCAAGACGGACTTTAAAGCGCTTGTAGTTGTTTTTTCTCATTTGCCAACACAAACGTATTATTGAGTAGTTCATCTTTGTTTGTGTGGTCTCAATTCTGTCTTTCCTGTAGCTCTTGTTGTGATGACGTTCAGGCTGATGTCTTGTAAAGGCTCACTCAGATCTGCTCTTTTCCACAAACATAAATATGTCCATAGTAGACATATTGTAATGATAGAACAGACACACGCATAATATGTCCTCTTTAAACCGTCCCTCTCCCCCCCCCACATGTGAGAAATAGAAATAAACGTCTTATTTTTAACTTGTTGTAACTCTTTTTTCAATAGAGCCTATAGTTTAACATGGTAGTGGAGGGAAGTTGATTTTTTTTCAACTGTTAACTGTGCTAGGTTTTAATAGTCAGATTTAGAGATCGTTTCTCTGTCCTTCCTGGGCCAATACACATGAAACAAAAACTGTCACCAAATTTCACTCTTTGTCAGTGCATACTGTATCTATGGTCTAATATTTTGCTCAAGAAGAATAATAAAATAATGCTTCAGCTTTGTTGGACACTCAAAAAAGCTTCACATGGCATTATTCATTCCTTTCAGACACAGTGTTTACAAATTACTGCTGGGGCGCGCTGACGGAAGCGTGGCAACTAGTCTGTGCTGTTGGCCCCTCCATGTACCACCACACACACATACACACCCGCACACACACACACACCCCCCAATGTGGCAATTGATGTTCCCAGAAGTCTCCCGTCACAGTACAAACCAGTCCCTGCCCTGTTAATCTTCAGAGGTCTGAGGGAACCTGTCTTTCACATGCAGGTGGCACCACAGTATGATAGCTTTGAAAAAAGTGTATTCCACGGCATTAATTAGTAATTCACAATACTAACTTAACAACACAAGAAGTAAAACTGAATTAAACTTTTAAAACACAGGAAATGTTCTCAGTGTTGTGAAGGCTTTGTACAGTTCCTGCAGACTGTAAATTGGGACACATACAGTCGCCCTCACGTTTCTCACGCACGCTAGTTTGTTAGGGCCGTGTGCACTGGCTCAGAACAAAGCCTTCATGTCAGGCCTTTTCACAAAACTCATTGGTGGGTACATTGACCAATTATGCATGTGCAGAGGAACCGGCCTTGCAGCTCCACGTGCAAGCCTTGAATTTCACATTTATTATTCTGTAATGGTAAGGCAAGGCAAGTTTATTTGTATAGCACAGTTCATACACAAGGTGCTGAATAAAACAAGATAGACACAACAAAGCATTAAAAGTTTATTATCCATCGTGAAAAATCCCTTTCTTCCCCTCATTATTTGCCTGTCTTGGGCCCATCTCTGGGCAGCACCTGGCTCCACCCCCAAGTCTATAATTACAGTCTCATGGCTCCTGCTCTGTCTTGACACTCCTGAGCTGATTTTGGAGATTCCCTTTTCCTGTGGAGAACTGCATAAATGCCTGTGAGTTTGATTTGCTACTTTGTGTTCTACTTTCTCAGAAGATTTCCAGAAGACTCTGGATTTAGATGTTGTGCCCTTTCTTAACCTTAAAGTCTCCACAAGATCTAAACAGGACAAATATGCCCTGGAGTTGTTGGAGAGGACTATAAAAGTGGATATAGGAGGTGTTCACTACTCCACCCCTTTACTGTGCATTGCAAATTTCCCGCTGCTCAAGGCTCCCAAATACTCTGCAGTCCCTGCCCGCTCTTCAGCTTGAAACGATGCTCCTTCAATATGCCCAGCAGCAAAGTTTCCCTGAAGAATACACCCTATTACCATCTGGCAAAGCCATACCTCTACAGAGTCGTCTACTCAACCTAGCCCCCGAGTTTGATCCAGCCCTTAATGTCATTAGAGTGGAAGGCGGGCTGCGTCATTGTGATGCCTTGAGCTACCAAACCATCCATCAATAGTCCTGGACCCGACCAATCACATAACTACTCATCAAGTGTGTGGACAAAAAGTTACATCACCCTGGCTCAGAGAGGGTGCTGGCCAGCTTACGTAGGAGTTACTGGATCTTGAGTGGACGCCAAGCAATTAAAAAGGTACAGCAGTCATGTCTGGAATGCCATAAATGGAAAGCCAAACCCTGTACGCTACAAATGGCAGACCTTCCCCCGTACAGCTGTTCAAGCCCCCTTTTTGGTCCACTGGAATGGACTGCTTTGGCCCTTTTCATGTGAAGGTTGGGTGCAGGCAGGAGAAACGTTGGGGGATTCTTTTCAAATGTCTTACCACACGTTGTCTCCATATTGATCTGCTTACGAGCCTTGACACAGCTTCTTGCTAGTCGAAAGGTCCACTTCAGGAGGAACCCGCCGCATGCTCCACACTTTGGAGAGGTATGGGAACGTGAAGTGAAAGCCATTAAGACAGCCCTGCGGGTCATTCTGGGCTCTCAATCGATCACTGAGGAGATCTTAAGAACTGTGCTCACTGAGGGTGAAGAGATCTTGAACTCAAGGCCCCTTGGTTATTTGTCATCTTCTCTTGCAGACCCAGAGCCTGTGACCCCAAACCTTCTCCTTATGGGGCGGCTTGAGGCTGCACTTCCACAAGTTGTCTACACAGACACTCGACTTCTGGGGACCAGAAGGTGGCGGCATAGTCAGGTGCTTGCTGATCAGTTCTGGAACAGCTTTATCAAGCACTACTTGCCAACTCTCCAGTCAAGGCAGAAGTGGAAAGTGGAACAGCCAAACCTGACCGCCAACACTGTTGTGATGATAGTCAACCCCTCGCTCCCACGGGCTTCCTGGCCAGTTGGAACTGTAACTAAACTTATTCCCAGCTCAGACAGCTCTGCTGTCTGAGCTGGGGTCAAGATTGGCAAGATCGCCCTGTTAACAGACTTGTTCCCCTTACAGAGATCCGGGATGATTGCAATCACTAGATTGGATCTTTGTGATTTTTGGTACAAATATGTCTTGCATATTTGGGGGCGGCAGTGAAAAATCCCTTTCTTCCCCTCATTTTTTGCCTGTCTTGGGCCCGCCTCAGGGCAGCACCTGGCTCCACCCTCAAATCTATAATTGCAGTCTCATGGCACCTGCTCTGTCTTGACATTCCTGAGCTGATTTTTGGAGGAGGAGGTCAAGGATACACCACATCTACAGTTAATCTATATTTTTCATCCATTAAAAAGAGTAAAGATCAAATCCCTCAGTTGTATGCACAGTTTATCTAATCTAATCACCAAGTCTGCTCTAGCTTTGGATGGTAAAAAGCTGCTGTTACAGATTTTATGTGACTGTTGAAATTTAAATCTGAGTCCATAATTACTCCCAGATTTCTGACCTGATTTGGGTCAGTTTTAGGGAGAGAAACCGGAGGAGACAGATGAGCCTCTTCTTTGTTTCTGGGACCAGAAGACAATCATAAAGATTATAGTGTGGCTTATGCAAAGGGCTGGTGTTTTGGTTTAAAAGGACTGGTACTTTATTTTCACATGACAACTCCATGTGGAAAAAGTTCCCGTCGACCTATGAGATTATAATCATGATTTTATTTACACAAGTATGACAGGTGGTCTTACAAAATGGGTTTTATTGTTCTACATTTCAGCAATACAATAAAATGACAGTAGATAAATATTATTGACATTATTACTGGTACAAACATAGCCAAACTGTAAAGCACTTTGTGTTGCATCTTTTGTATGAAAAGGTTACATGGGTTGTATTCCATTGTCAATTTTTTATTGTCAAGCTTGGTCTTGTCCTGCTTCAGTCTATGGGCATCAGAACTGAGGCACCTGCATCAGTATATCCCTATTTCAGCTTAGTTTAATAGTCATTACAATTACACTCCAACTTATGTTGCCCGAATCTTGTCTGTGACACATGTAGCCAAGACCAGCTAAATTTCTCCTAATAGCTCCCATTAAAGTCATTCTACTCTCTGCGTGATCTGCTTGAAAATCCTAAAGCATAAACAACATGGACGTCGAAAGTTGAGACAGAAAGGAACCTCAGTGCAGATTTGTTGAGACATGCGGACAAAATCTATATAATGTGGTAAAGATAAGTTACTGTAACCACCATACAATAGACTGCAGCCGCACCTCAACACAGTACAGCAGTGTTTTGACTGGTTCGGAGAGGTTACACGGGTCAGCTGATCCCCTGTCCTCCCTGACCTGCTGAGCGCTTGTAAAGTTATACAGAGGCTCATAAAGACATGTGAGCCGGTGTTCTATCTGCGCTCGTGTGCTGTACGTACACTATGTTTATCATGACTGAACAATGCGCAGAGGAATGCAACCCAGCAGCTCTGCAACAACGTGCACTTCAGTCCATCGCACTGGGTCTGACTGGTGCAAGTGCAAAGTCTTAAAACAGTGAGAATGTGATGTACGAATAGACTAAACCAATTAAACTGAGTGTAAGGACATATATACACTGTGTGGAGGGATTCATAAAAAATGCAAAACTGCAGTCAAGAGAACAGTAAAATAAAAATAGTTGCTGACTGTAAATAGACAAACTGTTGCTTTGGTTGTTTTCTTATAGACTGAGCCACCACCATCCCTTTAAGGAGACTGAGCTGTGAGCATGACAGTTGGGCTTGTCTCACATCAAAATGATTGATTTTTAAAGGAGCAGTATTTCAAAATCTGGCCAAAAGTGGTTCTACAACCTCTCCCACTCTCCCTGACTCAGGTTGCCAGATATGCAGACAAATCCAACTGGGAACATAATATCTGAATAGACAAAAGTTTTGCCAACAACAAATCTATAACCAACACCTTTTTCACAAAGGCCCCGATTGAAATCCTTGTTTTATTCCTCGTTTTGTCATTAATGATTTGAGAATCATAACGAGAATTGTTTTGTTCTGCGGCCACATGTTACTTTATCAGTGATATTAGCTCGACGTGGTGAGTTCTGGCAACCCGGATCAGACTTTCTGATTGGTTAAACATTGGAGGGTGGGACATTGAAATGAAAACAATAACAACATTAGGGGCTGTAAAACTAATTTAGAAATCCAAATATCTCTGCTGAACCACTGTTATCAGTTAAAGAATCAAAGCCTTTTGACAGATTAGGGCCATTTAATGATAACTTGACATGATAATCTTACATATTGCTTAAGTTATTAAAAAACAGGTTTTTCTTTTTGTCCTGTCTTGTTTTGACCAGTCCTTTTGGGTGAGGAAGCTTGAGGGCCAACAGACATTAAGTCGGGGCTGCATGTGTGGACACTGTGGCTGTAGATCATCCCTAAACCAGGTCTGCAAATGCAACAGTCCCATAAATCCACTTGTTTTAAAAATCAGTGAACAAACTTATGTGTCTAGTGGATTACTTCTGTATATCATCCGACAGCCTACTCTGTGTCATGTAGCCACGCCTCGTCTCGTGTCGTAGTGGAGCAGTGGACACTTATTTGGTGCTTTCACCTCTCCACCAATGTACAGTATCATCCCCCAGTGGCCCAGAATAAGTACCATTGTTAGTTAATTTCATCGGACTGAGTGTGGATCCATCGTTAAATTTCTGTTATTCCAATGTGGTTTCACTACAAATGGCAAATAAGCTGAATCCTTATTCTTGAAATGGTCATTTAGTTTGAAAGTACTTTGAATGACCGGATGCCTGTGAATGGATACGTCAGGTGAAGGGCCTCTTCTCTTTGCTACAGTGTTCCATCCCAGGACAGACCCCGACATCTCCAGTTTCTTCTGGGCAAAACTTCAGATTCCTTCGTTTGCCCGGAACAACACGCAGTAAAACCCTCACTGCGGGTCTTCACTAAAGACAGCTTATGATCTGGAGGTAATACTATGAACACATCCTTCATTAACCAGTGTCCAAACGTCATGTATCAAAATCCCCTGCTACTATTGGTTGCTCCTGGCCCAACGCTCTCTTGTTGGGCTTCCTCCATGTGTTTGTTCAGGCTTGACAGTCCAGTGTACTCCAACCCACTGTGCATAATGAGCCGTCAGGGAGAGGACTTGAGCGACTCCTCGAAGAAGGAGATGTGGTTGTAGGAAATGAGAGGCGTGCGCTCCCCGAGGACGGCCTCTGTGAAGTTGGTCCTCTTCCATGCGTACACCATGCTGTTCAGAAAGCCTTGTAACGACACGGTGGCAGCCTGCGGGTCACAGTCACACAGTTAGGGCAGGAGCAAATATAAAGGCACTTCACAACATGTGGAACTAGTTACTTGAGACCTGCAAAAATAAGAAAATAGTTCTATTATTTTTTGTTTAGTACATCTCCCAAAAATGATTAATAACATAAGAATTTCAATATCCACCACTTACTAGTTTTAGCACTATTAGTCAATAACAACTTATAGTTGTGCCACACTTAACGTTAATCACTCAATATGATTCTCCCACAGAACACTGAATCATGAAATATAGTTCCCAGCAATGTATCCATCCATCCATCCATTTTCTTCCCCTTAATCCATTTCTGGGTCGGGGGGGTGGCCAGAGATGCCACCCAGTACACAGAGCACCAGCCCCTCACTGATCCTCCTGCAGGTGGTGAGTCCACAGGAGCTGAGATCTTTCAGTGGGGGCTTCAGGCAAAGTGGGGTTAAGTGTCTTGCCTAAGGACACAACGACAGCAGTCATCAGTGGGAGTCGTGAAGTAGGTCTTACGTGGTTGAACCCACGACCTTCAGGCTCAAAGGCCAATGCTCTGCCAACTGAGCTACTGTCGCCCCCCCAGCAATGTATATTTCCTTCAAATATCAGTCCACTGTACAGCTGAATGAGGAGATGGAGACAAGACTGTTTCATAGTCCATGTGATGGAGCTGCCCTTTCATTACAAGATATCTACAGTCTGGCAGTAGAGTAAGTAATAGTAAGTTATTAAGTAATGTTTATTTATATAGCACATTTTACAGGCTCTAACTTACTGTTCTGAAGTACGATATTGTTTCAATCACACCCGGTGATGAAGGAAGCGAGACGCCCCCAACCAACACCATCCATTCACTCACTCATTACATTCATACCTATTGTACATCACCGGAGCACATGCAAACTCCACTCAAAAAAGCCCTGTTCCGACCGGGGTTCAAACCCAGGACCTTCTTGCTGAGAAGCGAGAGTGCTATCCACTCAGCCCGACATTCTTCTCTTATTCAGGATAAACAGACAGTGCGTGTTGTGCCTTCACCTGTATGATGTAGAGTGGAAACAGCGTGGCCTGGGGGAGGAGCCACGTGAGGATGAACAGAAGCAGAGCTGTGAGGGAGAAGTAGGATCTGCTGTTAGATGGTGAACAGCAGCAGTAGTCATAGTAACAATAATATCGGTGACTTACCAGGGGTCCAGCAGAAGATGATGACCAGCACCATCATACTGGCCGTGTGCTTGATGTGTTTGAACCTCTTGCGTGACTGTCCGTCCCCCTCCACGGGGAAGAGCCCCTGCTGCTGCTGCTCCTGACCCTCGTGCCACTTCAGCATCTCAGAGTAGGTCACCTACACACACACACACACACACACACATACAGTGTCAAATAATACTGCTTAATAAATACTATAACTCATAATTTTTTCTTCATAACATGCAAATTGTGAACAAATATGCAGATGTGTGTTCTGTTATTTGTTATGTGGCCTCGGACCCTGCATGCGCATACTTTGTAAAGATTAAACACATTTGGACTTTGTTTGTCCTTGTGTCCTATTAGCCTACTTCTTGTATTAAATGAATTTCTTATTACGTGCATTTGATCTGAAAGCATGTAACATTATTTTATCTCTTTTTATGCTAAGTCTAAATTAACAATATATTGTATTCAAAATGTAAGAATATTAAACATCAGTACAAATCCTTTTGGTCTTTTTTAATGGCCTAATTATCTATTGAAATCTACAGCTGAAGACTTACAATGCAGCAGGGCACCACAGCCACCACCATGAAAAACAGCACAACATAGACTGGCGCCTGGTGCATGAAGTCCTGGAGAAACACAGAAACACACATCATGTTATCACCACGAACAAGTACAAGAGAGGCCAGACCAGGAGTGAGACGGAGACTTACAAGCTCAGAGCAGCCTTCTCTCCACACGTGGGAGAACAGGTAACAGCTGGAATGACAGACACATGTGCATGAGTAGGCGAGTGTGTGTGTGCGTGTGTGTGTGTGTGTGTGTTTGTGTGTGCATGTGTATTTTGATGCAGATGGAGGACGCACACTCACCTCTGACAGCAGTCCGACTTCTTGTCTATTTGGGTCTGTGTGGAGATGAAGATGGCATACATCATGTAGACCCCGATCAGAGCCACCCTGATGAGAATAAGACTGTCAGACTCTTTCTAGAACTACTGTATTTTTGGACTGAAGGCTACAACAGGGATGTCCAAACTGTTATCACCAGGGACTATGGACTTGACATTTTAATTATAATAAACTGATTTTCTTCTGGTCTTTTTAATGTGTTCTTCAAATTGTAGATAAAAAAGATTAATTGGAATACCAACAATCTGGAGAAATAATGGTATACAGGTAAAATTCAGGACATTATGACATCCTTCAAAAGTTTGTATCCCTATCTAACCCTTTCATTATAAGTTTTATTTATATAATTAAACTTAAAACGTGAAAGAACTGATATAGACGCATTATATGCAGAGTGACACATGCAAAGCCTTTGTTTGTGGCTTACATATTCAAATGTTATGTTCAAATCCTTCTCATTTACATTCTCTGTATTGAACAGATATTGCTCTCACGATGCATTCATGATTCATTTTTCCACATGTACACTCACCACAGTAAAGTATAGGAGGCCTTTTCATTGGTTCTTCCACACTGGGAAAACAGACATGTATAACATATGAGTGAGTATGTTGTAGACTTTATGCATGTGTGAAATTGTGTTACAAAGTGGTTTAATAACACGCACCTGGACCTGTGCACCGTCTGAAGAAGGCCTTGTCCTCCAGCCCTGAAACACGTTCTTGGATTTGAAAGCGTAAATGATGACCAGAATGAAGGACAGCACATAAAACACCTGTGGATCAGAGAAGAGCACTGTGACCGAGTGATTTACTAAACTACAAACAGGATCAAAATCTGACCATTTAAATGAATGAACTGAAGCAACAGCATTCACCAAACACATTTCACAGCAAAACATAGTCATCTTAGTGCTATAGGTAAAGTTTAATGTTGATTTGAGTCCATTACGACTGTCGTGGAAATGATTTGCAAATGACGGAAGCAGTTTCGAGAGGTATTTTTAATATAGTATAAAAAGATGTTTGTAAAGAAAATTAAATCAGTAAATATTTGCATCTACAGTATTTACATAGAACTGCAGGGTAATTGCATGTTTGTTACGGCCTTAAAGAGTGGACAGGGTGTTTTCAATGATTTAAAATAATTCACTCCTTGAAGAATGCAATGTGTTTTGTTTCTTTTTGGGGATTTTCTAAGCTGTAGGAGCACTGATAACAAAATAATTTGTTTTTATGTTTTTAACCCTTTTTTATTTTTTATTATGGGCCTTTACTAAACTTGTTGAGATGCAGGCCCGATCAGCACGAGGAGTTCACCTGTATCGGTTAAGCCAATATTTTGATAGAGCCTTACAAGTTACGCAATAAGGCTATTTATGGGCTGAAATGAAATATAGATTTATTAAAAGGGACAGCACAAAAGGGAAGTAAAAAATAGCTTGAACTCTGATGAATTTATCTGGATTTTAGAACATTTTGTCCAATGGGCAAAACATGTCATGTCTTTAAGAGGCTAAAAGAAAACATTGGGAAAAAAATACTTTAAGATAAGGCTTTTGTTGCCTTATGTATTACTTTAAGCAGTGAAGAGTGTACATGTATTTTGTAGTTGCCTGGTGGAACAATACAAGTTAAAAACAATTGCACCCATGTTGTAAATAGTGGTAGCTGAAGTATCAAGGTCAGTATAGGACCAGCATCCCTAAGTCATTACATAAAGGTTACAAACCTTAACTTTTAAAATCCGTTTTGATCTCACATACCTGTATAGCAGAACCAGAAGTTATGGGATTATTGTAAGATTCATGGTTGGGCAGTTCAATACTAAACTTCCCACAAATATAGTAGTCCTACATTTCTTTCAAGTCTCAGGGCTCTATCTGTTTCACAAGAGATTTCTAAAAAAAACTGTGGCGCCTGAAGGGTTTAGAAATGGAAGCTGTGAGTAGATTTGAGGAGTTGGCAAATATTGAAATCAAACAATAGTTGGGTTGCACAGTTCCAAATGAGTGAGAGGAATCCAGCAGTTGCAGACTGGCCTTGTGCAAGTCTGCAACTGCTTCAAACTAATTACAGCCACTCTTCATCATGTCATCCACAATATTCTGACTCTCGTAAAGACAAACAATGATTTAAATATTTGTCATAGTTGCAGAGAATTTGCTTTTCCTTAGCAATGCTGAAATGTGTGTTAAAAATACATGTATCTCCATAGTGACGTTAAAGTGCAATGTCAGCGTATTGCAATCTGTAGGAAAATGTTTTAAATCTGTTGTTACTTTAATTTATACGACGATGCATGAGGCTCATACAAATTTAGTTTTGTTGCAGACGTTATGAAAAAATATTTGTAACATTAGAGATGCACGATCTTTTCCTTTTGTTTTTTCTTTTAAACGTGTCACTTAAGTGCTGAAACAAACACTCATATTGAATGAATGAAGACCTGGAGGTCCCCGGGATCTTTTCCACATGTGACAGTAATAACTGCAGCCATCGTGACACAGCAAAAGCTCGTCACCTTTTATCACCGCTTTATGGATTACATAAGCTGCTCCAAGAAGTTTTTACACAAACATAAAACAGTTCGTGGAAAGACGTTTTGGTTTGGCTCCAATGGCCTCAAGCAGTATTAAAAAGTATTTCACCTCTGAATATGAAACTAAATATGCACAAGAGTTAATGATTAACAAAGCCAATGGAAATGCCCCAGAAAAGTCAAGAGTCTGCCCGGTTCCCTGAAAACACTAAACCAGGCACGTTCAAACAGGAAGCCACAGAATAAGCAAGGGAAAATTATAAAGTTTCAGCCCTGCAGATATATAAGAGAAGTTATGTGTCTGTTTTTTATACTTATTTTATTTTTGATTATTATATATATAAAAAGAAAACTCAGAAGAAACCTCCGAAGGAAGTAGTCACAAAACAAATGCAGCTGCTGTTATTTTATTGTTTGTGTTGTTAGTCCTGAGCACCAGTCTTCTCTGCCTTTTAAACAGCCCTCAATGAGAATAAAGTTATGATGCCCCCTTTAAAACAGGATATTCCTCATTTCAGCTTTTGTCGATCTGGATACCCAACTTACCCTCAAATCATAGCCGACTTCTTACGTTTAGCAGTGTTTTATGGATATTATTATTATGGGATTCTGTTAAGTGAGAATAGAACATCTCTCCACAAGTAAAAGTTCAAACTAGAGGAGGTTCTATGTTCTTATCAGCTGGTATTATTATTAGATGGTTTCATTATTGTATTATTATTATTATTAGATGGTTTCAAAGACCCAAACTGGAGACAAGCTTTACACCCAACCAAAACATTTCCCTGGATCGGCGCTGATATTTAACCAGCATCAGTATTGGTCCATCCCCAATAAAAAATGTATTACTGACTAAAGTGATATAGTTACAGTAGCTTTTGTTGAACTATTTAACTTAAAATATTGTTCTCATTCATACCTTTAATGAGAAAACAATGTTATTGCACTTAAGCTTTATGCAAAAAAATAATTGAAAGTTTAGGAGCCAAACTTTACTTTTTTTCTTATTACATTTGTCCAAACAGAAAGTACAAAAATATAATCTTATCTTTTGCATAAAGAACCCTGTGACTATTTGACTTTTTAATTAAAATGTTTTGTGTTTACAGGAAACAAAATTAGTCGTGGCGATTTGCTAAATGTGTGATTTTTACGCAGTGGGCTCTCACCAGGGCCAGGGGCAGGCCGTACAGACACAGCTCAGCAGGGTCTTCTCTGGGTACGAGGTTTGAGATGGAGATGGACAGAACCACAGCAGAGGCCAGGAGGTCAGCCAGAGCCAGCTGTACCAGGAGCTGCCTCTGCACGGGAACAATGCACACAATGGGAAATCAAACATATTGCAATGTCAAATACATCATTGAGGGACTGACCAGTTAAATCTATTGAGCATGTTTTCAGTTTCTTCCAATTTGTGTAAGGTCTCATCATAGTGAATGGGTAATGGGATTTCTCAGATTTGACAGAAGATACAATACTATGGCTCTGAATTCAAGTCACTATTGCCCTGACAACTCCAATACCAGATATACTTAGCCAGAGGATTCTGCCATTCTATTGTTTTCTGTTGTATAATACTCTAAAATAATAGAGTGCACTGCAGTTACATAACAGAGGACTCACCTGTTCTTGGAGCCGCCTCCATCGTAAAAGTGAAACCACTAAGACTGAAAAACTCCCAACCACACTGCAACAGACAAGCACACAATAAGAGGAACAGAAACAGATTTTTACAATCATTTAATTTTGTTTCACTATCACACCATGTTACCTTTTTCACTCATTAAAGCTGGAAACTTTCACACCGCAAAAAACAAAAACCATGTAACTACTAGTCCCTAGCTCTAAAAACAGTTTTCACAGGTTCTCATGTACTTTTTGCTCTTTCTTACAATCAAGCACTAAAAAATTACAATGTTCACAACTATTTTTTACATGCACATAGACTATATATTTATGTACGTATATAGTTATGATCATTTACCTGGGAGAAAGAAATCCTATATATACATAAATGATGGTTTTAATCTGAAAGAGAAAAGAAAGAAGTTATTTAGGCTTCATATTGAAAAGATTTGAGCCTGCAAATTTCACATTTGCAGTTTTGCAGTTTTGCAGATATGTTAAATGTTAATATAGAGTTTTGTATTCAGTATGACAGAATAAAATCAGACTCATAAAACATGTACTAAATAAAAGGCCTACACTAAAAATGTACAGTTTTTACAGATATTATGCCATTTGTTAATTAAAAACTAGGAAATATTATCTGAATATTGTTATTGAGGTTGTCAATTATAATTAAATATAATTTTTCCCGTCAATCTTGCCCTTCTCTATAATAAACATAGACCATCCTGGGAAATTACTCTCAGCACTTACTAACTATTTAATACACCAGTAAATCAGATATCTAGTTATCTGACAGGAATCTAATTGTGTTAGAAAAAAAATAAACTATTGCAACCTCTTCAAAAAATACTGTTTAGAAACAATCAAAACATTATCAACACTGCTTTATCTTTAAGCTTGATTAGGTAATAAATCACTGTCTCTTACTATTGACATAAATAATATTAGGAACTTAAAACCAACAGATTCTTAACCGCAAACAAACTATAATTTTTATCAACTATATAATATCACTTGAAAATATTTACTTTTATTTTTCTTACATTCCTGACAAATTGTTTTATTTGTACTTTTACCTTATTTAATTGAGAAATAGACAAGGCAAGAGATTATTGGAGAGAGTAAGTAACTCACCTCTTCCTGTGATAAAGTGGTGCCATTCCCAGCCATGGTCATCATCAGGTCAGTGCTAAGAGCTCAGCCTCACCGCAGAACGATACACACATTCATGCCAGTCCCAAGAGGATCCAAGCACCAGTCCCACCACAACACCTGTCCGCGTGTCCCAGCCGAAAACCCAGAAAACCAGGCACCAGTCCCAGAACAAGGCGAGTCGAGCAGAAAACGAACCCTCAGAGCTAATTGAACGTGTAGAGTCCAGCAGTCGCGGTCAGATTGACACACGTGGTCACTGGTGGTCCCTGCAGGTCTCCGGTGGTCAATGGTCACGTGTGGTCAGTCAGTGCACTCATCATCTGAGCACCTGTCTGAGTACAACACCTGTCCGCGTGCTTATAAACGGGCTGTCACCTGCACCGAGAGTTTCCCCGCCTCCTCAGATTAGAGCACCGCGGTAAAGTGGGCCGCATCTTTCACCTCCGAAGTAAAACGGTCCGCATCGAGAGAGAAATAGTGCGCGTTTTTTGACTACTTACGGTAATAGCGGAATAGCCTTTCGGAGTCACCTTTTCTCCTCGAATAGAAAGCGCGCTGAGGAGACTCGTTTTTGTGAATAAACCCTTATTTGGAAAGCATTTAATTTGGTCAAAAAGTGAAATTTTCACAGTTTAACTCAATATTTCTCCAAATTTCCACAGTAAACGTTTCTGGTCTTTGTCACAGTGGTAGAAGACAATTATGAGGTCAGGAATCCAGTGTAATTAGCCGCACACCTTTTTACAGTAAAAAGTTAGAGAGGATCAAAAATGGGAATTTTCGCACATTTTGGGTTATTTTGACCAAAATGGGAACTTTAACTAAATATTTCTCAAAATGTCCACAGTAAAATGTTTTGGTCTTTGACACAGTGGCGGAGGGCAATAATAAAGTCATGAATCAAGTGAAATTAGTCGCAAACCTTTTTACAGTAAATAGTTACAATTGTTGAAAAATTGCACTAGCGGACCAAATTGTGTGCTTTATATACGTATGTAAACAATAGTACACAAGAGAGCGGCTATTCTCCTGTGGACTCACAACCTGTAGGAGGAATCATAGGGGGCTGGTGCTATGTGTGCCGGGTGGCATCTCTATAAGGTTTTAATCACAAAAACGTGTCTCCCAGACCCCAGCGCGCTTTCTGTTCGACAAAAATGGGTGACTCCAAAAGGATGTTCTGCTGTTACCGTAAGTTCCCAACAAAACGCGCACCTTGTTCATAGAGCTGAAAGATGCGGGCCACTTTACCGCGGTATTAGAGCCTGCATCTGAATTCACAATACACTCCTCCTTCCTTATCCTTCGTTGTGATTTTTATGGACCTGGGTGGCATTCAATTTAGAATTCACTTGACCAAAGCTGAAGCTGCCTTTTCTTTTTTTTAGAAACCATGATAAGAGTAATTATGGACCGTATATGATTAATCAGTGGCGCCACCTGCATGCGAAAGTCACATCCCGTCGAAAATCTGAAGCAAAGCATAGCGGGGCCTGGTTTTGTTACCCTAACCCCTGGGAACACCAGCTGCCATAACGGGCTGGCTGCAGTTGTAAGGTGCTGAACTGCTGTTGTGTGTTGTGTTCTCAGACGCTTTACCCACATATGTCTACTGTTATTATTACTGTTAGTCTATGTTATGTTTGCAGTCTACGGGCCATTGTCAGTTGTGACAATTTGCTTTGGTGTTGAGTGACATCTAGTGGTGATCTTGCAGACCTCAGGGCGTGAGGATATCATGAGGCTATGAGTCAGGGATATATGCCTCAAAGGGATATGTAATAATGTATATGTATATATGTATATATTTTCAATAAAATGCAGGTTTGTTTGATTAAATTGTAAATATTGTGTGAAAAAGAATGATGAAAGATGTATTTTTGTCACAAATAATGCTTTTACACTAAAGAAGCGACAGTTTATATAATTTTGCGGCAACATTTCTAAAATGTTCTAGAACTGATTATTTACATAAAAATAATCTTGTGATAAATTAGTAAAAATATGGCATGGTATGGTTGCTAGGAAACAACCCTCTTGTGATGTCATCATTTCTAACAAGGAAGTAAGATTATAAATATAAAAATAAGGTCAAACTGCGATGATATCTGGAAAATATTTGTATAACAATATTAAACATCATTTTGAATCTGATTTTTAAAGTACAATGTTTAGTAAAGTCTGACTTGTCATATATCACATATAAACAATGTATTCATCATAGTTTAAATCTGTTTTAAATATTATAATTAGCTTCTGTGCCTTAGGATAATTGCAAATATTTCGTTTGTATGTTTTGAAATAATATGTCTTGTTGGTGGTGTGTCAGGTTGATTTTTGTCTTGTGCTTTGTCAATAAAGTATTTCAAAACGGTGACGTCGGCAGTTCCACGTTGGCTCCGGTTGGCCCGGACGTGGCACTTCTCCGTCGGCTACTGTTGTGCGAGCCCTCGCTCTGCTCCTGTCCGCTGCTCCTGTCCGCCTCAAACCGAGAGAAACCGGCTGTAATCTGCGGATCTCCCGTTCACCATGGGGCTCACCATTTCCAACTTGTTTACCAAGCTTTTCGGCAAAAAGCAGATGCGGATTCTCATGGGTGAGTGCGGTGCAGTCGAGGCAGCCGTGCTAGCTTACAGGCTTCAAGCTATTGTCACTATTTAGCTGGAAGAACATCTCAAAATACAGACTACATACATGTAAAGAGCTACCATTTTATCAACTGTTGCCTTTAGCACCGAACAATTGTGATCTATTGATTCGCGATGTCTGTGTTTATATATTTAGCTGTTTTCCTTACGATCTAGCTAACCTATTTGAAATTCGGGGCAATCAAAAGCCTTTATGATTTATGTTTAACTTTGTTTCACATGATCATTGCAGTTTCTCGCTAGAGCTGAGTTTATGTAATATATTTTTCTGGACCTTGTTTTGCCAGAATTTTGACATATTTTCTACGTAAAGGGTGTGTTATGCAATATACTGCAATCTCCTCTGCTTGTAATTGTACCAGACGTTTGTTTTCTGTTCTGGCCGGTATATTGAAAAACATTCTTGTTTAATTTGACTTGTTTAATTGTAGTTTGTTGTAGTTAAAACAGGCGAAAACAATTGCAAACTATACACACTGTTGTAGACGCGGCCTGTGAAAAGTGGTTGACCCTTTATATTTGAAACACTACGCCATTGTTGATTTGGTCTATGGTCGTTTAAACAGAAATTTTAAGCAGCTTGAATGGAAGAATGGAAATGTAACGTCTCTACCAGACACTGTAGAATAGCCCAGGTCTTAATGTGATCAATCTTGAGTATTCAAATGTTTTAATTTGTTTTCCACCCTCAATTTTTTGTTACAGTTGGTTTGGATGCCGCTGGGAAAACCACTATTTTATACAAACTGAAGTTGGGTGAAATCGTAACAACAATTCCTACAATTGGTAAGAAAATTGACATAAATGACAGTTTAATGTAATTGGTTTATAATGTCTCTGCCTAAAAGTTTCGGTATAAAAAGATCTACATATTATTTAAGGAAAATGCTAATCAAAAACTTGTAATAATATGATGTGACATGCACTCAAAACGCAGTAGGCCTGATTATGAATATTATGAATATTTACTGTAATTACCCAATTACACCCAAACAGTTAGATACACGAACAGTCAAAGAAAAGGCCTGTGGCAAACAACATTTACTAATCCCTACCTCTGGCTTGTTTTCAGTATACGATGCATTATTAAAGTATCTTTTCTGGATGTTTTTGTACTATTTCTAAATTTTTCTATGCCACAACCTTCTGATTCTAAAATTTATCACATATTTATTTATTTCCTAGTATACAATTTTTATTAGGAGTCTTTGACATTTCCTCTTAAAATAACTCTCAGTATTCACACCATTTGCTAATAAGCGCAATACAGAGCTGAGTTGAATGCAAACAATGATTGTTGAGATGTTTCTACAACCTGCCCGGAGCACGTCTGCTCAACTTGATTTGGACAGTGAGGTCTAAGGAACTATGTCTTGACCTCTGAGACAGAATTAAATACAGGCACACATCTGGGTCTAGAAAAACATTGAAGCCGTATCAAAGGTCCCAAAAGAGCACAGTGATCTCCATCATTAGGAAGTGTAAAAAAATAAAAACCACCATTATTCTTCCTAGAGTTGGCTGCTAAAACTGAGCAGCCGGGAAGAATTGCCAAAAGTAATACTGACTAAGCTTCAGCATTACCCTGGGCAAATAGTATATCCTTATAGATAGACAAGATAATTGACCTGGATTGAATACTTTCTCAATTCACGGTAGATTACCATGTTATTCTGTGGGACCTTTTAGCTGGGCTGGTATAGTATGCTCCTACTCCACTGTAAAATGATTAGTGCTTTACTTGATGTACATTTCTGTGTTATTTCAGGTTTTAATGTGGAGACGGTAGAATACAAAAACATCAGTTTCACGGTGTGGGATGTAGGCGGTCAGGACAAGATCCGACCCCTTTGGAGACACTACTTCCAGAACACACAGGTAAAACCAGTGATGTAAAGTTTAATAATTCTATGGATTTGGGACTTCTACATATTGGTTAAAGGTAAACTCTCAATTGTGTGTTATGTTTGACTGATATTCCTAACTAGATATGACATTCATTCATTCATGTTTTATAAATTCTTTTTTCAGGTATGAAACTATCTTCCTGAAACCATATTATTACGATTGTATTGTTAAAGTGAATGTCTGTTACTTTTCAAGTTTCTGGAAAAAACTTTGGAAGAATAGAATTGCCACCTAATTCCTGTTTTTCCTGATTGGACAAATCTTTTATTCACTGTCAAGCTCTCTTCCCATTAAGCTTGGTTTAAGTCAAGTATTAGTTAAGTTTATTACTCATTTTACATTGCAATGCATGTATTCAGACTCCGACACATGTAAGTGCTGTGAGATTTGATTTTAACTTGAGAGCAGTAGTTGTAAATGTCAATTTTCTTTTAAACCCCTAACTGGGGATTTAATTAAAATAAATATTACCATAATATCATACCTTTTTAATCTGCTATATAGGCGTGCGCTTGTGTGTGTTTGTGTGTGCACACACATATATTTATATTGTAATATATTTTTTGAATACCCATAAAAACATTTCAGATTCTGATGTATCGTGATTATGGATTAGCCAGATAATCCTGACCGTCAAATGTGAATGCATATGGGGAGAAATCACACTGCTCCTGTTTGCTCATGTGCACAATCTCTTATCTCACCCCTTGTAAAGATACAGTGTACCGCGCCATCAGGAGGCACACACATTTAGATATAAACACACTTGTGCCTTCTTTCATTTTAATTTAAATCTGTTTTTTATAACTGTTTTAACAACTATTGATGCCTTTCCAGGGTCTGATCTTTGTAGTGGACAGCAACGACAGGGAGAGAATCACAGAGTCTAAAGACGAACTAATTAAGATGGTATGTGTCTGAATGGTCTCGAGTTCTGTTTTTATTCAAGATTTACTTGTGTTGCACATTTTATCCAAGAACTAAAAAGTTTGAACAAATGTCTGTCTGTGTGTCTCTTAGTTACATTTTGTGTAAAAACAAAAAAAGCAACTTGAGCTTTGAATTCCAAACCACAAGACAGAATGTTTTGTATTTGCTAAATGTGGTTCTTACTTCCCTTTTATTAGTGGTGTTCTCCATTTCTACATCCAAAGACTTAAGAGGATGTGGAGCTCCATTGGTGACATCATGATCCAAAATAAATGAGAAACCCTATTGGGAGTATGTGTGGTGTTTAAAAAAGAAAAAAAAACTCCTCCTCTTATACACTTAACTAAATCAATCAACCGGTTCTTTCATTTATTAACCCCATTTCAGATGTCGTCTTACATTGTTTTCCACTTACAAAAAGAACATGTTTGTTTCTGTTGCAGCTCCAGGAAGATGAGCTGAAGGACGCTGCTCTGCTGGTGTTCGCTAACAAGCAGGACCTGCCCAACGCTATCCCAGTCAGCGAACTCACAGAAAAGCTCGGCCTCAACTCCCTCCGCAACAAACCCGTAAGTACACGCTGAAAGGCAGGTTCTTCACTACTAAAGAGCTGTTAAAAGTTCAGTAGTCATGGTAACCCTGTAGGATCATCCACGATGATGTCCGTCCATTAAAGTCAATGACTTGTTTGAGGGAGTTGTGGTAGAGATGGGACAGGTGCGAATTTGTTAAAACAGATGGATTACAAAAAGGAAACAAGTTAATGATCACAAACACAAATCTCCACAAAATCTGACCTTTGTGAAAACTGTCGGTCCATGTGCGAGATGCATGAGGAGTTCATGTTAATATTTCAGACATTTCACATGCACATAATGTACTGACCTCGTGCAGAAGTTTTGCCGGAATTGTGGGTGCAAAGGTGTATGCAAAGTTATAAAGCCTTTCACTGCCTGTCCAGTATGTTCAGTTCCACTCAGACAATTCATTATGATTTAGTCTGATTTTGGCCCCGGCCTTAGGGGGTGTTGCATCGGCCCGGCCTGACATGGTTTCTGATTTCTCAGGCCCGAACCCGTATCAAGCCCGACTTATTATTTTTTTTACCTCCGATAACAATGTTTTAGCGTAGTATATAGTGCCGCGCACTGATATGAACACAGGCCCGTTTAGAGGGCGGAGTTATACATGGTAGTGATGTGTTGCAATGAGTTCTGTGTGTACGGAGTGAACGGCCGCAGCTGTATGATACCCAGATGCCACAATAAACTACAACACCCTTGAAGGTAACGCTATGTGTCGTCAATGACAATACTATACAGAACAACAAATACTACAGTGTAATAGAACGCTATATTCAGTGGGTGCGTTCGTAAATGTAATCTGCCGCTCTAAAAATGAATAAATAAAAGGGCCCGGACCGTGTCCGAGGTAATTTTAAGGTAATTGGCCCGAGGGCCCTCGGGCCTAGGGCTCAGGTGCAGGGCTCAATTATGATTCTGGGGTTTAAACATTGATAATTATTCTATTATTCATTTCGCATGGGCTTCAATATTCATTTTGAAAAGTCAAGCTATTGTTAGTTGGGTAGCAATGCACAGGCTTCTGGTGAATTAGAAAGACTTAAAGGACAACTCACCCTCAAATCCACTTTTTTTTGCTGATAAACGGTATAAATGAGTGTCCAATAGTGTTGTCTACATATCCTGGTCATAATCTTGTCACTTTGGTGCAAATTAGTTGAAAGTTAGACTTTCTGCCTAAAACCGCCTGTGAGGCGCCATCTGCTGGCGACCTGTATTACTACATTTGAATTTTGAATCTGGCGCCAACACTGGCACAGAAGTTGGACCTGACGTCTGCAAGTTGGACCTGACGTCAGCAGCCCCCCGCCCAGAGCAATGTAAACGGCCCAGTCTCGTTCACGCCCCCTTTAGTCCTCCAGGCTACGCCCATTTAGAGGAAGATTAGAACAGGAAATGTGAGTGACGTAAGCTCCGAGGAGCGGGGGTGAGAACCACTTTAAACTCAGTAACAGATTTTTGTCCACTTTATAATGGCTGAACATAATTTGAATCTAATTTTTAACTGTCAAATGCCCAAAACTGTACCGAGCTAAAGCCTTGAAAAGCAAGAGTTTTTAACAATAAGTTTTCTTACATCACCTTGAAGTAAGAGTAACATTAACATCTGTCTGACTCTGAAATCCCATATTCACATTCTCCTCCTTCAACAGTGGCACGTGGAATCCACTTGCGCTACCCAAGGCACCGGTCTTTATGAAGGACTAGACTGGCTATCCAATGAACTGGCCAAGAATTAACGAAAAGAAACACAGCGGATCCTCAAAAAAGAAAAAAGGCGTCAAACTCCACGAGAGACGGACAAGCTCCCACCCGGACACCTCTTAACCACCTCCGGCCTCGTTCGCTCCAAGCCGAACATTTTAACATTTCCTCTCTTATTCTGAGCGCTATTTGTCATGTCTGGTTCCTCTTTCTTTCTATTTTTTAATTTCCAGATGTGTGAATTCAAATGATTGTCATTCTTTTCTGACATTAACTGATTCTGTGTACAGTAATTGCTCCCAATGCTGTCGAGCTGAGCAGTAGTACGTGCCCAATTTAAACATTTTATTTTCTGTATAGAACCAAATTATACCAAATTAAGTACACCATTTATGTTTTTAATGCATGAAGCCATGGACCAGCGTTTTTGGCAGTTGAGCTTTTTCTGTATGTTTTCTTTTTTTTCTTCTCAAATAGATTTTTGAAGATTGTTTCGCTCATGCATTTTTTTGTTATTTTTTGCTGTAAAGGGATAGTCCGGTGTCTGTTACTTTGCGGTGGTGAAGTTGTGTTTATAATGTGTTTCAGTGGTGAAGTAAAACTGGAGCACTGCAGAGAACAACAACCAAACAGGCAGCAAATCTGACCTGTTATAATAAAGCCGCCTCTGCTTAACCCCAGCTCCAGAATGTGTCCTATGTTGTGAATACATGTATGGACTTTGAAAACATACTGAACTATCCCTTTATTATTCTGAGCAAAAAGTTGCATGTCTTGTGTTGTTGTGTAATATAGATAACATTTTAATAACTGTATGCGTCTCTTCACATACAATGTCGGCCCATTCCAAATTATGCTTGCAAAGAGTCAGCATTTAATATTATTTTACGAAGTATCTTTGAATAAAAACTATGTTTAAACTGACTGTCTTTTGTATTCAATAATTAAAATGGGAACCAACACCATACTTTAATTGTCAAAAGGATATTAAAAAAAAAAAAAGTCGTTTTGGATGTGAATTCTAAAGTACAACAGTTCAAGCACATGTGTGGGAAGGGTAGACTTCTTCCTGGGACCCCCAAGAACCCATCTCTAGAATTACAGCAAATGGGCTATTCTTAGTTGTGTTAAACAATATTCTCAAAAGTATTCTAAAACGTTAAATAAAAACTCATGTATCATGGCACATCCCTCCTATCTAAAATGGATCCTCCTGTCACATGCGTCAACTGGGAAGCATGGCCGTGTAGAGGCGGGAGCTGGAAGATAAACAAACATATTCAAGTGGACCAGAGAAAAAAACTAAGTAGAGAATAACATGTTCCATTACCAGAACAAACATGTTTCTTCAGCGTAGGCAACAAAACTAAGCTGGAGCTGATGGCACAACAGGACCTGGCAAAAGGAGTGACTGTCCAGCTACACAACACCCGTAAAACTAGAACTCTATCAGCCTGTATTTGTAGAGCGCTTTTACCACACAAGCTAATACAACGTGCTTCACAGCCCATATCACATAAGGCATAAATCATCACATAGATCATAAACATAAAAACACACAGTGCTTCAAAAACATTAAAATCACACAAGGGATTAAAATCAGAGATAGCCATTGTGCATTAAAGTGAGTATAGATGAAATTGTTCAGTTGCAGACAAACTGTCTTCAACCTGAATTGGAATCCAGATTTTCAACATGTCAAGATATAACTCTGTGCTTGGCCATGGAAAGACCTGTACACAAGCAGAGCTGCTTTACTACTCAACTCTAACTTCATAAACGCATCCATGAAAGAGCACCCCCATCACAAATGTTTGCCTTGGACCTCAAATGAAAATCTGCCACTGACTCAACCATGAGAGAGGGGCCCATCATGTCTGTGTGTTGGATGGGTAGACAGGGATCCAGTCTACCATCAATACACCATGAAACAGATAATGGAAATAAAACTCATGATTCGATTGATTGATATTGCATGAGTTAAACTAACAATTCTGTATACAACCCCATGTTGTATACACAGAAATGTTTACAGATGGCCCAGCCCTATACTCCTCCACCGATACTCAATGAATCAATCAATCAATCAATCTTAATTTGTAGACCACCTTTCCTTTACAGGGCAACACAAAGCGCTTCACCGTCCACATCACACAAGGCACAAATCATCACAAAATACTGACAGGGTTTTCCTTCCAACAAGCAGTCCACATCAGACTTCATAAACTGAGTCCAGTCCGAACTTGAAGACTGAAATGAAAACCTGCGGCCACATGTCCCTTTGTGGAATGAGTTGACCCCCCTGCTGTAGACTCATACAGATCTATGTGGTGTGAGGATGCTTTTCCCTTAGTCTACATCTCCTGAGGTGAGAATACCATGACTATATCATCTCTTTTGGACTGGCAAAAGAAATCATTTTCAAAAGTCCTATTTTTATTGGATCATCTGTTGGTTCAGGACCAAAAGGTTTTCAAATAGACTCAATGTATGTATTTATGTTTCTGTAATGATCTATAATGGTAAATCTTGGTCCAGAAAAGTGCAGCGCTAGGAACAGCAAAAATACTAAAGAGGACCCAAGCGATAACCACTTCAGTCCCTAAAGCAGAATTCCAGAGGCATTTACAGCTACCTATCTATGCGTATTGTATGTGCTACTTGTTTGCTCTATACACAAGTATGAGCACACAAGTTTGAATGAATGAGTGTGTGTTTGAGAGTGCAAACGTGGGACAACGGTTGCAAATTAGCCCATGGGTACAATCTGGAGTGATGTTTTCATTAACAGGTACTGTCCCAACCAAATAAACAATACATTAATATACTGGCCTGTATGAGGGTCCCAACTGTGGGACAAATAAAGGTGTTCTTCTCTTATCTTTTTTTATCTTAATTGCGTAATATGAACTTGCATCACAGATAATTCCCCATTTCCTTTTGTTATGTTTTTCATTTTAAAGTGGTTCTCACCCCCGCTCCTCGGAGCTTACGTCACTCACATTTCCTGTTCAAATCTTCCTCTAAATGGGCGTAGCCTGGAGGACTAAAGGGGGCGTGAACGAGACTGGGCCGTTTACATTGCTCTGGGCGGGGGGCTGCTGACGTCAGGTCCAACTTGCAGACGTCAGGTCCAACTTCTGTGCCAGTGTTGGCGCCAGATTCAAAATTCAAATGTAGTAATACAGGTCGCCAGCAGATGGCGCCTCACAGACGGTTTTAGGCAGAAAGATTTACTTTCAACTAATTTGCACCAAAGTGACAAGATTATGACCAGGATATGTAGACAACACTATTGGACACTCATTTAAATCGTTTATCAGCAAAAAAAAGTGGATTTGAGGGTGAGTTGTCCTTTAAAGTGTTTATCCAAATCAGGGGTCTCCAGCTCGGGAGCCACCAGTCGCTCGCCACGCCCTTCCAGGCAGCTGGCCAAAGGATTTAGAAATGAACAAATCAAATAATATAGTTCATATTTCAGATTGTGTCAGCCATTATCATTATTAATCATTGTAAACTTACTTTTTGCACTAGTAACAAATATGTGATGATCAATAATGACTGTACCCAATATCAGGCTTGTTCACATCAAAACTGTATATCACCAAATTTCTCCCAGGGCCGCTTAAAGGAGAAAGCTACTTTCCCGGGAAAGTAGCTCTCTGGGTGAAAAAGTTTGGAGACCGCAGGCTCCTCAGCTCCTTCTGACCCTCTTCATGGCCGATTAAAGTCACATGATTGGCAGCCTGTAGTCTTGTCCAATGATCGAACTGGAAAACAACACATTTGAGGAGGACAGCCCTATACTCTTTGTAAGTGAAGTATAAGCAATACATAATTGGCTTGTGAGGTGTGAACGTGTTGGGGATAATCAGGATTAAGAGCTGGGTCATTATATGGATCTGCTGCTGTTAGTTGCCTTCACAACCTGACGTCTCACTCACATAAGGTATGTATGCACTATTTATAATGGCAGGGTTGTAAATGCTAGAATACAGAAGTGCAGCCATCGCAAACAAAGAGGGATTAACTTGTCAGAAATGTGTAGTGTACCGTGGAGATATGCAAGCATGTTTGTAATTCAGGTACATTGAAAATGATCGCTCAAATACTCAGTGTATCCACACCTTTTCCCCCACATGGCTTATGTTAAAATGCATAAGTGGATAAATATAAGTTAAAAATGATGTTGGTCATTTAATATCATTAGTCAAAACATGATGTCCATGCATTGCAGAAAGTATCCAATAGTAGTATGTAATGAATGTCAAAAGTTACACCAAAATAAAGGTTTTATTATTTTCTATTCTATACATGTAAAGCATACACATGTATGTCAATGTCACAATTGTTTGGTTGTACAGCATAGATTCTGTGGTAAACAATGCTTATAGTGTCGCATTGTCCGATGCAGGAGGGTCTAATGACGGCGATGATTCGGGAGGTTTATTAATATTTATGGTCATCTCACTCCCTGTGGACCAATGGCTCCAAAGTGTTTGTTATTATTGCATTTCCTGTGAACGAACGGTTTGATTCTCTGATCTTTGGTTGAGGCCCCTCCCTGAGACGACTTCTATTGTGATTTAGGCCAATACAAAAAATACATTGAATTGAATAATACTGTTCATTAGAACATTTAAAAATACAAAAGCAAGCCCTGATTATGCATCTAAAATTTCTTGTCAACTTTTTTTCAGACCATTATTTTACTTGGTTTAATGGTTGAATGCCCTAGAAAGCAAAATTATGAACTGAGTTTGACCTGGCCTTAAAATGTTCTGCCATCTTGCTCCATATCTTTTTTATTTTTGGAGCATCTTATTTTGTCAATCAAATAATCAGTGGACTAATACAACATTTGGCAAACTAATTATCATCGGCCGAATAATCAACAAACGGAGACAGCCATAATAAACTTTTCCCGCTCTTTCTACCCATTCATTTCCCGCAGTGTTTTCTGACTGCCAGTACGATGCCCACCCTGATGCCCCCCGTCCCGGTGCCTCGTCCATCCTACTCCCAGGCGAGGGAGAACCTGGTGCGGGCCATCCCCCCCAGACTGCTGTGTCTGCTGGCCTGTGGGGGCCGGGACTGTCGCTACGAGGGCCCTGAGTGCTGGAAGGACAGCCAGCAAGCCATCCGAGGACTCTTCTCCTCATGGTGACATCTTAATGCATTTGTAATTGTGGAATGAAAAATGTTTCAATAATGTGTGAACGTGCGTGGCCTTGTGCAGGGTGACGGATGACATCATAGCCATGGCACGGCCGTCTGAAAAGCTGATAGAGAAATATGACATCATCGAGCAGTTCAAGAGGTAAGGTGAGCTCACTTTTTAGCTGTGACATTGCTTCATTCTGCCATCGTGTCCCCTTTATCACAGATAAACAGTATATAAACGGCTGCACCTGCATGAACCAAAAACGCCTCTTTCCTTGGGCACAACATACTTCCTTGTCTTTCCTTCTCCATTTCATTGACCTTGGTGGCATGAAAGGTCGTCTTTGAAAGGTCTAACACTTCACTTGACCAATCCGGGACCAGTCCTCTCACCTCAAAGTTTGACAAAAAACACAGTGAATGACAAAGAAGGAGGAATTGTTTGCTAATGGGATGAAGCCCATGAGTGAGAGACGTTTATGCAAATGTATGAACATGTATGGACAGTGAAGGAAGGTTTCTCACCCATCATCTGTACTTCTTAGCAAGTTTTCCCAACGTTTCGTCCTCAAACCAGCGGACTTCTTCAGGGAATGAATTCTCAGACCGCGCGTTGGAGATGTATAACCTATGGGTGTGGTTAGCCACACCCTAATCCTGATACTAACTCATAAACAATCTACGGTCTGTTTCGAATCTATGACGACATCCTAAAAACAACGCCCCAACTTTGGACAAGGTCAGTGACATGCTAATGAGTTAGGAGGGGTGAGACCTGCACTCCACTTGAGCATCCCAGCAGACAATAGGTCTGTGACATGCTAATGAGTTAGGGTCGTTAGCCTCAGCAGGGTCGTTAGACCTGCTCCCTTTTATGAGTTAGTATCAGGATTAGGGTGTGGCTAACCACACCCATAGATTATAAATCTCCGAAGCGCGGTCTAAGAATTCATTCCCTGAAGAAGTCCGCTGGTTTGAGGACGAAACGTCGGGAAAACTTGCTAAGAAGTACAGATGATGGGTGAGAAACCTTCCTTCGCTTTGACTAATCCCTGTACAACTGAGGGCTTACACAAACTGTATGGACAGTGGTCATCGTGCTCCTTTTGGACATGGCACCTATATGTTTGTTATTATTGTATTTCAGTGTTTGATTCTCTGATCTGTTATTGAGGAATCAATATGGATTGAATTGAATTGAATTAGCTACTTCGGTACATCTAAATCTATCCATCCATCCATTTTCTTCCCCTTGATCCATTTCTGGGTCGAGGGGGTGGCAGTCAGAGCTGCACCCAGTTCACAGAGCACCAACCCCTCACTGATCCTCCTGCAGGTGGTGAGTCCACAGGAGCTGAGATCTTTCAGCGGGGGCTTCAGGCAAAGTGGGGTTAAATGTCTTGCCCAAGGACACAATGACAGCAGTCATCAGAGGGAGTTGTGAAGTAGGTCTTATGGTGGGCTCGAACCCACGACCTTCAGGCCTAAAGGCCAGTGTTCTACCAAAATCTAAATCTAATTCAATTTAATTTTGTATTGACCATACAGCAGTTGTCTCGGAGGATTTCACAAAGTTGTTTATCCACCATTATAAAAATACTTGCAAGAACCCAATGCAAGAGTCTCTATTTGAAGTCTACTTAAGTAAAAAAGTAACTTGGATATTTGTTGAATAATAGATGGACAATAAATTCATTGGAGACTATTGAAGAGAATATGACTATATTCAAAACATGTTTAATAAAGGGTTGCCGAACTTTGAATCGTGACTAACCACAATGAATGAATTAACTTAGAAGCATTCAAACCTGTTTTCATGTTGTATCGTCATCTGCAAAGTCTGTTTCAAAATGTTAGTAGTAGAACATAGATTTTCAAATATACAAGTGAGGAGAAAAAGGGTTTTTTGATACCTGAAAAGGGAGTTTTGATACCTGAAAGTACAATACTTAAGTAAAGAAAAAACTTAGTTCTACAACCTTTATGGACATTTATCAACACTTATGGACATTGGTCATCTGCTCCTTATGGACCAATACCAGTGTGTTTTCCATTTTATTTCTTGTGTTTAAACTGTTTGATTCTCTGATGTGTGTGGGCAAATTCAACGGGTGTGTAAAGTCCTCCATGATCACTACTGTTGATAGACTATAGAATGAGTCTGGTGTGTGTGTGAATGGTTGGTGGTGGTCAGAAGGCCGATGGCACATACAGGTTGCCTTGCTTAAGTCAATGTGTCCCAGGACAGCTGTGGCTACAGTAGTAGTTCATCACCACTGTGTATGGAGTGAAAGAATAATAACGTGAAGCGTCTTTGAGTGTCCTGAAATGCGCTATATAAAACCAATACATTATCATTATTATTACTATACAAGAATACATTGAATTTTTACTTGCTACCTTGTTGTAGATCAAAGTTCATTTATTTTCTGTGACGTAAATCCAGGGGTATCCAAACCTGTCCTCAAGGGTCGCTGTTGCCGCAGGTAGTACATCAGACCAAGCATTTCCTCAAATCTTTTCCTTTTCGACTGAACTTACTTGAGGAAATGGATGGAGTCTGCTTGGTCTGACAGAACACCCGCAGCCACAGCGGCCCTTTCTGGACCAGTTTGGAGACTCCTGCCTTAATCCATCAGACTGAAGATCCGCTCCATCATCAACATGCAGCAGCCTGGAGAGCACTCCCACTGCGGCCCCCCTCTGGACCCCAGCAGTGGCTTCACCTACAGCCCCCAGCTCTTCATGGACAGCGACAGTGAGACGAGACACACGCTCCACCTCTATCCCACCTGTCAGTTCCCTCTGCTCATCAAATTCTATTTACAGTTTACTTTTACAACTTCTGGATGCCTGACTTCGGGGTGTCGTCTCTGGTCAGCATAATTGACGGAGTGAAGGTTCTGGCGTTCGCTGTGACAGAGGGACGGGTGGCTGTGCACTGCCACGCCGGCCTGGGCAGGACTGGTGAGCCTGTTTTTACATCGTTACATGGTTCAAGCTGTGTTTGTAGACTCCAATAAATAACATTAATCATCACAACAATAAGAATATTATTGACTTAACTTGTCTGTTTATAATATTATATATGTTAGAGCTGCAACTAACGATTATTTTGTAATCGATTAATCTATCGATTATTTTTACGATTAATCGAGTAATCGCTTGGCTGTGAATTGTGTAGAAAAAAATTATTTTTTCCTCACAAAAAGCTAAAGTGGCAACACTCGAGGACGTATTGATGGCGTAAACTTAAAGTAAATGTTTGTAACAGGCTTTTTGTGCTAATTCTGCTATCTGATTGGATGAGACAGACAGATATTCATGAAATTATAAAAACAAAGTCGGTTTTAATCAAAAATACTACATTTTCATGTCATTTTTGCTCTGTTTGAGTCCGCGTGAACCAGAAAACGATTAATTGATTACTAAAATAGTTGTCGACTATTTCAATAATCGATTAGTCGTCGATTAATCGATTAGTTGTTTCAGCCCTAATATATGTGATGACTGCAAAACAGGCCTGTCACTAGACCTAAAGCGATACTCTGATCTGATTCTAGTTTTGACTTTAGCTCCCGTTACTGACCTGACTGACTCCAGTATACAGAAAAAATGTGTCTCTTTTGCATTAATTGATTATTTAAATGGACAGTTTCGAGATAACTGGCTATATGAGGCAGACAAATCTTGTAACTGGCCAGTTAGATTAAATTTCATAAATCCTAAATCCTAACTGAAGTTGTCTTGGAGGACTTTATAAGGTTGTCGATTCGCCTACAACAGATAGTAGAATGACCAATGTTCATAAATGTTATACAAATACAAATGAATTAATTGAACCGGCCACAGTGGAGACCAAAACAAGATGCATTTAAGTGCACAGGATAAGAAATAACCAAGCAAGTATCAGATATGTTTAGTCTGTGGAAAGTGTTTTGTAGAGTCAATAGGTCAAGTGATTTGGAAAAGACATTTTTAGTTGTGTAGCGTACTCTATACTCTATTCTTATATAAAAGTACTGAATCTATTGCAATAACAAATTAATCATTTATTACAAATCCAGTAATCCATTCATCGTTTTTTAGCCATCCATAGAATTAAACATGCTGTGAGGAGGTTTTTATGACTATGAAAATTCTTTGACTGTGGAATGAAATGAAAATGTGTTTCCAAAGTATGTCAGTCATCTCTATGAAAATGTCACTTGAGCATCACTTGAGCTTTGTTTAGTTCAGTGCAGAAACATTTTGATATTCACTGACCTTTCGGGATCTAAACTTGGTTACTGGTATAGTCCTAATCATAACTAAACCTGCGCCACAGTACATGTTGTTTCTGTCATTCAGAACTTTCTTTGACAAATTTGGTAATCTTTGTACTAAAATACATGTGACGTGTGTTTGTGTGTCTGTGTGTGTGTTTATGTGTCTGTCTGTGTGTATGTCAGGAGTGCTGATTGCCTGTTACCTCATCTACACCCTGCGCATCAGTCCCAGTGAGGCAGTCCACTTTGTGAGGGTCAAACGGCCTCGCTCCATCCAGACGCGGGTGCAGATCGGGCAGGTGTTTGAGTTTGCCCGCCTCCTGGGCACACAGCTGGTGCAGTACCCTGACCTGAGCCTGCGACACGGGACGCCCTTCACCCTGCAGCTCTACCTGCACCGACAGGCCCTGCTGCTGCACGGACAGGAGGCCCGCAGACTTCGACACACGCCCAAGGTCACCTGGTTATACAACAGTCAAATCAAATATCAAACTTTTGTCACAAATGTTATTCCAACTCAGTTGAGAGCAATGTAAAAGATGTCACAGCACCCTCACTGTGTCCACCCTGGTTTCTCACTCTGAACCCCCATGTGTATGTCCTCTATCCTCATGGTTTCTCACTCTGAATCCCCATGTGTATGTCCTCTATCCTCATGGTTTCTCACTCTGAATCCCCATGTGTATGTCCTCTATCCTCATGGTTTCTCACTCTGAATCCCCATGTGTATGTCCTCTATCCTCATGGTTTCTCACTCTGAACCCCCATGTGTATGTCCTCTATCCTCAGGTGGTGTACCTCCTGTGCCTGCGTCTGTCCTGCCTGGCTCTGGACCTCCCTGCTCCTCCGGAACTGCAGGCGGAGCTGGACAGGCGCTGGGCAGTGCGGGCCCTGGGCGGAGCTGTGAGGGATACTCTGGTCTCCAGACAGTTCCTGCCCCTGGTGCATGCAGGACAGCTGGGCGGCACAGGGGAGGGAGGCTATACCTCATACTGGGACGAGCCTCTGGGCTTCCTCCAGAGGAAGAGACAAGTTTTGCTGAACAAGCGCAGCTACAGCGACTCTGACCTCAGCAAAATCTCACTCAGTCTGGTCAGACTTCCCCTGAGTGCCCTCACTGATCTAAACTAGCTGCTAATCTGCAGGTTATGTTCATCTCTGGCTTTTCTTTCAGGACATGGGGCTGAGTCCGTCCTCTTCGTGGGGACAGGAGTCAGGCTGCTGTGTCCAGGACCACAGAGCTCACGCACAGACGCGCCCCAAAACCAGCGCAAACCAACCACCTCCCAAAAAGTGCCTCAGAGCCCCCTGCCCCTCTGTCAGGCCCCTTTCCAAGATGAACTCTTTTGCTGAGGTGACTTATGTTTTCATTTATAACAACAACAACAACAACACAACACAACAGTCTTTACAATCATAAGACCTGTGACATTTCGGTACATGTTAGTTGATTTGTCTGTTATACAATATTAACACATCAAAAGTGTCAAATACAAATGTAGACACACATTCAAGAAAGACACAACATTTGAGGAATTGTAATTATCAGAAGATTTATAATGTTTAACTAAACATTATCTTTTTTATCATAAAAAGAAATGCAGCCCTGCAACTACACAATTACATTACTAAATTCTTTCTCCATTCATTCTTTATCACCAGATGTTAGGGCTCTTACAATATTTTTGCAGTGCTATTTTTTTACATTGTGAGGATGTCCTGTGGTGATTCTTCTACTCTGTAAAATAATTAACTAATGTCCAAACTTGACCATATGTAAAGAGTGTTGTTAAAGTGGTATAATGACAAAGTTGTCCATGTGGTAGATGTGCAGGACTCCTCTGCACACAGGCCCCAGTGCAGTGAGCCGATCTGTGCCCAAAGCCCTGGCAGAGCCCACCCCCCCTGGAGAGAGCGTCCTGCAGAGGTGCTCCTTGCTGCAGGTGAGGCATGCACACAATGTTATTGCTTTGTCTGGAATATTACAAATTACATTACATCAAGAAGGTTCTGGTTTGTTCCCAAGACTGTTCTCCTTAAATGCATACAGCGTTACTACTCTTTGCACAGCTCTGATGGCAGTACCCTCTGTCCCATCTAGGTACATCTGTGTTTCTCAGGTTCTATTTTGAATGGAAACCGACCTTCAGTAATGTGTCTGTGTTGTGTTTCAGGAGGAGCTGAACAGCAGTGAGTGTGGCTGGGCCCTGCTCCTCACCGAGTCCGACCCCCACGTCCTCAGCTGCCTCCTCTGGACCTGGCTCCACAAGCTCAGGGTGAGACACGCATATGAACACTTTATTTTAAATCTTACAAGACACGTTTCTGTCCCAGGATCCCGTATTAAGTGCAGATGATGTCTCCAAACTGTGCAGTGCCTCCAACAATAAGAACGCCCTCTCTGAGCTGCAGAAGGTACAGTGAGGCCAATAATCCATGGCTACATTTATTTATTATGATCTGAATGATACAAGTCTATAATGTTTGATCAGCCTCAGAGACACAGTGTCCAGTGCCTGCTGCGCTGTGTGGGGACAGTGTCCAGTGTGTGTCCACACAAAGAGGAGGCTCTGCTGCTGCGGCTGCTGCGCGCTCTCACCAGGGTAATGCCCTGGGACGCACACTTTAACACTTTAATGTGCTTAAATATATTGTGAAAGGACACTTTCATGTACTACATCAGTGGTTCTCAACTGGTACGTGTCAGGACCCATCTTCTTAATTTAAAAGATAATTTATTGTTTTTTTTTTTCAATCTTCAAAAACATTATAAATCATTTGCTCAAGAATGGGTGACATCTTAGATCCGGTGTTTAAAAAAACTACTTGATAAAGAACAAATTGTAAGCCTTTCAAGTATTTTTCTAATGGCACTTTAGGAATCTGATTTAGCACATGAACTATTCAAATATTGTAAAAATACAAAGTAACTCCAAAAGATTTAGATGTGGGTTCACAAACTTGCGTTATGGACACACTTCTTAAATTAAGAGCATGTCATTCACAAGAAGATGTTGCTTCTTTCTAGATAATTCTAGATCCTTTTTACATTTTATTAGATATATTTTGAACATGTTACCCGGGAAAAAACCTGCTAAATATGGTCCCACAGCCCACCAGCTAAGAACCACTGGCCTGGATTATGTTATTGCAGATTATACAGTGAAAAGACACTATGTTGTACTTTGTTATGATAAGCGGTGGATGCATGTGCTCTGCTCCTCAGACATCTCAGGAAGAGTTGAAGGCAGCAGACGTCCTGCTGACAGTCTTCAGGTCAGCGCTCAGAGAATCCTTCTGCAACTACAAGAACATCTCCAGGGCCTGAACATCCAAAGCACCACACTGCTTTTTTACATTCATGTTGACATACTTATTGTAATATTGTGTGGATCAAGTTTTTACTTTATGAGCATGTGAGAATGTTAAAGACTGTTTCAACTCATGCTCATTTATTTAGCTATAATTTAATCACAACCAATGTCCTGAAAATGTATAGTGTGTCATGTATTATTACTGTTTGTTCTGTTGAATGAAGAATGCTGAATGAAAAAGGCAGCTGAAAACTCATGAGCAGAATCATGTTTTGTTGAAGTCTCTGGAAAATGAAGGTAGACTTTGGAGTTTGATTTTTCTCTGTGCAAAAATGGTTCCCATTTATGATTAGAGTAAACGATGAGAGATCGTCACAAAGAGTCCAGCCATTTGTTTGTACTCAAAAGGGTGGATTTTATCTACGTACAGACCCTTTAAAATGAATGGCAGCTGACAGTTTTACAGAAACTCATTTTCTTAGACAGCAGGACCCCTTTGACATAATCAAGGCTTTGCCCCCTTTTTTGTAAGGATGGGAAGTTGTTGAAAATGTGCATTTTTATGGGTGGGAAAATGATGGCTCAATGTTATTTTTTGTTCAAATATGGATGACGTGGCGCTGTTGTCTGACCTCAATGACTGATCAGGAATTCTGACCTAAAACACTTTTATGAAGACCAAGCCAAACATACAAGTATCAAAGATTTATTGCCAAGTTTCTCATCCTTGATTATGATTATGGAGAAGGGGTGGGGAGTGATTGGTGGGAGTCCAGGGAGGGCAGGGAAGGAAGGGAGTCAGCCTCCTGATTGCCTGGTAGAGAAACCGGTTCTTCAGTTGACTGGACCTGTCCTGTGGATTTCCCAGTCGCCTCCCTGAAAGCATTGCTTTGAGGGGCTGTTGTGGGTGCGTAAGGTCTTAATTCTGACGGTAATAATTTCCGCACAGCCTGTGGTCTCCCATCAGAAAGGGGATTCTAGAGTTGAATGCTGAGCTGAAGTCTTCAAACAGCAATATAACATAGGAGTCTTAAGTTTCAAGGTGAGTGAGGGCTATCTGAAGCACAGGGGAGATGGCATCTCCAGTTGAGCGATTGCTCCGATAGGCACTGGTCAGACTGGTTTGGGTCCAGGTTTGGTGATGTGTTTCATACGAGCCGCTCGAAGCACGTCATACGAAGTGGAGTGAGTGCGACTGGGCAGTAGTCATTGCAGCTGGAGGGTTAAATATGTCCATGTGAAGACTTCAGCGAGTGAATCAGTTCACACCTTGTATTTAGTCTGCATCTGGCCATTTGAATCCGTTGATCCTACTCAGATCTTATTTCCCTTTGTCATTCATAAGCATTTGGCACAGCTTTATTATTTGTATAAAAATGTTTGTTCCACAAAAGATTCCTGCTCTCTGTTAAAGACAGCTGCTTCTCTCCTTTATCATTGGCTGGAGTGTCTCCGTCTGGGTCTGTGAGTGTGAGAGCTTGGTCCTGCACAGTACATTCACCCTTTAGTTGTTGTCAGTCAAAAAACACAGTTTTGTTGTAAATAGTATTATATCATCCGAAAGGTCCCCCATTTTACAGATTCATTACCTTTTGAAATCTTTTGCAAAGCATTTGCTTGAACTGTTTAGCTAAAAAGAGATGATGCATGTTAGACATCAATTCTGCACAACACTAGAGATCATTTGGCACTAGTAGAGATTACCTGACTTTCACGTATTTGGACGTGAGTGCAAGGAGAGAAAGGAGACTGCTCCTCTCCCAAAGTGGACCACATACTGTCACATACTGCTGCCACTTGCGGGTCACCGCAAACAAAAAACTCCCTCTAAGTAAGCAAATTCTGTTGTCATGCATACACATGCTGTGTATGTTTATAATAAACACACAAGGTCTTTTTTACCTTGAAGGCTTAAAAGTTTTCTGTTTCCATCAAAAGCCCTAAGCCGTCCTCGGGTCCTCCTGCTCTGCAAACAAAAGTCTTCTCCTCCGTGTCCTGCTCCTGCAACGCTGCTGTTTTCAATGAGGACAATGTTGTATCATGGTTCATATGAGTTGATTTGAGTAAAGATTGTGGATTCAGGTGGATAAGGTTAATTAGAAGTCAATTAGATTGGTTTTCTTTTGTTATAAATATTAAATATAGTTTTTTTCAGCAGATAAAGTCTTGTAAAAGTAAATAATGACATTTTATCTTTTGTATAGAAAGAGCTCTGTAACTCGTTATTTGATGCTTTGGGCTGATTGGCTGGGATGGTCCTCTCTTATTTACTTTTTGTGAAAAGTCAAAAAACTGGGGATAGAACCAAACTGTTTGAGAGCGAAGGACTAGTTAAAAGACTGCATTTGCAGAGTTTATTGTTTTGTGGTTAGGAAGTCCCGTTTGTGGATGTGTGCGAGAACCATTTGGACAGAATATGGCAGGTCTGCCAAGGTTAGTATATCTTCTAAATAACAGACTAATTAATTTATAATCACATGGATCATAATCTCTATGTGATGAATAATTGTTTTTCTGAACTGGCTGAAATGTTATCAGCGACAACAGTATACATCACTGCTGCGGCTGATAAGGACGTTTTTTATGCGTTCGTCCCATAGCACAAGTTTCATGTAGCTTGAGGACTTCTTACACTAATTATAATTATTATACTCAAGTCTTATCTCTCTGTAAAACCTACTTTAGACACGGATCAAAGTTTTCTTTGTTGCTTTTTTGCTACTGTCTGTGTGCGAAGTAACACAGGCTGTGCCCATAGGGACTGGTGCACAGGGAAAGTGGAAAAGCTCACGTTTTTCCTCAGGAAAGTCTGGTAGTTGGGGTCAGGAGTGGGTCAGCAGCAGTCTGAGTGGAAATGGTCGAGTGAAGTTTGACAAAATAAGTTTGTGTCTCAGCCAAAGTTTTGCACAGATGCAGTGATTCAAAAGAAGCACTGGCCCTAGCAACGCCACCTAGCAACACGCACCTAGCAACACGCACCTGGCAACAAGAGGCAAAATTAACAACTGGAAAAAAGTGTTTGAAGAACTTCATATTTTATTTTTATTATATATTTAAACCTAATACAAACAAAATAGGCCTCAAAATACATATAGGGGGTGAGTGACTCAGTTGGTAGAGCACAGGTTCGAATCCACCACGAGACCTATAAGATATATACAGCCACCAGAATATAGCTATATATTCTTGTTTTGAATCTGCGTCCACTCCAATCTTTCTGGAGTATGAGCTGCACCACATATATCTGAAAAGAAAATCAATGTTGCCCCCATTCAGGCCGCAGGTTTTATGTTGTAACGTAGCAGATAGACGATTGTTGTAACTCGGCACTTGTGGATTTAATGAGGTGTTTAATAACCGTTAGCTTCCTTGACCTATTCACTGATATCCATTTTGACAATAGACGAGTGTCTTGTAGCTAGAGCCCATACTCTGCTCTGAGAACAGCCCAACTCTATCACAAAAAATACACATATTTGCCGCATCGTTATATAAGCCGCAGGGATCAAAGAACTAGAAAGAAGTAGTGTCTGGCAGTCCGAAAATTACAGTACTCGCAACGTATTTATCACAATTTTCATGTTGTGTATATGAAACATTTGAAATTGACACAAAATGTTGAACTACAGTTGGAGGAAAAGAGACAATTTGAGAATATGAATTTGTTTTACAATGTCTTGAGGATGTGTTTTTAATTTACCAACAGTAAAAGCAAATGAGCGGGTTTACAATCTCAGTTTAGCGTAATTAGAAACAACCGTTTTAGCACAGCCTGCGACGCCATAAAATAAGTAACTTTTACCCAATTAAATGTGATCTAACATGTAAACCTGCAGCTGTAGTTGTTATTGTCTGGGGCCACAGATTCACAGATAAGAGGAATAGCTGAATAACACTGTTTAAAAAGCTAACATAATTTGTCCTTTTGGTCATTAGTTGTCCTAATGAGCATAGGACATCTAAACTGAATTTCTCCTACGGGGATCAAAATAAGTATCTATCTATCTATCTATCTATCTATCTATAATGTTGCACTGTCCCTTTCCAGACGTCATTCTCTTCATGAAACATCACAGCAGTTTACACATGTTAACTGATCTTTTTAGACCAGGGGTGCCCAAACGTTTTGCTTCCAAGGGCCAAAGTAAAAATTTGCCAGTGGGCCGCGGGCCAAATACACCGATGAAACACATGAAACACAAATAAATGTAGATTTGATCAAGTTCAATTAAATGCATTAATTATTGTCTATCAGTGCAAATCACAGCTGAATGAATGAAATCAACACAGTCTTAGTGAAGTGGAGACTCCAGGGAAATGTGCAGGTTTGAGGAGACTACAGTACGGAAAGATTCCGGCCGGGTAATCAGGGTCCAGAGGAGGGAGATTTTCTGTCATGGCTTATTTAAAGGTTAAAATCATATAAAAAACCTCAAAAAGAGAACAGAAACATACATTTTCTATGTAATTAAACTGTTTTTTGAATACTACTTGTAAACAAATAATGTGCCTGCTAGTAAATGAAAGTACTAATTTATATTAAATAATATCATACTCCCAAATTAAATAATCTATATTTTTAACCTGCTCATGTCAGTAAACTGTTTGTTGAAGACCTTTTTCAAAACAGTTTTGCATTACTATAGTTCAGTCATTTAGACCCATGGATGTATTATATTGTTTAGACCAAAGATAGACAAAGAACGAGGCTGAATGTCCTGCACCACAGCGCCCTCCTGTGATAGATCCCCGTAACATACCGGAAGTAAGATCTTGACTGTTCAGATGGTTGGCACCATGATACAAGTAATACAGCACATAACAACCGTATATATAAAGACGATACCATATTGATATGACTAGATATCTACATCCCCTGAATCTCCATCTGTTTGTGATAACATTTGACATCAGATCCGTGCTATCGTGAATACCAAACGTTAGCACCGCCCACTAAACCAGACTCAAAATGTATCACTGTAATATCCATTTCTAATAACAGATTTCACTTGTG